ATTATATAACGTTAGGGATATAGTTAGGCTACAGTACATGTAGTCGTCGCTCTGTCCAATGATTCAAAGCTATGCCATATCTACAATTCTTGATCTGCTCTAACCTTAGCACTGTACGTGGAAGGCAAGGGCGCACTACGACTACACGATGTATAGTACTCCCATTTCACATTCTAATACGGTATGCATCGTGATGAACTGGTGGTTGTACGGCGTAAGTTGGCCTGGTGCTGCAACTCGATTAGTTAGCAGCTGAAATAAAGTAAGGGTTGTTTTATTCTGCTGAAATGCAGAACTTGTGTTTAGCGTTGTTTTATCTTCAATCGGGCTTACATTATTTTAAACATCTGGTTGTTTAACGCAGTTAAACAACGGGCAAACTAGATGAAAAGCACAATACAGTACTTACTGTAAATACTACTGTACTTCCACCAAATTTAACGGATAACGTACATTTATCCGAAATTGTACCGGATACAACAAATGCTATCCAGGAAAACCGAAGTTAACTTAAACGCCAAATACACTGTCGCCGCAGTGGCTCTTACAACAGGTTCACTATAATTTGCACTACAGTATGGGTTTGTAGAGTATACTAGTATGCTTTAGGTTTGGAAATATGTTCACCGAGTTTATCACTCGACACAACATCAGACCCAACCCAATGTGGCCGGCATCGACAAAGGACTATTATCAATGGCTTCTATGCTGAATTGGCATTTCATCAACGTGACGGAAGGGTTGGTATTATATGACAGAGGTTTTGACTCCAACAAATGATGACGTGTGATTGGAGAATACAAAGTAATCCTAAATCGGTTACAGATAACCGAGGAAAAATTGGACCTATCATGCAGGTCGTTTTGAATTGGAAAACAGAATACCAAGAATTTCAATTTTATATTGCAGGAGAACGAGGTCATGATTACGATTGGATTAAATGCACTGGAATTTATCCATATGTACCATTACAATACATGTCGCCTTTTTTGGGAAAGCTCCAATCCACGACTTGAAACACATTCCAATCGATTCAGGAGGGGGGTTACCTCGAGAACCCTCCTACCGAGCACAACAATAACAAGTCCTCAAGACAAAACATCACATTATCTTATATGCATTTCTGGTCATTGCAATGCCTTTTCAAATGATCTTCTAATGGCATCAGGAGTAATCATTTTCCAGGCTTTGATGGATCGCTTTATCATCGCGAGACGCTTTTCAGCGGCAGAATTGACTAGAGTCTCTTCCAACCACAGCATACGGAGGATGCGTTTGAAGGGACCCATGATCCCCACGTCTAGCGGTTGGCAAATGGAGGTGCTATTGGGTGGCAGTGGCTCCAAGATGCTGTGAAGGTCACCTGCTATGGCCTCAACACACTCTTTGGAAACATGGGCATCGAAGTAGTCCGCCAGAATAACTGACGGACCATGAATGTACTGAGGCAACATGGTGAGATATGCCTTCCACGCTCGGGAGCCCATCCACCCGGACTCTTGCACGTCATAGTAGTGCCCACTTGGGTACATCAACAACTCACTGGTATCAATAGTCCCACCAGGAGTGCCATGGACAATGAACATGATTGGAAGTTTTTGCCTACATTAAAACATTAGTTTGGATTGAAAAGAGTAAGCATATACCATCCGCCCGGCATGACAGCACCGCTGTGATTCGATCCGAATGTTTTGTCCGTCTTCGATGACCCGCCGATCTCGGCCCAAATCTTGTCGGAGGGCATGTCATAGTAGACCGCAATTTTATCCACATTGATGATGTCATGGGGACGGTAGTCGCTGTACTTGCCCCTAAATTTGGCGGCAAATTCGTCTCTCAAAACGAGAAGCTCGGACTCACGCATCTTGGAATGACAAGGGACACGCTGGGAAAACCGGTATCGACGGGCGAAGACCTGGCAGAGTCCAAGTATAGCCTCGTAGGGGTCCTTTTTTGTGGCCTGCTGTTACTGGTCTAGCCACTGCTTGTGGTGCGTCTTCATGTAGGTGACCACGTCCATGGACGTGAGGATATGCTCCTTACGTCGACCGTCCTTCATGAAGGCCAAAAGTCGTTCTTGAATTGGATGATTGCTTTGGTGTCTTGGCCACCCATATTTGAACTGGCCAATAGTTGAACAGCACTTGAATTGACGAATTGGATTGGCCAAAATCATTTGAAATAGTAAATGTTAGAGGTCTTGAATGAAGAATTAAAATACGATATAATTACAGAGGTGGTCCAGTTTTTAGGGGATGTCCACATTTTTCTCGGTTCTCTGTAAGTTAATTGTGCACTGGTTTTACGTTACATACGTCAAGGTCCCCAAAGGTAAACCTCCAACCACGCGATATTAACGATACTCCCGAAGTAGAATTTATGCATTTGCGTGCACTTGAATTGGAGAAATGTAGATAGGCCACTCTCAACAACTTGACCCATAAATAGTTCAATACTTGCTTCATAACAGAAATATAAGTACGGGTCTTTGTTGTATCCGGTAACATTTCTGATAAATGTACGTTATCCGTGAAATTTGGTGGTTATGTTTGCTGTCGACCGTATTAACAGTAAACAATTCAATACAAAGTTCTATAACTCACTGTTAAATTAAATTGTAATTGCCCTCTAAATTAATGTATTTTACACTGAAAGGTGCCTAAACACTCCCGAATCGAACCTGGAGGTGCTGTCGAGACACCACCTCAGTACCGGTAGTGTAGCCGAGTCGAGTACCTGTTGTTTTTTCTTATATCAACCTATAGGTTGAACTTTTGAAAACCCACAATTTAGGCAATAATTGATCCGAGCCGTCGATTATAAATTTTTGGCTCATCTGTTTGCAAATACAATTATGAATTGTTTCACCAAAAATAAATATATTGAAATATATATTAAACGCCCAAAATTAATTTAAGTATATTTTTCCCCTAACCTGATCAGAGTCCTCCGTAGCTGGACATGGACGTACAGCTTGTAGTCGAGCGCTTGAGATCTGTCAGCAACCGGAGTTGTGTGTCGACTAGGCTTCAACACTGCCAACGATTCGAGAGACGTTAACTGTAAGTGAAACAAAACAATTTCAGAAGTAATATATTTAAATCGAAAAAGAAAAAAAAACAATAGGTCAACCTAAAATATTTACTACACACTATGGTACATAGCAGGTATTTTCCTGAAATACTTACTATTAATACATACTATTAATAGTGGGTTTTTCCTCCTCCAATGATATTGTGAATATCGTTCGAATTTGGACTTGTGAGTCCTTTCACCAAATAGAATTTGAATCCATTTTATCTCATTTAAGCTAGTACAAACTATATTATACAAATATTAGTATATTTGTGGGTTTGTCCAATAGTCCTCTTAACCAACGAATGAGTGAAACTCGAGTGATTGATCACATGCAGTATGTACGCATTTACTTTACATGTGACTCACTGTCTTGTTGTCGTCGTACACGTCTTGAAAGGATCAATTAAATCGTGAAGGTAGTCACTATCCTTCTAAAGAACAAACTCCATTGAATTGATACTTGCCAAAACCAGAGCAAGAAATCAAGTTGTGGAGGTACAAAATGACTTTATCGATGGAGCAAGATATAACTCAAGCCTTTGGCGCGTAGCATGTCGGTTTGACAATTAGGCGGTGGTGGATGGGCCGCGGGGTGTGCCAAAAATTTTCCCAAAATCGAAATTTTTGCACAAATAATATATGATGAAAAATCCATGTTGAGCTGAAGTTATTCGAAGATATCGTCTCCTTCTTCATAGCCAATGTCGTAGTCCTCGCTGGTGTAGCCAGTGTTTGCACGACCCAACACAGCCTGAATCCGGGCCTTACGGTTCTCGCGATACTTCGCCTCGGAGGACGGGTTCTTGGTCTTGATCTTGCTTCCAATCGAGAGCAAGCGGTACTTATACTGATTGTAGCCCTCACCGTCCACGTTCCGCAAAGGATTGAACCGAACGTGGACATTGGTGAGGGCCACACAAGTCTGAAAGACATGTTGTACTCATCCTTCTTCCACATATACTTGTCAGACGCCAGACCCCGCGGTGTCTTGAGCCTTCCGAAAAAGTTCTCCACAATCACACGATCCGACGACAACTTGGTATTGGCCCGCTCCTGCTCCGTTGTCCGTGCGGTGGCGCATCACCGGCGTGAAGCCATAGACATACTCTCGAATGCCTTGATAGCCTTTGTCCACAAGGACGGACCATTGACTCGGGAACTTGTCGCGCGTCGTTGTCGCTGACGTTGGAGTCGCTCAGGTGCTTCTTCAGAAGCGTCGAGTGAAAGCCCAAGTTGGCCTTGCACATTTCGAAGTCCGACGTGCTGTCCACTTTTCAATCCGTGATGTTGATCGCCAAGCCATTTGGTGCAACGGACACCTCAACTTTGTGTCCATAGACACCCGTGCTTCTTGGAAAAGTACATCTTCTTCTCGCCGAACGACACAGCGGGTGCAGTTGTCTGCTGGATGGTGACGTCAACGGCATACAGTGCCGACTTGTGGGTTGCGAACTACAGGCCAGCGACGGCAAGCTACTGCATTGTCCACTTCACGCCTTGCTCGTCGATGTATCAGGTATGGGTGGAGAACGCGAATGAATTGGTTGATGCGATTGCTGATCATTGCGGCACACTCGTCAAAACTGGCTTAAAGAATGTCCGAGGTGCTCGCGTGCTTTAGCGTCACGAGAGTCATGAAAAGCATATCCTTCCAAGTAACCGGACATTTGCGTCACTGCCGACGTTCCAGTTATTCGTCACGAATGGCTTGATATTGGTCCACAGCGTGTTGAGCTCGGATGCCGAAAAGGTGGTAAGGGCGTGAACAACTTCAACCAGAGGTTGGGAAAGAGTTATTTTTATTGGAATATATTCATTTAAAAGTATAAAATAAATTATTCTGAAATCCTTTCAAAAGAATAAATAATTCGTTTGCACTTCGAGAGAGAATAAGTATTGCCCTGGACCTCTACAAAAAAATAAGTATTGAGTTTTGGAGAATTATTCTAACCTCCATTCAATTCAAAGTCCTGTAAACAAAGGCCAATCATTTCCGTGCAAATCGAATGCAACCACAGCCATTAACTTCACACATAGTCACAATCAAATCAAGCAAACACAATTCGTTTTGATGACCAACGACAACAACCAACCATCGCCCCTTCGTGGAAAACAACTCGCCGAGCTGTACTTTACGCGTACCTCACCTGAATCGACGCTTTGGCTCTGTAAATGTGGGAAGCGCCGCACACAAAACGGCACTGGGTACACGAATTTGACGTCGCACATTGAGCGCGAACAGCCCGAGTACCTGAACTATGACACCACAGCCCCGATTTCGGAACAGAATATGTTCATGCCCCTGTTCTCGCGCAGTGTGCGGAACGTGTACGGCTGGCTGACCTGGATTACGTCGTCGCTGTTGCCCTTTAACTTTTGTGAAAACGAGATGGCTCGCCGCTACTCGAACCTTGGTCCCATCAGCAACAAGACGCTCATGAAATGGATGCACCAAATGTGTCGTTGGTTGGAAGCGAAGCTAAAGAAGACCCTGCCCGAGTCGTTTGCGTGTGTATTTGATGCCTGGACATGTGGGTCGACGCATTACGTGGCGGTCTTTGCGTCGTTCCCAAGTGATTAGTTGCGTGGATACGAGAAGGTGTTGCTCGCATTGTCACCGATGAACGACGAAGATTCATTGAGTGCTGCAGCCTTCCTGGAATTTTTTGACTTTGTCCTCGATGTGTATGGCAAATAGCGCCGAAATGTGGTGGCCCTGATCGGCGACAATTGCACCACGAACCGTGCTTTTACTCGTTTGGCTGGCATCCCTATGGTGAGTTGTGCGTCTCATCGGTTCAACTTGTTCGTTGGTGATGTGCTAGCCGACTATGAGGACCTGCTGTGTGCTGTACATGCCATCATGAAGAAGCTGTCTAACATCATTCCTGCTGCCAAGCTTCGCCGGATGACACCATTGTGTCCCAAGCAGCGCAACAAGACACGATGGAGCTCATCGGTTGCCATGTTGGCTCGATATGTCGAGTTGAAACCGTTCCTTCCCCAACTCGGGCTAGACGACATCGACATGCTCTGCTCAACAGCCGGCAAGATCGTGATGTGGAGCTGTTGACTACCCAGCTCACCGACTTGAACTCAGTGACGCTTGCGCTCCAGGACGAGTCGTTGACACTTGCCGATGTCCGCATGCTGTTTGACGAAGTCGTTGTCAAGTACCCTGGCGCTGAGGTTCGCCTGGGGCCGGATGCAAGTGTTGTGGAAGACCCCACCTTTGAGTCTGGTGTGGTAAAGGTGCTTCAGCACATGGAGGCGTCTCTTAATGAGGACGAGCGTATGGCGATTGCTCTGTTGTCCATGCCGAGTATGGCTGATGGTGGGTATCTGGGTGACACGGACAGCATGAGCATGGTGGCCCGTGCGTTGAAGCGTCGCAAGTTGCTGCAGGCCCGGAGCAACTACCTCGACTGCCGTTTCCTTCGACCGACGTCGAACATGTGCGAGCGGCTGTTCTCTGTGACTGGTACATGACGGGCGAGGTAGAGTCAAGGTCCTAAGCAGTTGCATCATTGGCCTCTATCGAGAATCACTGACGCTTGGACAGTCGGCGTTCATCAATTGCTGCAAGTGCATCGACTGCATTGGTAATCGTGCGCATAGAGGGGAGTTTCTTTGCTGGTGTCGTGGTGCTTTGCCTCGGCAGTAGCGGATGACCTTGGATGATATGAAGTAATTAAAGAAGTGATCGACTAAAACGCCAATGTACTGAGCATTCTAGAACAGACAGCCAGGAGAGCACGATGGATTATCACTGTTCAAGTCGTGAATCGCCTAAAATTGATGATGTACTATTTGAAATGACGTGTCAATATGCGAATAGTTTATAAAATTAAAGGGGTGTAATATTGCACAAGTTAATACTCAATCTCTGTGTTGATATCACTTCATTAGAGCTCTAATAGAGCTCTTTCGAAATCAATTTGAGCTAGAGTTCCAGTTTGGCCCACCAAAATCAAGCAATTTGATTGGCCAAGGCTTGTTTGGCGAAAATCAAACTTGATTGGCATCTCAAGGACCATCGAGTTTCGAGTTTGTAGTTCATTGGATAATCGTGCGGGCAGAGGGGAGTATCTTTGCTGGTGTCGTGGTGTTTCGGCTCGGCATGAACGAGGAGTAGTGGATGACCTTGGATGATATGAAGTAATTAAAGAAGTGATCGACTAAAACGCCAATGTACTGAGCATTCTAGAACAGACAGCCAGGAGAGCACGATGGATTATCACTGTTCAAGTCGTGAATCGCCTAAAATTGATGATGTACTATTTGAAATGACGTGTCAATATGCGAATAGTTTATAAAATTAAAGGGGTGTAATATTGCACAAGTTAATACTCAATCTCTGTGTTGATATCACTTCATTAGAGCTCTAATAGAGCTCTTTCGAAATCAATTTGAGCTAGAGTTCCAGTTTGGCCCACCAAAATCAAGCAATTTGATTGGCCAAGGCTTGTTTGGCGAAAATCAAACTTGATTGGCATCTCAAGGACCATCGAGTTTCGAGTTTGTAGTTCATTGGATAATCGTAAACTTGATTGGCATCTCAAGGACCATCGAGTTTCGAGTTTGTAGTTCATTGGATAATCGTGCGGGCAGAGGGGAGTATCTTTGCTGGTGTCGTGGTGTTTCGGCTCGGCATGAACGAGGAGTAGTGGATGACCTTGGATGATATGAAGTAATTAAAGAAGTGATCGACTAAAACGCCAATGTACTGAGCATTCTAGAACAGACAGCCAGGAGAGCACGATGGATTATCACTGTTCAAGTCGTGAATCGCCTAAAATTGATGATGTACTATTTAAAATGATGTGTCAATATGTGGATAGTTTATAAAATTAAAGGGGTGTAATATTGCACAAGTTAATACTCAATCTCTGTGTTGATATCACTTCATTCGCCAGGAGGTCTAATGCAGAGGGGCTGGGTCCAATCAAGCGTTAGGATTGGCAGAATCGACAGGATGTGATTTGATTGGCTTAGGCAGATCTCTAATCCAGTTTCGAATTTGACAATACGACGGTAGGTATTGTCCTTTACCCAAAATTTGGACTTTTGTGCTGATTCGCCAAATCCGTCAATCGATTTTTTGTACTGACGTTTGTATGTAACCATTGTCCAGTGTCACACACTAATTCAATGATGAAATAGTCGAAGGGCGGATTTGATTGACCACATGATTCGTGTTCTGGGGTTTTATTGGTTGATCGATTGTCTGCCGATTTGGTGTGCTGCTTATTCGATTGAGCACCCCACTCCAATTTCGTATCGAATTGACAGTATTGTTGTAACGGCATCGCTCCCACCGCAGACGTCTTCCAACCTACGCGGCAACGACTGCGTTTGTGTCTGAAGTGGTCGCCCTTTTCTCTCTTGTCAGAGGTACTACTTTTGAAATGGGAATACGCTGTACAGGTAGCATGTCCTCACGGGTTTGGACGGCGTGACGTTGGCTTGGCTCTTATCGGCATTCATATCAGGGACTACGATGTATTCGATCTTTTTTCGGCTGGCTCATTTTCTCTTGAATTGATTGCATATAAAATGTGGTCTTGATATTCCTTCGTATTGCACTATAAAGTGGGCTGAAGTAGCTACACCATTGACCGTAATTAGTACGGATTGAGAATTAGTGCGGTCCACACTAATACATGTATGATGGAATTCCAGAAATTTGTGGGGTAATTAGTGCGGACCAATTTCGTTCAATATTAGGTGTTTGGAATGTATGTGATGATGCCCAATTGCTCTGGTAGTCATAGAAAGCCATGAAATGTGGTGTAATAACCCTTGTATACGATGTGTCTGCACTATTGACTGTTTACATCAATGCCAATTTGTAATGTCATTATTCATGACAATCATGACAAGTACCACATACAAAAATCTGCATAATAATAATACTAACTAATTATCAATATTCAAAATTGGTGCGGTCCGCACTAATCTCCAAGTCCATAATTAGTGCGGATTGAGATATATTACATCTGACGGCAGAGAAAAACAGCCAATCAGACTAGGCTATGATTGGCCACGACATCTGTGATGTTTCGTGACGAATGCCTGCGCTGTCTTCTACCCGAGGAAAAGCCTCTAAATGGGCACAAAAAACTCCTATACAGCTAGCAGAATGCTGCTACCTGACTGACAGGGCAGTGGGGGTGTTCTCTAACAGAACAGGGCACACGTATTAGTGCGGTCCACACCAATACATGTGCTGTAGGTCTGGTGACAAGGTTGAAAATTTCATGTAGTGCGTGCGGTCCGCACTAATTTCGGTCAACGGTGTAACGTTATCCTAGATAGACCTTGACGGTGATATACACACGATGACTGACTTTGTGGGCGATAGGAAATTCAAAAGTACTCAATTCCGAGTTTGAGCTGAACGAGTCATAGCGAGGGCAGTAGACCGGAGTGGTGGCCAGTTCAATCAGAAAAACGACCAGGATGCACCATTACTGCTAAAGTGCCAACTGACGTTGTCGCTGACTAAGTGAGCGTCGAAATACAATGCCAAGAACGGTGCCTCATTCAACACACGCTCGATGTCCTATTTATATACAGATATAATTGAGCTAACTTTCTATGTATTGATTATATACCTCAGAAGCAATAGCAGAATTCACGGTAGACTTTGCAATGCGTTTGACGGAGCTTTGCAGCTTCTCCGTGAAAAAAAACGCTCGTTCTGATGACGTTGTGCCGTTCCACTTCGTGTGTGGTGGTGTCCAATGGTCGGCTGCGCACCATATCCGCTTCGAGCTTGTTTCGCATCGGTGCCAGGGTGGTTCCGTCCACGATTAACCATTGACACGTTTTCAGATCTTCACAATGTGGACAGGTGATGTGTTCATATAGGCCCTGGTCGGGGAACGTTGACTCCACACTCGTCGACGCCTTTGACAGGATTTTGGAAAGTGTTAACACCAGACACTGTCGTCACTTTTGTGTTAACGCCTACCGCAACTTGACAATGGTTGATGATCATGTCGTTGTGTCTGCTTCTATCCATGCTGTGACTGCTGCATGCTTAGCTGTCACGTCCTCCGACCCCCGCCACGACAAGTACAACATTATCACTGTAACTCACATTGAATTTGACTCCATGCTTGGTAATCTGGCGTACGAGCAGTGGTTTCTGTCCAATCTGCGGTGTGGTCAAGCCAGGCTTGTCCAACTGGTCAGGGTCCTTCGTGCTGAAATGGTGGCTTATAGTTTGCAGTGTCCCTGTACTCGTTTGAAAAGAAAGTAGCCATTTTCCAGAATATTTTGGGTTCCACTGGTGGTTATCGCGAAACGGCTGCAGCGTTTGGCGTGTCAAAATCATGGTGTATCAACATTGTTCACTTGTTTTCGTCCGTGCTACTAGTATATAATATGGCAAAACAATGGATTTGCATGCCGTCATCTGGAGTGTAATTGAGCGTCAATTCCGAGCGAAACGTGGGCTCCCTGGCGTTGTGGGTGCTATTGATGGGACTTTGATCGATATTCAGCGGCCTAAAGACTACGATGTTGATGGGTTTTATAATCGGAACGGTGATCGATCGCTAAATGTCCAAGCTGTTGTGGATGCTTCAACGAGGTTTTTGTCAATCGATGTTCGGCCGGGATCGTATTCAGACAAAAGAATGGAAGTGTTCTGTGTTTGGCCAATCTATTCTACAATGTATAGCCCGTGGCTGCTATGTACTTGGGGACGCTAGGTACACTTTGTTCCCAAGGCTAATTGTGCCCTATATGCCCCACGAAGAATGTGGTCGTTTGACACCGCGTCAAAAGCGATTTAACTTAAAGCATTTCAGCACCCAAATTCCTGTCGAATGTGCGTTTGGTTGACTGAAAGTACGGTTTCGGATTTAAAGTGCACGATACGTGAAATCACGTTAAGTCCAACCGTTTCGCACACCGTGGCCTGTGTGGCGCTTCACAATATGTTCCTCCAATTTAATGATGGTCTGTTTTCGACTCCCAACAACGAACGCGACCGAAATATCTATTTCCAACCGAGCGATGAAACCGATGTGGAAACAAACAAGATGCTCCGCGCCGTAGCTGTGACCAAGCAAAGTGGAATATCAAGGATACTGGATGAACAATAATGAATGTGAATTTATTGTTTCAACAAATGTTCAAGCAATTTAGAAATTGCGTTCGACTGCTGCGTAATAGCGGCAGATTGCGTTTTGAGCGCAGCTACTACATCGCTTAAAGTTGCTGTTTCGTGTTCAGGCACTACAGGTACGACTGGGGCAGGTGCAGGCTTGGTATGAAGCATCGCTTCCCCGAGAGAAACAAATCCCTCCTTAACTGCAACAAGCCCCGCCTCCAGAGCTCCATGCGTCTTCATTTTCGCACTATTTTTTGGTTTTGTCAGCAGTGTCTCCAACGTCAGAGAAGTCGCACAATCCCTCCGCCTCTGCCTCAACACATTCAGCTAAAAATATGTAAAATAGTTATGATGAAATCGAAAATATAAATGTCAAGAAAAAAATTCCTTCATCCGTGGAAAACAATGACTCCCGGTGAAATCCACCCTTGGATCCCGAGTACTCCAACATGCACGCAAAATGCGCTGGAGCGTTTATAACAACGTCGTTCCCTGTCGGCGTGGGCAGTGAAGGCTTGGTCAAGGCCCACACCGATCTCATCTTGGTAAACAAATATTATATAAATCAATAAAACTATAAGAATCAAAAATCAAGTAATAATAAATAATAATTACAAATACCTTGTCTTTCACCTGCTGGGCAGAATAGACCCGATTGACGTCAATGCTGAGTTCCAAGGCCAGCATTTCGTACGCCTCCTTCTTCTGGTTGTTGTTCTTGGAGTCGAAACGATTGGCAAGTTAGGTTTTGCAGCAAAGACAGAAGAGTCGTGCAACGCTGTCCTCGCACCACGACGCAGTCATTTTCTTGTCCGTGTCGTGCGCAGCACCCTTCCGTTGTTTTAGTGGTCAGCCACCACTGAGTTGTCCTGCTTCATCTTCGGAGCAACTGGCAGAGCATCGACGCCGTCCATGTTCAAACTTGCAGTGGACATCAACAAAAGCGTCGACGGTAGTGTTGTGACGTCAACGAACTATTGACACCAGAACACATCATCGACGCTATTGCTGGCGTGCCTACCATCGGTTCGCCATCCGAATATGCGCCAATAAAAAACGTGTGCCAAATATTTATCCCACTCTTCAGAAGCATAACGCGTCGACTACGATACGGTACGTCAATTCGGTCCAAAAACGACCAACACACGGCTGTGAACGCTTGGCGGCTCATGAAAGGGCATCCAAACATGGCGTACCGGTTGGAAATGCTTGAATGCAATGCTGAAAATGGGACCTACCTGTAAATTGAGAATCAGTATTTGCTTGAAGTATGATATTAATTTTAATTTGTACAGTGCCAAATTCCATGTAACTCATTTCTTTGTACAGAAGCTCATACACAACTGCAGTTGATTTGCTGAATCGGAATTTGGCTTCGTTCACACCGTCCCAAACACACCACCTCCAGCACTGGGAGTACTTGTACTTCACCACAACGATGGCGATCTCAGAGTTCAATTCGAATAGGCTTCCTCATCATCGACACCAGAAATCGTCGAAGGGATTGTGTTACAAACGTTAGGGCATCCCCAATGGTGTACAGTACACTCTGTAATGGTAAACGCTATTTTACCGTATACTGTACTTCGAAGTATGCAGTTTTGGCAACCCCAACGGTGCGACAGTATCTGGTGGAAAGGGCAAATTTTTACTGCGAGACGGCATATCGGCCATTTTTACCGTTTTGTGAACATACTCGAACGGCAAAATAGAGGAGCCAATCACTGAATACAATTGAAATTGTTTTGACCAATCAATTGCAAGCATGGACATCTCAGTCGAACCCTCAGTGAGAACCTCTCACCATGAACTCCAGCCAGAATCACTATGTACTGTACGTTGGGATTACTTCAGCGTAGGGCCCAATTCGTTGTCTATATCGTCGCCGTCGTTGTTCCATGCCGAGTCTCCATAACCCGATGAGCCTGTTAATTTTGGCCGTTTTCGAGGCAAAAAAGCAAAATAAAGTGCCAGTAAACGTCAAAATACAGTCTGATTATACCGTCGTACCATTGGGGACGCCCTTAGTACTATAATAAATGCTAGTAACGTTATACACTTATGGTGGAAAAGGGGAATGAGTGGGGGGGTCAAAACTACAGCAGCCGGCGCTATGGACGACGTAAGTTGACAATGCCCCCCGACGGTGCTACGCGAATGCCGTTGATAAGACAATTGTAGGCTACAGCATGGTGGAGATACATTAAAACACCCACTTCTTGTAGGTAGTATTACCATCCCTTTCTAGTACTTTGATGGCGAAGGAATCTGTCGACGGCGCTTTCAATGCGTTGGTGGGCCCACGCGAGGTGGACACTGTCCGACGGACGGGAGGAGATAATGTCGCTGTGGTGGGACGCGCCGAGGATTTCGACTACTTCGGACTTGGGGTTGACGATGCCAGATTTGTTGTTTAACGCCAATCCATTCCAAGGATCGATGGTACCGATGGGAAAGATCACATTTTCGACGTTGATCTTGAGTCCGCCGTAAGTCTTTAAGGTCGCTGCAACGCGGGTGTCGTTGTCGGTGATGTTGAACACGGCCGCGCATCTCTTGGTGTGGATGGAGTCCACCGTGGCGTACTTGAGGGGAGCGAAGGCGCCGTGGCCAGTGGCGGTGGTCTGGGCGAAGCCAAATTCGGTGCACGTTTGGTAGAGCCACGCGCGGTTCACCGAGTGATCCCCGATCGCCTCGTCAATGACGCTCTCCACGTTCTTTTCCCACGCGCTTGACGTGCACTTGTCGCCGCCCGTGTTGCCGATAAACTTGGACAGTTTTTCCACGGGGGTGCCCGGAAGCGATGCAAATGACTCGCAGACGGATGCGAGGTTCGTGTCGGCGAAGTCGTTGTCTTGGGCCGGGCCTCGGAACGGATTAAAGATAGCCAGCTCAAACAAAGCGCGATCGTCGTCGTTCTTGAATTCGGAGCACGGGTTGAACAGGGTCGTCAACGTGTCAGCGTCTTCCGCCTTGGTGCTGGCCACCAGGCGATGCACCTCAGTCATGGCCTTCGTGATCGTGTTCACACACGCATCCCCGCCAAAGTACTGAAGCCCTTCGCTGACAGTGTCGCCGAACTCGAACATGTCAATTTTGGTGTGGAGGGGGGCCGAACTGGCCACGGCGCCCGCAAAGCGCGACGAGTACTTCAGCTTGAGCCAGGCAGCCAACATTCCCGGGTAACTCGACCCAAACGCCACCCACTTGCTACTGGCCGTGAGGTTTTGCTTGGTCTTGAAGAAGTCTTGGAATTTCACCAAGTCTCCCAACGCTTGATCGGCACTGAGGAACTTGAGGCTAGCCAAGCTTAAGTCGGCAAGTGGCTGCGACTTGCCGTAGAAACGGTGCCCCAACGACACCATCAGCGCCTTGTGCTTCTTGGCCAGCTCATTCATAAACAGCTGAGGCGTCGTCACCGCCAAAGCCGCCATTGGATCTGTCCCGTCGATGTGGAGGAACACTGGGGAGCCCGCACCTCCATAGTACTGGTCGTTGAAGTAGTAGGGTTGCTTCCACACCTTGCCGTTGGACGCATCCGTGTGGTCCAAAGTTTGTTCGTCGTACCAGTTCACTTTAGTTGACGCGTCTTTGAACTGGTGAAGCTTGTCGGTGAGCCGGACACGGTTTTGCAAGATCGAGAGAGGGGTAGTCGCGGCAATGGCGGCGGACGCGACGATACCAAGAGCGAAGGCGCGGGCCATGGTGGTGTTTGCAGTGGAATGTCAATCAAAAAGTAAGCTTTGCAAACACTGAAGGTGATTTGTGCTGGAATTGTCACGTGGTTTTCTTGAGTACGTACAGTATAGTAAGTAAGTACTATAGTACTACGTAGTACCTTACTACTGGTATAGTGGTAAACTCGTACAGTCACCATGATTTAAATGAATACTGGCTCTAATTCTCCGACATCCAGGTGAAAAGGGGCCTCACAGAACACAGACTGTGGTGCATGCAGTTGGAGGCTCTGATTGAATTGGGGAACGCTATGCCACTGAAGTTTGTTACAGTTCACCTACAAGGTTGAATAAATATTCCAATAACGTTATAATATTAATACCTGGTGTTTACAGTTAGCTAATTCAAAGGGTTTTATAAATGCTACTGCGCAATGAAACCGGAAGATGGCGTGGTTTTCTACGATATGACACTATACGTACATCGCTGTACGATTGCACTCCGGTGCATGTCCTCGCTATGCGTCATTTGTGATCATGAGTTGTTCAAATCGAAGTAATATCTGCTATTCTCGGGACGGAATTGCACAATTCACTGGTCGTCATGAACGAAGTAATATCTGCTATTCTCGGGACGGAATTGCACAATTCACTGGTCGTCATGAATTTTCAAATGTGCAAAAAGTGCAAAGCACAATACCTATGAAGATGAAGTTAATTGCTTGAACCCCTCTCTACTGATCATCTTGTGGCTCCATCATCCGACAGTTGGATTGGGGCCGAAAATTGTGCGGTAACGAGAGATTCCACCAAAACTTCAAGTTACTCCGAGTAAAAATTACAGTTAACATTGTAAGTGGTGTTTTTTCATGTGCAGCGTGTAATTTCGAGTTAATCTGTTGGGTAAGTACACATGCGACACTTTTCCGTTCGTTAACTGTAAGTAAGTACACGATTGTATTAAGGTTACCTGTAATTTAAATTCAAGTTTAGATCAAATGCTTCATCGATGTCCCCTTCCCCAAGTACGGAGTAAATGTAGAATGCAACAATCTCATTGTACTATAGCTACACGGCACGTTGTGAAGTAGTACTTTGTACTCAACTGCCTCCTAAAAGGATATCGAATCTTCGTGACGTAGCTAGAGCTCGTACCTACGTGAATTAAATTAACGTGTTAGAGGTTACTTCGAAGTATATTAACTGTAAATGTCTTAAGAGGTTTTGCTATATCATATGTACGAAACCATGGTCCTTATCCGGCACAATATAGCTTATCCGTTAGAACCTGTTTCGACTAAAACTCAGAATGGGGTAGAGCCAATCAAATCGTCGTATTTTTCATTTACCTCGTTCGCAAACCCTCTTTTTGCGAATGACCTTCTCGCAAGAGAACGAGGTGGAATGCATATTGATTGGTGTAAACAAAGATTAGCTGTATCCAATCCAAAATTAGTCGACGTCGTTGCAGCCTCCATTCAAGTGCAAAATGGATGACGCTCTTGTTCTGTCTGTGTGTTGCTGTTGAGGTTGCCATCGAAGCCGTCTTCTCTATCACAGCAACACAATGAGCATCCGTGGCCGTGTGGCCTGCACGCTGCACTACCTCACGCATTCGGACAGATATGAATCAACCGCAGCACCATTTGGCGTACTGTATCCAAGACGCGCGCGTACGAGTAGTGTAATCAATGCTAGACACTGTAATACGTGGCTGCCAATATAGATTAGAACTTAGACTCTAGAGTTGCGGAAGTTGCGACAGCGACACGATGTTCAGTGCTTGGATTTGTGCAAGGAGCTCCGCCTTGGAGATGGGGCACTTCTTGGGACGTTGGGTTCCTTTCGTTGACGCCATTCACAGTCAATTCAATTGGTCATTAAATAGCCAATAAATTGAATTGTTTTTAGTGTGTCGCAAGTGCGAACGAGTCGAAAATATTTTGTCAACTCGTTCCTACTCCATTCGACATTTTAGTCGGAACACTCTGTTCTGTTTGAGGATATCCCCACTGCCCTGTCAGTCATCTGCTAGCGCCCAAAGCGTAAGCGGTATGCAATTAACATTCATACATACTAATAGTAACAAATAATACGTACAGTACTACTAGTACTAGGTATTTGTAGTAGTACTATAATAGAGTACTATTAATATTTATAGTTCTTCCTTATCTGGGTAGTATTTACGCAACAAACTACTCTGTACCGTGGTAGAAATGTAAAAATCTTCAAAGTACATCACTACATCAGCAAAATTTACATTTTTCAGACCCACACCGGTTGCCAATAAATTTTGCATCATGATGTAAACGCTGCATAAACACAGATTTCTCAACAGATCTGTTGGGTCGTTTACAGTTCTATGCGATTGAGGTCCCAATGGACTTCTTCAACGAAGTTTGGCATCCCGACCCCCTGGAGCACGCCGGCAGCATTAATATGAATCTTACAGGCAATAGAATGAAAGCCAACCATTCCGCACTAAATTAAGGACTCACAAGAGCTCCAAAACCTCAATCGCCAGCGGGCGTCCAACGCGAGTTTGCTCCATCGGGACTACAATTTCCCCCAACCGGTGTGGATTGGCTGTGATGTACTTCATTTACAGCACGTACCCGATAAACGGGTCTTTTCAGCTCTATGTTTACATCAGCACGATTGGAGCTCTGCATTTAAGCATCCACCAAATGCAGAAAATTCACAAGAACACTGGTATTGTATTGGCCACACATCCTGCACTTTGGGCCTAACACGGCATCGTTAGCATGTTTGGTGCAACTTTTTGACTGAATCCGGATTCAAAAACTAGGTAACGTTAATCATCATCCGGATTCTGGAGTCAGAATCCATTTTTGCTACGGATCAAGTTAAACTCCCCTAAGCTTAGGACCAAAATGCGTCTTAGACGTACCGTACGCCTAAGACGTACGAATTAACTAATTTGTCTGAAACCTGTTTACTTAAATCAAGAGAAGAAATCTTCATGAAGTTTTATTGAGCGGCATGAGGAGGGGCGATTCTGTTCTGTCTATATTTAGCTCATTATATATTTACTTAAGTACTATATAGCCGTACGTCAAAATATACTTATTCGTCTTAGACGTACTTAAAATGGTCCTAGTACTACTCAGTACCGGTAGTTAGTATTAGTACTACGTAGTATTATGTATTAATAGTTTGAGCAATCACTGTAGCGTAGACGGTGCTGGTCCTCTTCTTGAACTCCACAAAAGGGGCAATTTTGCCTTTCGGAGTAGTGTTGCCTCCTTCCGAGACTTCGCGATGGGGTCAGGATTGTGACTTGATCTGTGGCCAATAAATAGCCTCTGGGATCAAATTTGGTCTTACCGGTTTTGGTTGGGCAGAGCCCAAATGCTTCCAAACAGTACTCATGTGAGAATGAAATTTAGGTACTACTCCGGAGTACTGTACTATGCGTATAGTACTCGGTGTACTGTAGTACCTTGGTAAAAGTACACAAGCATACCTGTATATTTATGTAGCGATTTTTCACTGATTTCAGCCAGGATAGGTAGCCATATTTTGTACTTCGAAGTAGTTAGCTATCACTCGAGGACTCCTAATTGCCGCAGCATCCGCCGTTTGTTAGGGTCACTGACAAAGCTGTCGCCGTTCCGAATGTGCCACAACGTGCCACCTAAATTGAGTCCCCACGTGTTGGCCGGCCACGGGGCTTCGCTCGGTACGACGAACGCCGTCGACATGTGACGGCAACTGCCGTGCACGGTCGCATACGTTTGAAACGCTGGCAACACGAGTTGCTGGAACCGGACGTCAAAGTGGCGCCACGTGAGTCCGGCTTCTTCCAAAAGGAACCGCGTCTCATGCGGCAAGGTCCCGACGTCCGTCCGCCGTCGGGCGATCCACCCCCCGAGGGCGAACCCGTGGGCCAGCCGGGGCCACGGGTCTGCCGCCGGCACGACAAAGGTGCTGGGCACACTCACGTGGCCAAACTCGGATCGATACGTCGCGAGGGCGGGCAGGACCTGCCGATGCAATTGAAAGTGCAATTTGTCGGAGAAATTCCACAGAAACCCAAGCGACGTCAACACTTGCTTGTGCATGACGCCGGCGTAAGCGTGGCCTCGTCGCACGTTGCGAACGATCAGACCGAGGGACAATGACCACGTCGCGACCGGCCAGTCCGGGTCGTTGGCAGGCACGACAAAGGCCTGCGGTACATCGCAATGGCCTCGTAAGCGCACAAACGTTTCCAGCGCAGGCAGCACTTGGCTCGTCCATTTGAAGTCGGATTTGGACTGAGTGAGGTCGATGCCGGCGGCGGCAAGGGCGGCGCGGACGGCGGGATCGTCGCTGGACCGCAACGCTGGGACGGCATTCCCGAGGCGGAACCTGTGGAGGAACTGGGGCCATGTCGAGTCGTCCGAAGGCACAACGAATGGCAGCGGAACGTGGGGATGCCCGTGGAGAGATTGATAGACGACGAGGGCCGGGAGGATGACCTGGTGCAGACGGTCGGTATAGACGTTCCACACGAACCCCAGCGCGTTGAGGGCGGCGACGTCGTCGGCGTCGAGGTCGGCCGCGTGCATACGGAGCTGGCTCACGCGATGGCCAAGTCGAAGCCCGGCGCATACAGGAGGCCATGGACGATGATTGCCTATATCTTGTTCTTCTGCATGCTCCATACACACGACAAACGTGAGAGGGACGCGGACATGACCATACCGGCTATGGAAGGTTGCGAGCGCGGGCAGGATGACCTGCCGCAAGTAGTATGTCTGCCACTCGACAGGAAACGAAATCGCCGCTAGTTGTTTTCTTTGGGACGGCGACAATTTGGTGAGTTTGCGAATCAGTCCTCGCAGCTTTCGACCGAGTGGGTACGGCTCCGAGGCTGCAGTGCCGTTGGTAGCGCCGTCCTCGAGCACGTGCTGGTACTGTGGCGGTACGACAAAGTGGCCATGTTTCTGGTTAAAGACATGCAGAGCATTCACCATCTCGTTGAAGTTCCGCTTCTTCGTGGATGTCGTCGAGAACAACGCTGCGACTGGCGTCGTCAGTCGGACACGAAGCACACGCAGCATGTCCAGCAAAAACAAAAATTGTCATTGTGAATGCACTGTCCGGATATACATATCCGGTTGGAAACCAGCGATAATACCCGGATAAGTATATCCGGTAGGAAACCTACCAACAGTAATTACAGTACTGTGACGATGGTACTTCAGCCGCCGCCAACCGCGGTGTCGGTGCCAATTCGTCTGGGCCACACCAAGACTCGCGTGACAGACACTATCAAGTTGCCTACCATTGGCTCGGTGGGGTTGAGCAATGCGAATCCGTTGCGTGTATGTGGCGTGTGCCGCGAGAACGAATCCAAGTACACATGTCCGCGATGCAATGCCGTGTATTGCGGCGTGCCATGCTACAAGAAACACGGGATATCGTGCACGGAAGAGTTCTATAAGGGTCATGTTCAGTCCGAGATGCGATTGAACAAGGATTCATCGGACACGTCGGTGCGCGACGTGCACGCGATGCTGCAACGCGTCCACGACGACTTCCCCGAGACATCGCCGATGGACGCGCGGATCGACGACCTCGTGGAGCTCATGGAGAGCAATGCGTTGACATTGGAAGCGCTAACAGCCGAAGAACGGTCGAACTTTCTTCGCGAAGTCGCCGACGGGAGGCTCGGCAAGTTTATTGCGCTGTGGGAACCGTGGTGGATGCAGTCTCCGTCGTCGTACGACACACACACCAACAACTTGCGTCGGAGTCTTATCGTAGATCTACAGGACGATGATAGCGACCCAACTCTCGACGACGACTTGACCCATCCATTGGGACTCTTCACGGCGTCCATGCAATCTGCGCTGCCGTCCCTCCCGTCCCTGCATCCGAACCCGAACCATGCCGTCCTCCAATGCAACCTCGTCGAAGTGCTTTTCGCGTATGCCTATGTCATGCGGGTGTACAACGGCGACTGGCGCGTGGACGTGGAAGATGCGGCGTCGCAACTCGTGTCGGTGTCGTCGGTGCTTCGTGGCGATGGCCACTTTGATTTGGTGACCCACGTGATCATGGCGTGCCACGCCAGCGGCGGCGCCGACGCGAATGAAGCCGCCAAGCACGTGGCGCTCGTGGACGTGGCGTCGATCTTGACCCACGGCGCGTTCGTGCGGGACAGTTTGACGGACTTGCTCTTGTTAGTTCAGACCATGCGCCACGACGTCGCGGCGGCGAAATCGACCAAGAAAGTGCTGGCCCGGGTGGTCAAGAAACTCGAGTTCTACCTCGTCTGGGCGAGCAACGTGCTCACAAACGACGTGAACGCGCTGTCGTCGCTGCAAAAAGACCTCGTGGCGCAAATCCCGTGAGTGCCTCGCATTCGCCACGGCCATTCGCTAAAATAAACTATTTTTATCCAATCAATTATGAGTTGGGTCGACCACGCAGATTGATTGGATGTTAAAAATATTTATTTGTAGAGGAAGCAATAGCAACCCAGTACAGTACTGTGTACTGTAAGTATTAATAGTACTTACACTGTACTGTGTACTGTAAGTATTAATAGTACTTACACTGTCACTTTCTTTCCAATACTCCAACTGGATAGAAAACTGTTCACGTACTGTACAGTGAACCGGGGAGAAACTCGCCCGAGTTAGCAACCAAATTTGCATGCAAACTCAACGCGCAATAATAAAATTTACCCAACCCTAGGCACATTTGATTGGCTATAAATATTGTAACGTGACAAGCACAAAATGTCGCAATATTGCGACTGCCCACGCCAGCGTCATCGAATCGCATGAGCAATTGTCGCTTGGTGGCCAACGGGTAGGAAGGAGATTTGAGGACGCCGAGGTGGCATGACGATCGTGTGGACGTTTTTGAAGTGCGGACAGTTTTGAATTTCATGTTTGAATAGACTAATCGAAAGGCGTTAATTATCGATGCTACTTGATTGGTTTAAATAATCTTTGTATATGATTTTAACGTTACAAGACATATCCTTGCCAATAAAAATATAGTATCAGAACTTAGAGGTGGGCGTGTTTTTTAGGGGGGTCGAGTTTCTCCCTGGTTCTGTACAGTATTGTGCTTTCGATTGAAATTTCGTGTTGTGGTATCTCGTTGGAACTTAAATCGATTTGATTGGCTACTTCAGATGAGCTCAAAATTACTAGCCAATCAAAACCTTCTCAATGAAATTCAACCAATCAGATCGATTGTGGATCGGTTTGGTCGGCGCCGATTCGATTGCACCCGCTCCCCAAATTTGTATCAAATCGACGATATTTTTGTATTATTCATACGGGTACATATACAGTACTAGTATACCATGGGATGGGTGCAGCACCTACATACAGTAGATACAAGTAGTGCACCCACCGTCCAGACACTATGGGGTTGATAAGTTAAGCGATGTATAAAACATGGAGACGACACGTTTACGCGGTTGGCATGACGATGTGGAGCTGCTGTTGTTGCGCGAGTACAAACGCTTGCAACGACGCCATCCACTTGTTGTATTCGCGGGCACTGGGGGCGACCAGGTTCATTTTCGCGGCTTTGACTCCGCCAGACGACGTGGTGATTTCAAACTTGAACGACTTGGCATCGACGACGCGCACTTGGCACGAGCGTAGCGACACCACGTGCAAGGGCTTGTCATTCGTCATGTTGTCCCTCTTGTACTCGGACAAGAGGTCGTTCTTGAGGAGAAAGTACCGCTTCTTCGGGCCCAGCAACGACGCGTGCGGGTTGTGGTGTACTTTTAGGTACCCCTGGGTATGTGTAAACGGCAAAATGGCTCGAACCCACACACTCGGGCCAATGAAGCTGTCGAGCAGCACATACTCCGTCTTGGCGGTGGACAAGATCACTTCCTGCATCTTAGAGCGAGAGCTCACAGTCACAATATGGCTGCACAGCACCTCGTCTTCCAGCGCGTTGGTCGTCTTGTTTACAAACAAGAGGCGCTCGTGGTCCGTCAAGATCAAGTGGTAGCGCTTGGTCTTTTTGCTCGCCACGGGGCCAGCCAGGACCACGCGTTCGCGCGTTTTCAGCAACTGGTCCCACAAATGCATGGTGGGGGAGCGCACGAGCGCCACGATGGCATTCTTGTTGCGGTGGCGAATGGCGCTGGCCAAGTCGCCGCGGCCAGCCGCGAGCATGTCCTTGAGGATCGACGCTTCCGGCAACGTGACTACACCCACCGACGCCACCGTGTCGCAGTAGTCCATCATGTCGGCGACGGTCATGGAATCGCCAAACAAACTTCCGCCTTGCCCGGTCGCCGTCATGTTGTTGTTGTTGTACGCGTCGTAGTGGCTGCCGGGGGATTGCAACTCCTTCAAGGTGCTTGGAGCCCGGCCAATCTTTTGAAGCGAGGGACGAGGCGACGGCGTGGGGGATGGCGCTGACCACGATGCGACCGAGTGTCGATGGCCGGAACTCTTGGGCGTGGTGTTTTCCAAGGCCTGCATCATGTACTGCGGCTGGACACTGGCTCGCCAGAACACGACCACCAACGGGCGCGTCGAGCGCTTCAACAAGCTCACGGCACGCGCGTACTCGGGACCGTTCAGGATATGACCATCAATGGCGTGAATGCTGTCACCCACACGGACACCTCGCGCTTCAGCAAACCCCATTACGTTCGGAAGGGACGGCGGCAACCGTGAGACGAGGACACGGTCGTCGTCCGATGTGATGGTGAGATTGAGAGCAGACCCGGTGAACTCCACCGCATACAGGCCTTCGCGCATGCGCGGGCGGAAAAAGTGCACAGACAACGGTCGGATCGGCGTCTGGAGCATTTGAATAACGCTGTCGTACTGGCGGCCGATGGCGCGGACGCCACCGACTTTATAGACGACGTCACCGATGGAAATGAGGCCTGTGGACTGGGTATAGCCCATGGTGCCATCTGAGTTTGGCCGGAAGGCATTCACGACGACATTATCGCGATGGTAGTCGCGGATAGTGATGCCAAGGGACCGATCCGGGAAGGTCACTTCGACGATGTCGTCCTTTTTCAGTGGGGCCAGGGATTCAGTCTTGGGAGACAAGGTTAGGACAAGTGGGGCTTCAGGAGTCTTGGTCGTGAGCTGGAAGAACGAATGTTTGCTCATGGGAACCAAACTGGACGTGTTCAAGTCGATGAGGTCGACCCACGAGTCGTCTGTGATGCCAAACGTCGTGCGCAGGGTCCCTTCGAACACCGATTCAAACACTTCGTCAGGTACAGAGGGATCCCAAGACACATGCCGAGACGCGCCTGAATCTAGATCAATGATCCGAATGGATGTCGGCGTCACGAGTGCCATGATGGAGCAGGGTTGGTTGCGGGGGAGGAGCGCAACTGCGGAACTGAGAGAAGGGGAGAGGAAATCAAAATTTGACCGGGTGATCGGCGACTGAATTTTTATTTTTATTCTTCCCGTCCGAAAAAAGGCCCGGCGACTACAGGTTACGCACACCAAATTAAACTTTTCGATTAAAATACAGGTGGCCAGAATGCGGTCTGGATTCCTGGAATTTCCTCTATGTTTGAATATGTTGGCTTCCTAGTCTTTACGCAACCCACCTGGTCTCAAGTAGTCGAATGGTTGCGCCACCGTATGTGGCCCACCGTGGTGCATATTCGTTACATCTCGCGTGTATATCTACCCCTTGCCAAGTGCTCCCTCCCACTCAACGCCAACGATTTCGATAATGCCATGCTGGAGCTAGCTCAGAACCTTGAGAAAAGACATACCTTGCATGAAGCCATACCCAACGGCGAGGTGTTGAACATATCACGTTTGAAAGGTTTGCATAAGCGACAAGTCAATCTTTGAACCGATAGTAACGGGAAATTGTTTCTCAGGAATTGGTTCAACTTTTGAGATCCCTCTGTTTAGCGTCTGTCTTGACTCTATGTTGTACTTGAAGTACAAAAATACCTTCAGTTATGTATATTCCCTTGCTTTACCGACCACAAAAGGTTGACGCGATACAGTACAGTGGCATTGGGGTCGCCTTCATGAGCGTGAAAATTTCCATTCGGTACTTTGGATAAGTTATCACTCAATTGTCTGCCGTGCAAATCATACTCCACATTGCATATCCGTTGTCCATTTAATATCATGCCACGGCAGCCATAACGTCGGGAGGCACGTCAGGTGCCTGAAATCCATTCGAAATGATACCACCCCGTCCTATGTAGCTCGAACAACAGCCTTTCACCAGCTGTTTAACACGGACGGTCTGAGTTTGATTTGAGCTCGGCAGCTTGAAACCATGATATGATGGTTAGAGTCGTCGTCAGTTACCTCACTGTGACACAGAAAAAGGGCATAAACACACTCCAGGATGCAGGTTTGTATCCGTGTCCACCGCCTGTTTACCGTAGAGTTATGTCATAGCGTTAACGTTATAGTGAATTACAAGTATATATTGTCTCCGTTGAAGGATAACGAAGCACCCTCGTCCAACACATGATGCACCGTCCAACATTCTTGGAAGACCCAATGCAAATCAATGGCCATGGCAGCGTCGCGAGGCTCCGTGGAGGTTGACAACTAGTACTGTACCGGTAGACTACCTGGATATCATGCGATTGGCTCGTCACTGAATTCCTAGTGACGTCGACAGTCGACACTTGATTTCAATATTCGACCAAGCAACCATTGATGTGATTGGCTAAAATATATAATTGAACGATTCCATTGGCCATGGGTGCCCATCTGATGAGGATGTCCCACAACCAACTACTACTAGTACTGTGTAGTAGTACAGTATTACTAGTACGATTATGTACTACTAGTACTTCAAGTAACGTTACTATTACTCCCTCCGTTCCAAAATAATTGCGCGAATCAGAAAATGGATGTACCGAACGCCTCCTCGAATAAAAATACAAACCCTCCAATATCAAATAATCCAGAATGTAATTATACAGGTGTAACGATACAATCGTCCAATCAAAGCATGCAAAATCTGTGTCTCAGGACCAATCAAATGACGGCTCTGTACTTGTCCGCCAGCTGCTGCTGAAACCTTTCGGCAGCCTGGTCATGTAGCTGCCGTTGCTGCGAAGCAAGACCTCCCGAAGGATGGCCTCGCGCTCGTCGTCGGTGAGGTTGCGCCTTTCAGGTGCCATTTCCGGAATGTTGGTGTTATACAGTGTATGTTTTATATGAAAATTTGTATGCACAATTTTGAACGCGGGTATGGTGCACTTCATCTAAAAACTTCCAACTGGCCAAATTGAAGAGTGGAGGTTTTATTATTTAACGTGCAATTAATGTAGTTAAACCCAAAATCCAGATACGTTAAATACCGATTTCATGCGTTTTATCACTGGAGTGGGAGGTTAAAGGTCCCAACTGCCTCCGGATATTAAATACGGATAAGAGTCACATACAAAAATCAAGATACACTTGAGCGCGCCACCCCTATGGCCAAATATCCAAGCGCCCATGTAAAATACCGATAGGTTAAATATCTATTTCTCGACCAATTCATCACAAAATTTGAATCTGAGACGTAGAATTTCTTCACCGCATTGAGATCTGTCGATTATACGTCTCTATTTGCTGCAATTTTGAGTAATGAATATGAAATAGAAGTCAGAAAATTTTGTGAAAAGTTGGTAGTTTATAGATGACGTGCACCATAGCGCCGTCAACTCTTGATATTTCCCGCTCATCATCGCACCAATAGAGAGCGCTGGCTACGCTTGTTGTAATGATCCAATCAAAGCAACGCATTTCGAATCCAGGCAGGCGACAACAGGTTTCCAATTTACCTTCGAAATATAATGAGGTGTCATGTACACCCTCCTGAAACTCGCGCAATTATTTTGGAACGGAGGGAGTAATAGATAGAGTTGCACCGTTTCGCAAGATCCCAAAAGGTCGCGACTGTTCACTATCCAACCCAGGGGTGGTTCGAATTCGAACGCCACCACACAAAACAATGTTCCAAAGGTAAACTCCTCGTGTGGATTATACATGAATGATTTATCACTATCGAGAATACTTACTTATTCGATACTAAGTACCTGTCGTGATGCAAACCTATTCAGCGGACGAGTGGACTTTGCGCGGCCTTGCACCAGCTCCGACTACATTCTCCCCGGCGTACGTGGCTCACCTCAACACGATGTTGCGGTCCAAGTCGGCGGCGGAGATTGTGGCGTGGGCTGCCAACTCATTTGGCAAGTCTCTCGCGTTGAGCTCTAGTTTCGGCATACAGTCCGCTGTGATGTTGCATTTGGTTACGCAACATGCCAACCAACCGCATCGCGTGCCGGTGGTGTGGGTCGATACGGGGTACTTGCCACCGGAAACATACGCATTCGCGACGGCGCTGCAGCAATCCCTCGACCTGAATCTACGCGTGTACCACCCCCAGACGTCCCCCGCGCATATGGAGGCTGTGCATGGCAAACTGTACGAGTCGTCTTCACCAGAGGACCACCAATTGTACGGCTTGCTGCGGAAAGTGGAGCCGATGGAGCGTGCGCTGGCGGAAATGGGGGCGACGGCCCTCTTGGTCGGGCTGCGAGCGGACCAGACTGACCGTCGGCGGCGTCTGGACATTGTACACGTGCACAACGGTCGGTTAAAGATCTGTCCCATCTTGAGCTGGACGCAACATGACGTCGACACGTACATGGCCAGGCACAACCTACCGTTCCACCCACTCAAAGCCCTCGGGTATGCCACGGTGGGCGACGCGCATTCCAGTCGCCCGATGACAGAAGCGGACACGGACATCCGGGCCACGCGATTCCATGGCCGCGCTCAAGAGTGTGGGCTTCATGCCATCGACACAGACTACGACGACGATGCCGATGCTCATGAAGCTGCCCAATACCTGCCATACGTGGATGCGATCGTGTATTCGAAACCCCAGTGCAAGTACTGCGTGTTAGCAAAAGAGGCGCTGTCCAACGCCAAGTGGTCGTATCGTGACGTGACAGTGGGGGTGGACATCACACTTCGAGCTCTGTGCGACCTGGTCGGGTCGGACGTGACCAGTGTGCCCCAAGTGTTTGTGCGGGGGCAGTACATTGGCGGGTACGATGACCTCCACGACCTGCTCCATCGCTCCACGACCAAAAAACCATTCAGCCAAGACGATACCAGTAGTCGTCCAGGATTCCACACCAACTTTCACATTAATTACCCGTCTACTTTGGCCTAACGTTAAGAATACACTAAGCAAAACCCAGCCCCTCCTATTACTTGGGCTATCGCCGTGTTACTTGGGGGCTTGAAAGAACGCTTGAAGCGCGTCTATGTTCTCAAAGAATGGATAATACTCTCGCGTAGTCACCGCATCCGTCGGCGCGGCACGGACGGCGCGGGACAGCGTCGGCAAGCCAGAGATCTTCGCGATGGTTTGCAATCGAAATGGATTCTTCTTGTCTTTCCATGCCAAGTATGTGTCGGCGACGACGACAGTGACAAGCACGGCGTTCGATGGGGCATAATGGTCAAAGTAGTAATGGATCGGAATGTCGGCAATATCACAAAATGGGCACCACAGGCGGCCTACCAAAGGAATGTGAAATAAATAAACATAAATGACTCTACTAATGGACAATAACATATGATCGTGATATAGACAATACTTCAAAATAGATAATGGGGCCAAATAAATAAATGAATAGATTACACCCACCGGTATGCTCATTGATGGCCGATGAGAACGACAGGAACAGCGGGTAGTCGCCTTGGTACGCTTCAAGGAACGCCACCATCACGTTGGCATCTCGAATGGTCTTGTACGATGTCGGAGAATGGAGAACTTTATTGGCGTGAGGGTTCGAAGCAAACTCAAAGTCCAACAGCGCAGGCTGCGTGGCAAAGGACTCGGACAGCAGATGTGACGTCCTGAGGTTGCCATCGTACTTGAGCAGGGCCGGGATCTTGCGAATGTGGAACGTAGACTTGGTGCGGAAGGGGTTGAACTTATTTTTCCAGTCGCTTGGAGCTCCAACGCTCACTTCCAACAGGCGCATGTTGGATGGAGCACGAGCCAGGGCGTCGCTAATCGGTTTGCGCGCTCTTTCGCAGTCGCCGCACCAATACGTCCCGTTGTCTTCGCCACTCATGAGCAGCACGAACAACGGCCCTTCAGTCAAATCCACAGAGCGCAAGAAGGTTTCGGCGGCGTCGTAGTCTGGCACAAAGTACCGATTTCTCCCGCGCGTTTCAAGCACTTCGCTGAGGTGGGCCATGTGCCCCAGTTGGACTTCGTCCACCGTGAGTTTGAGCGAAGGGGTGGTCCATATCGTGGTGAACTTGGCAATGTACCCCACCGTGCTCAAGAGGAGCAGGCCCATCGTGAGCTGGAAGATGCGCATCGTCGTCATCGGGTGGGACGACGACGGACTGCCATTGCCGCTGCACTGGTCTTTCGTCGACATCGTGATGCAGAAAAATGAATTCTTCATCAAGTCTACTTGCTTGAATTATCTGGACATACAAACTGCAAGATAAACAACCGGAAGGAACGATACCAGATGGCTGCCCCGTATCCGGATAAAAAGGCCATCGCGTTTGATGCCAGAGTGTTCGAAACGCGTGCGATACGAAAACTCACTGGAGTTATCTGGTACATACTTAGTAGCGGAAGTCAGTATTCCAGTAGTAGTACTTGGCATTGTTGCATGAAATCATCTGCCGCAGTTTGCTTGTCACCGTTTCGTTACCTCCACAGATTGGCAGCGCCACCGTGATCGATAATCATGCTGCGACGAAATTTCAACACGAATTCCATCGACTTCATCATGGTCGCGCCAAAAAAGACGTTTTATAAACGTTTCACTCATACGGTAAAGCAAAATAACAAACCCACATGAGCAGCGCAGAGCTTCCTGAGCGCAGTGGGGCCGCTGCATCCGTTTTTCCCGCCGGTGACTCGAAGGATGCGATCTTGCTCCAGGAGGTCTCGACAAGCCTGCGAAGCAACCTAGAGATCAAGGATCGGCGCTCGTTCCTCCGAACGCACGCCCTCTGCTTCGTTGGCTCGGAGGCCGTGTCCTTCCTTGTTTCTGCAGGTCACGCGCCGACCCGGGACGCCGCCGTGTCGCTCGGGCAGCGCTTGTTATGCAACCAATTCATCCGCGGCCTCTCCAACTCGGACGGGGCGTTTCTCGACAACAGCCATCTGTTCCGATTTCTAGAGGACGAAGCAACGCCTGTGCGCAAGGCGGCAGTGTCAACTACTCGTCCCTCTCCACGTCCGTCAAGAAGGATCCGTCCACCTGCGTCTGCCTTTCGCGGCATATATAGCGGTGGCAGGAGTTGGATTGAGAGCAGCTTGTCTTCGTCCAGCTATCGCGTCCAGCAAAAGAATCGATCCATGGACGGGTACGATCCATGGTATCATCATGACGAGATCGCGTCGTCCGACGCAGCTGCTCGCACACAGTCGCTAGTGGACGAACAGCGCGCGGCACGGCTTCGCAAGTCGTCGTTTTGTCCCATCGAGTCGATCCTTGCCGTGGCGCCGACGTCGACCGTGGGGTTCTCGGCCACGTGTTCGTTTTACTTTTCCCCTCACACGACCCATCATTCGATTGCCCTCACGGTGCCCATCGTAACGGCCATGAAGACAGCGTTCTCATCGCACAATATGCACGCACGGGAAACGTCTGTACACATGCTGCGGAACCAAGTGCTCAAGGCCGCCGACGCCTCCGACAAGAACTGGATGTACTTGAAGAACATCACCGGGCACCACGGCAACGACGTGCGCATATTCTGCCGGACGGCCGCGGGGGGGGTGCAGACCGTGCTCACGGTAGGCCCAGTCCACGTGGCGCCATCCACGTTTGTTCAGCACTTTCTGGATCCGTCTGAGCGCCGAAAGATGGACGCGCTGTTCGAGTCGAGCCAGACGGTGGAAGACCTGCTCATGGCGCATCGACGACGCAACAAGCTGAAACAAAACACGGCGTACGTCCACGAAGTGTTTTCCAGAGCCGCCGCCGCGCCATGGGTGGACGAGGCGCACCCGATACCGGACGAAGTCGCGTGGGCTGTTCAACCGTCTGAAGCGATGGCCGGCATGTACCCCGAAGGAGAGAAGCAGCAGCACATGTCGTCGAGTGGTGGTCGGGGCAAGACGGACGGAGGCGTCCAGCGCGTGCTCTACCGGACGATGGCGTCGCCGTCCGCGGTCCTCTCAGCTAGAGACTTTGTCACGTTTCAAGATTGCTTTTCCATGGATAATGGCGCGCATTGTGTGTACGAGATCTCCGTGGAACATCGCGACATTCCGTCTAAAATGGAGGTATGTACGACTCGATGTGCAATGTTTGCACGTTTATATTCGTTTTGACTTCCAAGCGATAGTCTGGATGTGTCTAATACTAATAGTAATATTGTGCTTTCGAGTGAAATTTCATTATTGTGGTGTGGATTCTCGTTGGAATTTAATTCGATTTGATTGGCTACCTCAGATGAGCTCGAAAGTTTTAACCAATCAAAACCTTGTAAATGAAATTCAACCAATCAGATCGATTGTGGATCGGTTTGGTTGGCGCGATATATTCGATTGCACCTCCCCAAATTTGTACAATCAAATCGACAATATATGTTGACAAGAGATTCGAACAAATCGGCAAAACGTGGAAACAAAATTCACTTTCTTAATATTTGGAGAATGCAACACATTTTTGCCAAAAATATCACGTGTATTGCCGAAAAATAAAAAGTGGTTCATGGGACTTTGTTTCTTTTAAACGTTGGCCATACCCGACTGATTCTTTCAAAATCAGGTTTGATCCAACAACTCTATAATACGTGACAACCAAAAAATATTCCAATTCCTTTGATTAAAGGATAGTTTGTACAAGCTTAAATTATTCGATCAAAGGAATTCGAATGCTGCTATTTGGCAAAATGACTCACAAGTCCAAAATATTTGGGTATAATGCACAATACTAAACATATACTCAAGTTGTACAGTCCACTAAATAAACTTTATGTATTATGTGTGTGGATATATATATATATATAATATATACAGTGTGAATATATATATATAATATATACAGTGTGAATATATAAATATATATATACATACAGTGTGAATATATATATATATATATACATACAGTGTGAATATATATATATATATATATATATACAGTGTGAATATAAGGCGATCATATATACATATTGTTATGAGGATAGCACTATACACGTGGCGAAGTGCTGTGTCTGGCGCACATTGCCGAGCCGATTCTTGGCAATCCGAACGCGAGCATGCTTACGGTGGTGACCCAAGTCGGCTTGAAAGGCAAAATGCCGTCGTTCGTGGCCAAGCTGATATTTGATCAGCTGATCGCGCGCAGTTTTGACGCGCAGGTACACCACAACACACTGCCAAACCGCCCTCACACAAATGCGAGTGCGGTTGTAGACGTGCGGATTGGTTGTGGACGGGGCGTCGCAAATGGAGACATCGTTACGAGACGTCCCGTACGATCGGACGGTGCCCGACGACCTCGTTCGAAGGAGTACGGGTGTCAGCACGTTGGACGACGAACGAGATGCGGCCACAGGTCCCAAGGTCGGGCTAGACGACTTTGAATTGCTGGCGGTGCTTGGTCGCGGGTACGCCATCATCTACTAGTTTATCTAAATTTGGACTTAGAGTCATTTTACCAAATAGCAATCGAATCCATTTGATGTAATTTAAGCTTATACAAAGTATACTATACCAAGATTAGTATATATATATATATATGATTTTGTCCAATGCGGAGAGATGGGGCCGAGTCAAACGTTTGGATTGGCAGAAATGTACCAGAACGTGATTTGATTGGCTTAGGCAGTTCGTTCTTGAATCCATTCTCTAAGCCATTATTCGATTCTGCCGACAGCTCCAATTTCGATCGATTTGATAATAATATGTTTAATTCCCGTGGAATCGAGTGTTATTCTTGTGATTATTTTGGTTTTATTTGGTCTAGAAACTTAATATATTCGTATCATTATATATTTTAAAAAATATTTATTGGCACATCGTAGGGGCTTTGCAAAGGTGATGCAAGTCCGGCATCGTCAAACGCACAAAGTGCATGCGATGAAAATCCTCAAAAAAGAAGAATTGGTCCACGACATTCAGGTAGAAATAAATATTATATATATGTATACTACCGTAAACAAACAAATATGTGGAAACCATCATCAAATCCAACGCAAATCTCAAGGCACGATATAGATTGAACGCACACGGACCGAGCGCAGTATTTTAGCGGCAGTGGAGCATCCATTCATAGTCGCCTTAGCGTATGCGTTCCAGGTACATACATACATACCCGTTATTCGTGGCATATGTATTTTTCAAATATGTTTAAATATATATATACAGTAAAAATGATATTATGTGCCACATATATGTAGGACACGAAGCGGCTGTTCATGGTAATGGACTTTGTCCAGGGCGGCGATTTGTTTGCCCATCTGCGCAAGTATGGCGCCGTGTCGGTGCCCCGAGCGCGCATCTACTTGGCCGAGATCGCGCTGGCGGTGGCGCACTTGCACGCGCTAGACATTGTGTACCGCGACCTCAAGCCTGAAAACGTACGAGTTTTATTGAGCTTTCGAGTGAAATTTCATTGTGTTGTGGTTTCTCGTTGGAATTGAAATCGATTTGATTGGCTACCTCAGATGAGCTCAACATTATTAGCCAATCAAAACCCATTTCTCAATGAAATTCAACAACCAATCAGATCGATTTCGTCGGCGCGATTCGATTGCACCCCTCCCCCCAAATTTGTACATCAAATCGACAATATATATATTGTGTTTTGTTTTACCCAACATTTGGTTGACTTTTGGGCCAATTCTTTGCCAAATCGATCGAAATCGTGATTGTTTGTCAAGGTCGTCCAGGTTCACACTAATTTCAGTCAAACACACACTATTAATAGTTGGACGGGTCGTTTTGTGGATCGTTTGATTGGCCACTTGAGATTATTCGTGTTTTGATTGGTGAATTTTCGATGATTGTCTGTCGATTGCTGGTCATATTCGATGGTGAGCACTCCAATTTCAAATCGACTACGCGATTTGAATGGCGGTGTCATGCTGAATTGCGATAATAGATCCTCGTGGACGCGGACGGGCACTTGAAGATCACGGACTTTGGCTTGTCGCACTTTTTCGATCCGCCAGAGTACGACGACGCGACCGACGTGCAAGTGACGCCGGCGTCGTGCGGTCGCAGCAACTCGCTGTGTCAAGTGACTCACTCGTTTTGCGGCACGGAAGCCTACATGGCGGTATAACCCAATGACATATCATTGTGTGATGACGCATGCGATCGTAGCCGGAAATGCTGCTCCATCTGGGGCACGGGAAACCCATCGACTGGTGGTGTCTCGGCATCGTCGCATGCGAAATGCTCACGGGAGTCCATCCATTCCGAGGTGACTCGCAGATGCGCCTGCTCTCCAACGTAGTCAACCAAGACCCCATCATCCCGCCGCAAGTGTCCCCCGACGCGGCGAATCTCATCCACGGACTACTCTGCAAACAGCCGCGACTTCGCCTCGGCACGGTCGGCCGCAAGTTTGAAGAGATTAAAGACCATCCGTTCTTTGCCGGCTTGGACTGGGACAAGGTATATATATATATATATATTCTTCATGTTTATTCGTTCAAACGTGTATAGAGGCTGGAATGATTTTGTATACTTCAAAGTATATATATATACAGTACAGATGCCCAAGTAGTGCTCGAACATATGATGGGCATATAGATGAAGGATTATATAAATGATGATTGATTGTTTATTTGATGGGGATATATATATGTATAGATGAAGGATTATATAAATGATGATTGATTGTTTATTTGATGGGGATATATATATATAGATGAAGGATTATATAAATGATGATTGATTGTTTATTTGATGGGTATATATATATATAGATGAAGAAATGTTTAAATGATGATTGATTGTTTATTTGATGGGCTTATATATATAGATGAAGGATTATATAAATACTATAAATCAATGAATGCTTGTCTATATGGATTGGTATATATATAGTGAGATGGGGGATTGAAATCGGGTACAATATGTGGTGTAGGTGGCGGCCAAAGGGTACGCAATGGAGTTTGTCCCACCAATCGAGAACGACTTTGACGTGAGCAACTTTGGGTCGCAGTACACGAGCGAAAAGTTTTCTGGCGCGCATTCCAGCGCGTGCTCGACGTCGGACGCGTCATCATTCAACGATCCCCACCATCCCCATCATCCTCAGCACCCTCATCCCATCAAGCACAGCCACGAAGACTCGACCATGGATCCCAACTCGTTCGTCGTGACCAGCCAGCACCACCCGTCGTCCGACTGGAGCAGCCACGGCAGCCAGTATCGCGGGTTTTCAGGGTTTTCGTACGCTGGGCCACCGCAAGGGTTGAGTGACGAGACTGGGCTTTAACACGACTATATTTAGCGCGTGGACGATCGACGGGTCGTGCGTTTGTTGGCTGGTAGCTGCAATTCGGAGGATGCAGATCGTTTTGGGCGCTTCTTCGTTGGAGGCTTGGCTTTGGGTGTCGTTGAACGAGAGGATTGGGCGGCTTGTTCGAGCCAGAGACAGAGCTGCACTTGTTGCGCTGTCCAAACGTGGCCGCCGTCGTCGGTGATCGATTCGTTCAACGCGCTCGCTTTGGCTTGAACGGTGTCGAGAAAGCGCACGAAATGGGGCAACGTGTACTGACGTGCACCAATCTCGCCTAGACAGGAGGAGTAGAGAGGTGAATGAATCCAACTCTGCACCATGTATATGACGATGATCGTAATGGTGATGATGTCACACTGGTCAATGCGTTGAGAGCTTCGTCTCCCATGAACGGAACAGCTGGATCGAAGGCGGCGAGAACTGCGGAAGCCGTGGCGGGACCGACCTGAAAAGCAGTGAGAAATTCGATGGAGAGGCACGTGGAACGTACGCCCTTGAGCTCGGACAGGACCGCAGTAGCCTCGCGATACGACTTTTTCGTACATGCGACGAATGCTTTCGTCGACAGGTCTTGCACTTGTTTGTCGGTCAGCGCATCCACAAAACTTTGGAGTCGCGGCCGCCTACATGTCATGTCGATGAAGCCATCACTCGTTTTTCCCTTCGTATTGCAATGACGGAAAATTACGCACCATTTCCCCTTGGAGAGCTTCCATTGCATCAACTTGGACAGTTGGGATTGCGTGATGTATCCTTGCGCTCGTACCAGCAGTGGCAATTCCGCGTGGAACCACTTTTCCAGCGCCTCGAGTTTGTCCTACAGATCAACAGCTGTCGATCCTTGGTCTCCAGGAGGCATAGATGATGGCCTTCCTTCAACAAGTTCCATCCTCACCTCGAGGGACTCACGCACGTTATCGTATGTATCGTACATCGCCCGCCATTCTGCCGCATCCGCCGACTTCCACAGCGAGCTGCTCATGTCACGTGGAAAGGAAAATGGATTTGGACAATTCGCGCGCAATGGCCACATATCCGGATATTCACTCTAATCTAGCCCATTTTATCCGGATTGGCTATCCCCACATCAAAAAGGCGCGGCAACCTACGACGGCAGAGTATGGGAATCGTGGGCCTGCCGACGCAGCTAAAGGAGGCATATGAAGTTGCGAACTTGAGTCAGTTCAAGGGAAAGACCATCGTGGTAGATGCGCTATCGTGGCTGCACAAGGCGTAAGACGACATCCAACCCTACGAATGATGCTACATGTCATGACAACGAACGCAATGTCGGTTGGAGAGTTGACGAGCCCTCGTAGATGCTACGGGTGCGCATACGACTTGGCACTAGGCAACGAGACGCAAACGTACATTACTTACGTCATGCGTCGCGTGGAACTGCTCAAGAACGCCGGTATCCATCCCATCTTGGTGTTTGACGGCAAGAAAGTCCCGTTGAAAGTACAATACATACCTTCCTGCGATGACGTTTTGATATCGAATGCAATGTAGGCCAATACCCACGACAAGCGTCAGAGCCTCAAAGACTCGAATCGTGACTTGGCCATGAAAAGCTTGCATGATGCGCAGAACCTTCACGGCGACGAGCGCAAGGAGAAAATGATGAAAGCGCACAACATGTTCCAGCGGGTAAGCATGCATCCCCTTTCTCCATACTTACTCCTCACCGCTCACGCTTCTTCCATCAGTCGATCAAGGTCACGTCGGAGATCATCTATGCCGTCCATGCTGCGCTGCGCAAGGCCAACGTTGAGTTTGTCGTGGCGTATGTGCGCGTGCTTCATCATGCATGCCTATGGATTGACTTCCTTGCCCTTTCTAGTCCATTTGAAGCCGATGCACAGTTGGTATATCTATGTAAAGTGCACAAAGCGTCCGCCATCATCACAGAAGACTCGGACATCCTCGTGTATTGCATCACCGCCAACGTCGCCGTGCCGATCCTTCTCAAGCTAGAATCTCCTTCTGGCATGTGCAAAGTACGTTCCGTTGACTTACATATCCAGTTGATGGCGCCATTGACCATATTGGTTCTATTCTATACCTCGTTTCTTTCACTACTCCATTACAGGACTATACAGTACTTCCAAGACATTCTCAATCTGGATTTGTATGTAGGTCGTGTCCAAGGCTATTTTGAGATCGTACGGCGCCACACCCAGTACGTCCATTCCCGTCTCACACACTCCATATGATGAATGTATTATATCCATCGAAGCAACACCACCCACGACGTCGATTTTTCGCATGCATTTGCTTTGCCATAATGTTGATTTATTGTGAATTTCCAGACCCCAAGTCGAATCGACGCTAGTATTGGCTCATCCCATTTTGCGTGGATTTATTTGATTGGCTCTTACACAAAGGGGTACAAGTATGCGTAGTCAGCCAATCAGAGAACTCGAGCGTGATTCAATATATTGAGTAGACAAACGGTTAAATTTATACAATATCTATTGGTATTTCTTGGTGTTTCATCATGCATGGTCATTCTTTGTTTTGTGCTGTACATGTTAGAAAGCAGCCCATTCCTCAAGAAACTCGTCCACTTTCTCGGCGACTCGCCCGACAGCATGCGCATGTTTGTCCAAATGTGCATCTTGTCTGGTTGCGATTTCATCGAGTCGTTGCCCAACATCGGTCCAGTCGTACGTCACGCCTCCATCTCGTTTCCCTACATGACGTCGGTCCTAGTCGGCGCAAAAGCATGTGTTTGCATTCCGTGGGGCCCCTGGTCACCTCCGCCTCCACCGCATCGTGGCCAAACTCAAACTGGATCACAGTCGACTCGCCATCCCATCCGATTACGTCGACCGCTGCCGCGCCGCGGAAGCGCTGTTTTACCACCATTATGTGTACAATGCCGACGCGCGGACATGTGAATACCTCGTCAACGACACGGACGTGGCCATGACCCGCGACATTTACGACCTCGTGACATGCCGCGGGTCGTCGATCGTCGGCGTGCCTGTCGCAGACGCCGACGCGCTCTCTGATATGTACCATGCCGTCCACCACATTCCGATCTCGTCGTCGTTGCCACAAGCAGCGACAGCCCCCCCGACGTTTATCTGTCCGCCCCCGTCCGTGTCGTCTGCCGCTGCTCCTGTCGTTGTGGACACTACAAGTCCATCGACGAAACAGACAGCCTCTGCCGCTGGCACATCATGGCCAAGGCGGAATGTGGCAAAGCCGACGATGGGCATCTTGGGGCTCGTGGATCAATACCGGCGACCTGGCTCAACGACCACGTCCAGTGCCAGTCGAGGTGTGGGGATGAAGCGACCGTTGCCGGACACGAGTGTGGTGAACGACACGAGTAAAAAAAGTCGTACTCCCCCCACGGAATCCCCTCTGTCGTCGGCGCGGCAATTGTTTGAGTCGCTGCAAGCGATGCCTCAGGCGTCGTCAATGCCCCCGACCCCCAACTCGTCCCCGCCCCCTGCCGCCGCCGTCTCGTTCCCACGACGGACCAGTGGAGGGATTGTCACGCCTGCGAAATGTCGGTCCTCGGCGGCAGTCTCCCAGTCGACCGCACCCTCCGCCACGGCAAAGAAGCCCATCAAGCGACCAACTGCGACCCCAACAACACTACTCGCGTTCTTTTCCAAGAAAGCACTGCCGATTTAATAATACATCCCCGTGTGTGTTCTTGATTGATGGTTGTTTGTCGTTGCTTTGTTGGACTGGGGCGACGACGACTTGATCGGGTGCTGTAGTCGGAACTTGAGCAGCGGCGGTACATCCGTCCGTCCGCCTTTGGTGGACGTCCGAGGTCGGAACGGTACGTTCAACGCCACGAGTCGCTGCTGCTGTCGACACACGACGTCGATTCCCACTAGAGTTTGGTGGAGTCGGCGAAGATGACATTTCAACGCTGTGAGCCGCGACTCCAAAGCCATCCGCCCTGGCTCCCCTATGGACACCGCAGCTCGTTCCACTCGACATTGCATCCACTTCAACGCGTTTTGGAGCATTCGCGCCGCGATGTCTGTCTTGGCTGCCGCCACCGCCGCCCGTTCTGTGTGACATTGTCCCCCAGACATCGACTGGAATGAGGTGGCCAGCTGTTGTCGTTGGGTGGAAATACATGAACGACCTCCTCGTCCTTCCTCGTCATGTTCTGGCGCCAGGATCGAAGTCACGTCCACGAGCCCGCCGTCTGCCAACGCCGCGGCCGTCGCGCGCGTTGCCTGCACGAGGCGGAGGCGCTGCAGATGCGCGCGCCGTCCGTCGTGTGTCAATTGAACCACATGGTTTGCTTCCATCAAGTGGATGCCTTTCTTCAGAGGACGACTCCGCTGGGCCCGCCACCCGCGCCACGTCATTTGAATGCTCGTGGCAGCACACGTAGCCTCCATCCACTTGAAATCCATTGAAGTGGTCGTCGATTCGTCGGGTCGTAATGCGCGGATCGTCCGTTCGTTGTCGTCTTGTCGCTGTTGTTGGTCCCGCAGTACGTTGGTCAAGTTGTCCACCATGTCGTCGTACATGGCCACTAGACAACTATAACTCCAATCCATGGCAAAAGTGGAAATATGCTATAATACTAGGTACTGTACAGTATAACTCAACTCGATTTCAAGTCCCATGTACTGTACACTCTGTACCTCGTCGATGCTCGCACGTGAGTTTTTGTTGGAGCGACACCATCTACCATCAAAATACATGCACATCAACCCTATGTTCTTTCCTCTTTCTCGTCAATTTGGATCACACTTACGTCGGCGCTCAAGGCAGCCATGTCCTGCTGCCACGTCATGCATTCAAACGTCTTGTCATCCAAGCACGACTGTATCACCTTCAACCTGCCGCCACATATACCGCCCACATTAGGGTTCCCGCATCGTAATATTGCCACTTCTCCGTCAGTATGTTACTGTACCTCGCTAGACACTTGGTGGTTTTCGCTTCAGCGGCCTGCCGTTGGCGCCGCGCACACTCGACGTCGTCCATCAGCAGCCCCGCCTTGGCCTCCATCTCGCGGGCTGCTGCTGTCCATTCATCCCGAGCGTCCAAATACGTGGCCTGCCACACATGGCCGGCCTCGACGTGGCGTGTCGCCGCCTCTTCTGCGGCCATGAGCATGCCTCCACTCACCTCCCACTGCCTCTCCAGCGCACTTGTGAGGGTTTGCACTTGCAGTTCCAGCCGACTGATTGCGCACTCGGCGCGCACGACGTTGCGGTTGGCCATCGCATGGTCGAACGTGCGCTGCTTGAGGGCTTCGGTGGCCGAGCGCAATTTGTCCTCCAGCGCGCGCGTGAGCTCGCGCACTTCGCGCCTCTGGTCGTGCAGCTCGTGCACAGATCGTTCCAAGTCGCGGTATGCGACTTGCTTGTCTAACGTTACCACGATGACAAAAAATGGTGTCAAGATCGTCATGCCCACTTTAGTCATCGAGTAATGTGGCGATTCATTCAATCCACAGAAATGAAAGGGACCAACCGCCACTGCTGGAAGTATACCTCCCTCCCCCATCAACGCGAAATCCTCAAACTTTCATCTTGGCATGAAGCAGCATTCTTGCAAACGAATGTGAGCAAAAGCACAGTAGTACCAGCCAGCCCTTGTTCCAACTTAGCTCGTTGTTGGCCCCACAATGCCTTGGAGTGGACAAGGACATGCCGAAGCCAGTGGCACCACGTCGCATACTGCATCACTTGCGCTTGAAAGTGCAGTCGCCATCGCAAACCGCGACATTGCACCAATTTCTATCATCATAAACAACATGATGACAGACAATTCACATACATTCTCCATCCAAACCACCACGCACCAGCGTGCCGCGCCAGTGGCCATCCATTTCGTCGTACGTGGTCTGCCACACTCTTGTTTTCGTCCGAAACAATTCGTCCAGTGCCGTGTACTGCGCCGTGGCCGCGTCAAGTTCGCGTGTTCGTTGCAGTAGTTGCTGGCGTGTGTCTGCAAGTTGCGCTCGTGTGGGTTCTATCGCCGCCAGCGCGTCCTTGAGCCGCCGCTCCAAGTCCGCCATCGCATCCATCGACCTCTGCTTTGTCAACGCATGCGCCTCCACCTCTCGCTGCCAGTTCCCAGACATGGCGTTCAGGTCTTGCAAGTGCTTGAGCTCCACGCGGGTCTCCATTGCGGCGGCAGCCGCTTCGAACCGCTCGATGTCTCGCTGGAGGGTTTGGATCATGTCGGCGGCCTTGGCTTGTCGTTCGTTGCAGCGATCGACCTTGCGCTGCCATTCCCGCTTCTGGGAGTCCATCTCGTCGGCCGCCATCGCCATCGCTGCGACATGGGCGTCTTGGCATTGTTTCAGCTCGGCTTTGGCGGTGGCAGCGGTATGGTCCGCAGTGGCGGCGGTACGGTCGGCGGTAGTGGCGGCCGTCTCAAGCTGGGCCACCTACGTAGCGCCACGATTGCATATTCAACTAGTCCACAAGATATTGAATATAGTTAGTTGGTGTTGGGTGGCTAATGGCTGCTGAACTGTGGCTTCAATAGTTGGTTCGTTATGCCGTTCGTTCGTTCGCTCATATAGGCTGAACGTACAGTGTGTTGAAGGCGCACGACCGTGGCTTCCATGCTGGCGTGGTGGGTCGATCGCGCGGCGGCCATCGCGTCCAGTTTGCCTTTCAACCGTTTCTGCTCGTCCTGGAGGAACGCAGTGACCTTTTGCTCCTTGACCAGCATGCGACTCAGCGTCGCGGCGTCGTCCGTCATGGCCGCGAGCGCGCCGTCCGACTTATCCTTGGCGGCTTTCACGGTCGCGAGTTGTTGGGTGGCGACTTGCGCTGCGATTTCAGCCTTGGTCCACGCTTCGTCCTGTCATATTACCCTTTGCCACGTGAACATGATAGCCAAGGGGGTGGTGATATATACGACTAAACAACTACATACGTTGCATTGAATCAAGTCGGCGCCGCCCCCGCAAGTCTACATGGGTGTGCACCCAGTGAGCCACAAAAGAAGTAGTGCACCAGACTGGCAACGAAGAAAACGATGAAAGGAGCAAGGGTAGGTCTGGAGGTACACTCCTCTCACCGTGCACGGACGGACCCGCAGCAAACTCTCGGCCGGACTGAACAGCGGCAAGAGGGGCTTGAAATCGGCGGACGGCAGCGCCGCCAGCTCCGCGTCCGTGCGAATTCCGTGCTTCCATAGCCGATCTTTCACGACGACGACATCTCGCATGTATGCCATGCGGAGCTTGTCTAGAAGCTGCGTGCGACGGTGGATTTGGTCTCGCAGGACCGCGGCGTCGGACGCGGCAGTCGCGACGAGGCTGCGAAGGTACTCTGCTTCGTCCACGACCTCGATATCCAGTGGTTCCATTCAGGCTGTATCTACCGTTGAGGGGATGATTATGGATAGTGGCGTGGTGGTGATGGCATAGCGTTTCACTTGTAACGCCTGGGTCCTCCATTGAAAGCGACACGGAGGAATATGATCGGGTAGTAGTAGGTTCACATCGTACATTCATCGGTGTTTAACATGCTTATCTAATTACTTTTCGACTGTCCACGAGTCGCCATCTTCGCGGACGGTGGTCGTGATGGACGTCGTGGCTTCGACTTCGCGGGGCTTGGTGGCCTTGTCCATTTCGTCAAAGAAGTCAATCACGTTCTTGCGGAACGCCAACACGCCCGAGTTCCAGCGTTCGCGCACTGCGGTGTAGTATTCATGCTCGACCGCATACGCCGGCACGACGACCTTCTTCGTCTTTTGTCGCAACGGGGGGTTCAGTCGGTTGCGCATCTCCCCCAGACGCAGCATACTGTCTCCCGTGCGCTCCTGCACCAACGTGCGCAGGCTCCAGTACCCTCCGGCAGCCACGAGTACTCCCGTCCCAAATGCACGCAACACCATGGTTCGTCTCCTTGTGTCTGGTGACTGGGAATATAGAAATGAGGTTGAATGTCCGGATAAGTGAGACGATTATTCGGTTTTTGTTTTCATTTCTGCATTTTGCTGTCGAGTGGCGACAGCGTCGGCGGTGATGGGTAGATGGGTCCTTGACTTGAATGTGATAGGCCTCCCTTTACAATCTTGGCCTCACGCACGTTGTGATGACAAGTGTGTCTTTGCTAAGAAGTCATGTACTCTACGCGAGGCCATGATGTATCAATGATACGACCATGGTCGAATCAACAGCAACGTCAGCGCGAGCGTGGCTGGTTGATTCCATAAGCATTGGCGAATGATGCGCGATCTGCATCCCAGCATGCTGCTCCACCAGCCAAGCACCCCCGCGAACGTTCTTGTGGATGCATCCACAGCTTTGTTCTGTGCTGTTCCACGCCATCGTCCATCGAACACAATTTCTCACGTTTATTATTCCCATTTTCAAGTCGCAACCCATTCTCCATGTACACGTTGTACTATTCGCCTGCGACAGCAAGCATGATCGTACATCACATGCTCAAGGAACTGCGCGTTCCCCACGAGCTCCGTCTCGTGGACATTGATACCGGGGCACAGAAAGACCCAAAGTACCTCCGCTTGAACCCGAACGGCCAAGTGCCGACACTGGTGGTCGACGGGCGGCCCATGTACGAGGCCGCGGCGATCACGCTGTTCCTCGCGGATCGCCATCGCCGACGACGAGCGCCGCGCCACGTATCTCAGTGGATGTTCCACTTGGCCAACACGTTGCAGCCGGCCTTCCGCCTGTGGTTCTACGCGAAGGACCTCCCCCACGTCGATCACGCCACCGTTAAGGCCGACGTCCAAGCGTGCATCGAAGCTGTGTGGGACCGCGTGGAATCCCATCTCGTCGCGGCGAATTCGTCGTACATGCTAGGAGCGTCCGTCTCCGCCCTCGACCTGTACCTTGTCATGCTCATGCGGTGGTCTAGAAACATGCCGAAACCAGCGACGGAATGGCCGCGGGTGGCGAGTGTCGCCCATCGCGTCAAAGAAACCACAAGCTGGAAGAACATGAACGCCGCGGAAGGCAACACCGACTGGCCGTAGATGTCAGACATCTAAGTGCAACGAGCACTTCAACCCGTGCATCATTCATGGCCATGTATCTGTAGTTGGGTTTGAGTCTTATTGTCCAAAGCGCCGTAAGAATCACATGTACACCCTGTACTACGCACCAGCCACAGTGAGCATGGTCGTGCACCACGTCCTTGTGGAACTGGAGGCACATGGCGTCACCCATGAACTTCGACTCGTGGATATTGAAGCTGGCGCGCACAAAGGCCAGGACTACCTGCGCCTAAACCCGAACGGACTCGTTCCTACCCTAGTCGTGGACGGACTGCATCCCGTGTATGAAGCCGCTGCCATCACCATGTTTCTCGCAGACCGCCATCCTGAAGCAAAGTTGGCACCGCCTGCCAATGACACTTTGGCGCGGTCAACCTACTTGCAATGGATGTTCCACCTTGCCAACACATTGCAACCGGCATTCCGACTGTGGTTTTACCCCAAAGATCTCCCCCATGTCGATCATGAAGCAGTCAAACGGTCCGTTCAGGCCCAAATTGAAGCCGTGTGGGATCGTGTGGACTCGCACCTTGCCGCAACGAGCTCCCCATACATGCTCGGGGACGACGTGTCGGCCTTGGACCTCTACCTCATGATGCTTATCCGGGGTAGTCGAAACATGCCCAAGCCGGCGACAGCGTGGCCTCGGCTTGAAGTGCTGGCAAACCGCATCAAGATCCGACCAAGCTGGAAGGTGATGAACGATGCGGAAGGACTCACCGACTGGGTTTGATAATCTTTGCGCCAATTTCAAAACGAGCCTTGTCGTCAGTGATTGGATAAAATGCATTAAATCAACCAATCTAGAATCGTTCTGGAATTTTATCCGGAGTACCGGATAATATATTACAAAGTGGATTTGGGTTTGCGCGCGGAATGCTGGGTCGCGATGCGCAGTTGACGTCGCTGGTGGCATTGCTAGGTGGCCAAGTCGAGGACGACCCGTTCCTTCCCATGACGTGCATGTCGATGGTACCCCTCGTCGTCGTCTATGGGTACAACTCGACTGGGAAGAGCAGCTTGGTGCGCTTGGCGCTGCAGACGCTCCAGCGTACGTCATCGATTGCGTTCACAGCGTTTGTCGACTGCACCACCGTATACTCTCGTCGTCAACTGTTCACCGACATCCTTCGCCAAGTACACCTTTCATCTTCCATTCCGTCATATACTGCTACACCATGTTATGTACATTCCTTAGATCGATCCCATGGCGAGGATGCAGCCCGACGAACTCTCCGCGTCGTTCCAGCTGCAACCCGCCGTGGATGGATACCACAACTTGACTTTCCTTGGGTTTCTGCAATGCTTGACTAAGATTGCAAGGAACAAGGGTCTCGTCGTGGCCGTCGACAATGTCGATCAGTTACTAACCCGGGGCATGGCCGATCTGCTCTCGAGCTTGCTGCGTCTGCCACACGAAGTTCGTGTCTTCCTTCTAACGCTGGTTTTTCATCCTCACTTCTGAGCTAGCTCCACGTGTCCGTACGACTCAGCTTCGTGCTTGTCACTCGCAACATCTCGTCGCGGCTCGACAAACTGCTGTCGCCGCATACCCCAGCGTTCGTGCACCTCCCATTGTACACCCCCGACGACGTCGCGGACATTCTCGTCCTGCAGCTGCGTATGTGGCGCCGCGAAACCCCATTCCGCGCATGGATCCAGTTCCTCCACGGTCTCTTCGAGCACGACTGCCACGACTGGATCGACTTTCGGTATCGCGTCCTCGAGTTGCTCCCTCTCTTCGACGCGCAGTACGATCCAGAGGATGCCACGAATCACGGTACGTCCATCCACCAGAGACCATCACTCGACAAGGATCATCATTCTCCTTCAACCACCTGCATTCCTCATTTGGTTTTGTGTACAGTCGACAAAGCAGCCCACAAGAGCTTGGTGCAGCAGACCCAGAGCCGCGTCAAAGCGCAATGGAACCACACGACCGCGCTGCCGTCGGCGACGACGACCCCCGCGTCCATCTCATGTAGCGTCCCGGACACTGCGAAACCCATGGCGGGCAAGCATCCGGTCCATCACGACGACGCGAGTCACCGCGTCAACCTGCCCCGCGGCAGCCTCTTGCTCGTGCTCGCGAGCTACTTGGCGTCATTCAATCCCCAAGAGAGCGACATGGCGTTCTTCACCACGGCCACGCGGCAAAACAAGAAGCGCGGTCGAAGCACAGCCACACCCAGCTCTGCCCCACCGTCGTCGTCTGTACGTGCGTTGAATATGCATATATGCACCATGGTTTTCCATGTATCCTGGTGATGGTGGTGCCGCGAGTAGAAATTATCTTCCAAACGAGGGGGGGGGGTGCTGCCGCCGCAGCTGATCGGGCCCAAGGCGTTTCCATTGCAGCGCCTCTTGGCCATCTACTACAGTATCCACGACGAAGTAGATCCGTCGACGACGTTTGACAGCGAAAGCCGAGTGGACAGCCGACCCATGTCGCGGCGGGAAGCATTTGCGCAGGTACGTCGTTGGTGGAAGGATGCTCGACTGACAGACATACGAAGTTGCTCATGATGATATCGTGGGAATGTGTTTCGATGGGTACATAGATCGGCATGCTCGTGCGCATGCGGGTCCTGCAGCGGCTGTCCCCGCGCGACGAACTGGACGACATCAAGCTGCGGTGCTTGGCCGACTACGACTTTGTCGAACGCATTGCCACGCAACTCGAGTTTCCAATCCATAACTTTCTCAATCGTTAAGTCATAATCACCAAATATGTGAGGATCACGAGCAGTAAACTCAGTCCGATGATGATGCACATGTTCTTCATGCCTCCTACGTATGTCCGTCGATGAGATGGCGGTGTTGAGGAGGAGGACGAAGGGGGAAGAGTTCGTTTGCACCTGCTTCTTTGATGAGTTCCCGGGTCTTCTTTGTGATCATGTCCAAGTTCTCCTGGGCACGGTCGGTCTCGGAGTTCACTTCGTCCAACATCCTAATGCATGACGACGGGTCATTACAACATACGGCGATATCATGGACGCTTTGTGTACTTGTTTTGAATGTCGAGCTCGGTACTGATGTTGCCACTCATAACCCCCAGCTTCTTCACGGCGCCGTGCAGCACGTCCAGGTCTTCGTCCTGTTTGTTCATCTCGCGCTACACAAGTGTCAATTGTGGATCCAACTCAGCACGGAAGGGAGCGAACCTGTTGTTGTTGTCGGTCTGTCATGAGCGAGGCTTCCTCATCGTCTGGCTACATGTCCCGTGATGAGTCGTCGTCTGTTGGAGTTCCTGGAAGAGCTCTCGTCCATATGCATGCAGACATACATGCACTGGGTGGAGCTCTCAAAGTCGTCTCTGCGATTCATACCTCATTGCTCACCTTTATGTAGTCTGAGCGTCCTTTCATCCTGACGTTGGGCGCCGAGGTGGTGTCGGTGCTTGATGTACGGAATAAATGAAAAAACTGCCATATAGTCAGTTCAAGATTAAGATCCTACCATCCCATTGTAAAAATAGAATTCAGAACGTTTTTTCATTGGCTATAATTGTTGATTGTTAGTGAAATGATTGGATGTGTATAATGTGATGGCGCCTATTCATTCGTAATCATTTGAATATTTGGATTGGATGAAATGCTAGTCACTTGCTCACTGATTGGCCTATTAGAGAGGTTTACCTCTGTCCCACTTATATTGATTCACCAGCTATTTCGTACAATTTCTATAATATTATATAGTTTATGATAAACTCTACTGTACCACGTATGTGAACCAAATCCTCTATCTATGAATAATTCAACACTCAGATCAGATATTAATTATCAAAACTAATTGATGAGTACGGTGAAAATTGATCATCATTCCTCTTTTCTTTCTAGGATATTATCTTCCACAAAGTTAGGACAAACTATTATTAGTACAAACCCTTGAATTGATTGAAATATTCCCATGAAATCCTGAAAAAGTGGTATGGAGCAAATACGTGGGACAGAGGTAGTAAGTACTACAGCTTTGGTGCAGTCTTCGCTCTGAAACTTGCGACGATGGCAAGATGGTCAGCGACGCTGTGGCTTATCGCGGCAGTCCAAGCGTCCATCCACGTAGTGCATGGCCCTACAGTGGGATGGAAGGCCATGGAACGCATGTTTGCTAGCGCCCCCGGAGGCAAGCACTCGATTGTTCGCGTCGACTTCAACGCCACACCCGTCGACGTCACCTCGATCCCATCCGACATGGAGTTCGCCGTCGCCGTGTCTATCTTTGACACGGCTGAAGGCTCTGCGCCACCCTTGGAGTTCTGCGCCGAGAAGTACTATCATGGCGACCACGCGGTCGGCCACGTCTTCGCCGATGTCACGTCCCAGCAAGTGCACGGGAGCGAGGAATTCGTCGTGCAGCATACCAGCGCGCATATCGTGGTCGTGTCTACATGCGTGCGGCCCAAGTTCACCTTCGGCGACAACTCGACGGTCAATCTATTCCCGTTTCAGGACCTTGAAGGCGGCGTCGTGTACGACATTGCCGCCGCCATCTCGTTCGAAAATGGCTATGGGTACCTGCCTGGCCTTCTGTGGGGCTTGCTCCCATTCAGGTGATGCTCTTGACTCTGTCTACATACCATCCTCTCATGGAGCATGATATCGTAGCGGCTTGCTCTTGTTTGGGTACGTGTCTGTCCTGACGATCTTTGCGGGGCTGTATTGGTGCCACCGGTCCACTCTCCTTCGGCTGCACACGTTCATTCTTGTGGTGCTGGTCTTGATGACAGGTATACCCCCTCTAGCCTACATATATACCCCTCCAGCTTACATATATATCTATCTCTCTTCGGTCGTTTCATGTTTAGCCGAGTCGTTGCTGTGGTTTATCACGTACGTTGACCTCAACTCGACCGGCCAAGCGATTTGCTGCCCCTACCCGCCCATGGTGGTCGCATCCACTGCGTTGAAAGTGCTTTCCAAGCTCGTGGCTCGCGTGCTAACGATGATCTTGTGCCTCGGCTACGGCCTCGCGCGCCCCCACTTGACTGTTCCCGAGACCATTCTCGTGACTGGTCTCGCGCTGTGTTATGTCGTGTCGAGTGGCGTCTTGGAGATTGTACATCTATCCAACCAAGCCAAAGGCACCGCCGAGCCGCCCTTGGTCTGGGAGGTGTTGGCGGTGGCGACAGACTGCTGCTTTGCCGGGTGGATCTTTTTGTCTCTGACTGTGACTCGCAAAACCCTTCGGGCCACGGGCCAAGTACGTGCGGGCTGTACTTTAACAATTGTACTTTACGATTACGATGTAGACGGCCAAATTGCGCATGTACACCTGGCTCTTTGGCGTGCTCGTGGGATTTGTCGCGATCGCGTGTGGGTTTACGTTGTTTGAAAATGCAGTGTACGTTGGACATGACAAGTTTGTGTAGTTTACCACCGTGGTGTAGATATGCCAACCAAGTGCCGTCATTTACGTGGGAATACATGTGGATGCTGTGGGCTGGAAGCCGCGTGTTAAACTACGCGCTGGTCGTGGTCTTGTCTGTGATATGGCGCCCCATGCAAACCAGCTCCCTCGTCGCATATTCGCTGCAAGTGCCTTCGACTGACGACGAGACGCGACTGGACAAAGCACCTCAAGTGTTTGAAGCTGACCAAACTCCAGCTACGGCAGCGCAAGACAAGGATGATCAGGATGGTCATATTGGCGTGCAAAAGGATGCTGTCGACGCAGCTTAAGACCACGCAATGGGGTTGTGGACTACTAGTAGTACTGTAGTAGTACTAGTTGGAGGCGCAGCTAGCTACAGTCGATGCAAAGGAGGACTTGCTTAATCCGTGAATTTATACTTGACTTGTTAGTCCGATCGAATGTATGCACAAGTACGAGAATCGACTTGGGGGTCGCATGTTGCAGTAGCTATCTCTGTGATGGTTGGATTGCTCACGAGTACTAACGTTACTGTAGCAACGTTCGTCGAACTGTGCTGTAACTAAGTTGGCTTGATTGGTGGTGGCAATATTTGGGTGTCAAAAAGTTATTAAAGCCACCTCCATACGCTCGTGGACATGTTGGTTGTGGTTTTGTGGGACGTGATATTGTTTGTTGTCTGGACCTATCATACTTCTATAGTCGTCGTTACTGGATCGAACAGCAGCCGGCGGCGGGGGGCGCGGCACCAGCGGCCGCCTGAGCTGTCCTTGAGTAGTGCGTGAACTTGGAATATGTGATCTCATGCAGCGGCACGGCGGCGTCCTTCTCGTCCACGAACGACAGCTTCTTGCCGGTGCGCGGTCGATTCCACGGGTTCTCGTTCTTGTACGAGCTTTGTTTCCTGAGCCCGTCGAGGCGGTTCGGGTGTAGATGGGTTGTGGGCGCGTCCAGCGGCGGACCCACTCGCGGCAAGGCCGTCGCCGTGCTATCGGCATATTCTTCTGCTTCTTCTTCTTCGTTGTCGTTGTCGCCGGTTGGTTGTTTATCGGGGTCGTCTCCACTAAACCCGGCAATGTCGCGCCGACTGCTGCCGCTGCTGCTGTTGACCGTACTCCCAAGACTGCTGTGGTTGTCCATGTGCGCGGCCAGGCTGTGTTCGGATGCTACTTTGGCCATTCGATGTTGTTGTGGGAGCTCTGTTTCCCCCACCACTTCATTTACAGTCGCACAGGCTACCAGGTCCCGACGTGCGACGATTGAGCGAGAGGGTATTGGTGGCGGTACAAGGAGGGGGAGGGGGGCTAGTCGGTGGCAACGCCGGGGCTCGCTCACTGCTTGCTGCCTTTCACCACGTTGCAACTGGCAAATATGGGGCGCCCACGAAATCGCCCAAGTCTATTTTAAGCGTGAAACGTTGAATTACGGATACTATGGATCATCATGGTTGAAAATGGTTAGACAGACACACAACGACCAGGAGGTGACGTCCGTCAACACTGCTCCAGGCTACCGCATTTTGCACCAAGTGGAGGGTACTTTGCAAGGAAACTGTAGCTTGCCTTGACATAAATCCCCGCTATGCTACGCCATACAGTGTACCGGTAGCCAGGCCCAGCGTCACTCGCTATCGCTACACTGTAGCTAGCCAGGTCCATGGTTCTTCTACCTACCGTACCTACCTACCTAGCTTTTAACTGCCCTTGACATGGTCTTATTAGTTGCATGGTCTCGAGACTCTGTATTGCGAGAGGTTGTCGTGATGTGTCTGTCCAACGATGAAAGGAGCGCAAGAACAACAAACAGTACACTGTAGGCATGTGTAGCCTAGCCGCATCAAAATATGTGAAATTGGCACCACTGTGGTGGCCACATCATCGTGTTAACATGTCACCAAAGAGAGCTTCGTTGCTTCCATGTCCAACGCTGCTGTAGTCGTCGCGAGAGATGCCAATGTCGTGGTTTTCCATAGCAAACGGCGTGCACAGACTAATACGGCCAGTACACACTTCCCCAGCAAAACGACAGAGTCCAGTCGCTTACTTGTTGGCCTTGTTAGCCTTGTGGCGGGCGATACGGCGACCGACACCACGGACCTTCTTGGCGCGGTTCTTGGATTCCTTGATTTGCTTGCGGGACTTCTCGACCTTTTCGCTGAGTCCTTGCTACATACATATCGACATATGAGACTTTGCTGTTTTCTCCACCTGGGCACCACAACATAAACACACAACAACAAGAGCGCCTCTGCACCATATATATATATATATGTGTGTGGAACGAAGAAGGACGATGATCGATCGACGTACGCGAACAAGGCGGTACTTGGGTTCGAACTTCTTGGCGTCGTTCACAGTGTCGTAGATCAACGCAAAGCCCGACGACTTTCCGCCGCCGAACGCGGTGCGGAACCCGTACAAGAACACGGTGTTGGTGTCCGCGACCTTGTACATCTTGGCGAGCTTTTCTTGGAGTTCGGCCTTGGGCACGTTGGGGCGGCCAGGGTGCAACACATCCACAAGCATTTGGCGGCGAGCCAGCAGCGTGTTGCGGAGAAACTTGCGCGTGCGCACGGTCACGGGGGCTTTATCAGACATTTTTCTGGGGAAAATGGGCGTTTACCAAATGTGTGCCTCTCAATATGCCATTCGCCTCAAACTCCAACCGATTGGGATTCTGTCCACCAGCCAACACTGACCCCGACCCTATTGGTCCATATACAAAGCGCTAGTTGTATGGCGGAACCTCTCGCAACCGATACTACCCTCTGCAAATCGATATTTAGTGTACGGATAACGTATCCGTAGGAGTCGGAGCGTTGGTGTTTGTCCCAGAAAGGCAGCCAATCAGAGAGCGTAGAAATCTCATACCAAGAACTTGGATCCAACAACAAGATCTGGACGTGTTGCTTGTTATCAGCAGCAAAGAGTGCTACTATACGCATAGTATGAGACTTGAATGCTACTTAGTGCGTGGTTTGACTTGGATTGTCACGCTCGTTTGGATGGCAGTCGGCTGTGAAAGGCTGGACGGACCTGTTTCGCCCAGTGACCGCGTGGGACAAACCATGATGAATAATTAAATTTGTAACGTTAATATAAATCAGTTCCCTGAGTTGCCAGAGTATATTCTCGTTGAAGTATATAAAATTTCGTGTAATTTTATTGGATTGATTCTGCCGCAGATGAGAAACAATCATCCATTCCACACTTCTCGCAACGTACCTCGGCAGGGCCTCATACAGCATGTCCAAGGAAGGCTACATCATCCGCCACGGGAAGAAGTCCAGCGATATCCTTTACTGTATCGTGCAGGATGGCCGCGTGATATTCTTGGACCGACGCGGCGGGGATGTTGTGGAAGAGTTTGGCCTCACGCGAACATTGCTCAAGATCCGAGGGGCCACGACAGACGAAGCGTTTGCATGCGAGAACAGCTTCATTGTTCAAGTGCGCAACTCGCAGCTTGTGAAAGGTCGGCAGGTCGCGGAAGGAACCGAAGGCGAGTACCTTTTGTCGGCGCCAAGCCACAAGGAACGCAAGGAATGGGGCAACGCCATTCACTCGTGGCAGCGCCATTACTGGAGGGAACCACTCCATGCAGGACTGAACATGACAGAGATCGAAGAAGAAGCGTTCTTTCGGGCCCAAGTGTCCACTCTAACGCGCATGCTGCAGGAATCCCCGCGAGGCAAGCAAAAGGGCAATCGGCATCGCACCAGCTCCGCAGCCTCATCCAACGTTGCGTACAACACCATGCAACAACCTGCGTATTAAACACTTAAAATTAAGTTATTGGCCTATTCGCCGGAATTCACAATAAATTTATTTATTTTTTAGGTTTTAGTATAAATTATACTAACCCACGCCCCATGCTCATTCTCTCAGCGCTTGGGCCATCGCGTTGTCCTTACGAATTCGATGGCAAGTGCACCACGACAGCAATGCCACTATATGAGCATGGCATAATATGGCCTTACCATGCACGATCTATGTACCGTAGCAAGCTATCTCTCTGTCGCGATGGCGTATTGGAAGGAAACGTCGTCCGTTGTGATTCATCAAATCGGGAGACGCGGGTACACATCCTCGCTTGTTCCAGGAACATCACGTGCGATATGCGCTTGGAACAAGATCCTTCTGGCATAGGCACACGCTTGCTAGTTCCATGTCGTCCTCCCGAGGTACATAACGACGAAGGAAGCGTCGGTGGTGGAAGGTTCCGCGCTGTGACGAACAGTTTTGCGATCTTTCGATTGCAACATGAATTCGCCGCATATCGAGTTTGAAGGGATTGAATGGTGTGGACACCCCCTGACAATTAATATAGGTGGCATCTCCAATAATCAACCATGATGTGGACGTCGTTACTTGGCGGTCGCAGCAGATAGTACGTTCCTCCTTCCTATATGACGCGTCTACGGACGTCAGCCTGACCGAATGAATATGCGCATGTAGCCGACTAGCGAGTTCGTTTACTCGTCACGTTAGCAACCTTGCGCATGTCGTGATCAAAGCGGAAGGAGCGACTCCAACCAAGTCCGTGGTCGTCTTGCACGGCATTCTCGGTGCAGTCCTCCTCCGCCAATATCATGCGAGTAATCTAACGTCATGATGGACATGTAGGTAACAAAGGCAATTGGGCTACGTTTTCTCGACGGTACACCTCGCGCTCTAATGATCCTTCCTCAGAGCATTGCCGCGCCTTTCCTCCACCTCACGCTCTGTCTACAGCATTGTGACCGCGTTTCCACAGTACCAAGTCATCGGCGTGGATCATCGAGGTATGCATGCCTTCACGTAAATACATGTGTCCAATCCAATCATACGCAGCCCACGGCGACAGTCCGTCCAAGTCCCCACCGCATCATCTGCATGCGTGCGCGCAAGACGTCATGTACACATCCATTTTTCCATGTCACTCCAACCATTTACCATCAAGTGTCACTAACGCTTTGTCGCATATATCCTCGTAGTGACTTGCTAGAGTCGCTGCATGTGACCCCGGACGTTGTCGTGGGCCATTCGTTTGGGGGCAAAGTCGCCTTGACATACTTGGACGCATGTCAACGGCAAAGTCGACCGGTGCCCCGTCACACGTGGGTGTTGGATGCGTTGCCAGGTTGTGGTATGTACGAACCCGCCGCCGCGCCGTCGATTCTTTTCAGTACTACCCATCATCATCATAACGATGATACACTGTGTGATGGCCTGTAGCCCAAAGCGACTACGCCACCCGAACGCAAGACGCGACGTTCAACTCGACGGACGTAGTCCTCCCCAAGCTCATGGAGGTGCCGATGCCGATCGCGACCAAGAAGGAACTAGTGGCGACTCTAGAAGCCAAGGGCTTTGATATTGGCCAGGCGCAGTGGATGACGACCAACTTGAAGCCGTTGGGGGACGGATTTGTGTGGAAGATGGACCTCCCCGTCGTCGCATTGTTGTTCAAGGCGTTCCTGGCCACAGACTGCTGGCCCATCTTGGAGCACCCGCCCCCCAACACCCACATCCACGTCGTGCGTGCCGAACTCAACAAGTTCTGGACCCGCGACGTGATCCGTCGATTTGACACTGTAGCCACGCAAACACACCACAGAGTGCATTTGCACTTGCTCGAGAAAGCCGACCATTGGGTCCATGTGGACAACCCCCAAGGACTGTTTGCAATCATGCAGCGCAGCTTTAAATAAGCGCCATAATATACGGATATACTTCGTCTGTTCCAGGTTTACTGCCGACATTTACTTTGAATTGACACAGGCAATCGAACCCTCACTCAATTTGGGCGAATGATACTCTGAAAGGGATTTGCATGAATTTTCGCAAAAGATTGGTTTATAATCAGCGCTTAAAGCAATTGTAAGCCAATGAAATGTCATAAATATTCGATATTGATAGAAATTGAAGAATTACAGCCAATGAAATGCAAATGTCGCCAGTAACTTGGAACATGCGAATTTTGAAATGTCGGCGGCGTGGGTCCACAGTCGACATGGAATCACAGGCGGTGGTGGTTGGTTCAGAGGCATTTCAGATATCGAAATGGACATGCAGGTACGTACATCAACGTGACCGACAGGGGTTGAGCTAAGGCGTACCCATGGGGTTGGTGGTTTGCCAATCCAACGTTATAGCTAAAATCGCGATGAGACCATCCAAGAAAGTGATCATTTGCCAGTAATCAATCATGCACACAATATCCACATCTACATACAGGTCCTACATAACGTTACGGTTGCAAACTGTGGATAACCCTGCGAGTGTATCTACTTCGCTGCTCGGGTAGCCGCTGGTGTAAGACTTACAGGCGGCGCGGCGGTGGTTGCCTGGTAGATCGAGGGGACCAAACGGAGACCAAACGTGACAAGGCCGCGAATGAACGACAGGCACAAAAGCAAAATGTGTATTTCACTGGTGATTATGTCGTTTTCTCCCCAAAAGCTATCATCTATGCGCACCATGGAAGAACACGTTGAACAAGGTGACCGTGTGACGTTCGCTTATGGACAAGAAGTCGTAATCCAAACCCATCCAACAAGCCGCAGCCATACACACACACCCTGTCCATCCATGCCTTCCATCCCTGCGGTGGCATACACCTGGCTGGAACCGAATGCAACCTGCTCGCTTACAAGCCGAGCTTGGTGCGGCGCCAGTGGCGGCGCTTGGCGTTGTAGCTACACACAGAGCACACACACACAATCATGAGTTTTTCCTGTACACATGTTCCTAAACGTAGCTAGAACGAACGCCTGCCTGCACACGACAACGAGTAATTCGACACGTACCGAATGGTGTTACCCGTCTTCAGACGAATCCACTGTGGGATGGGTCGGTTTTGCTTTTGCTTCTTGGCCAAGATGGTCTTGGTACGGAAGGTCTTGTGGGAAGGCTATAGATACACTTGAGCTCATGTTCCCTCCCCATCAACATGGCCATCATCATGACGTACCATATTCGTGCTTCTGAGGAAAAAACCAGGAATGCTACCATGCCGATACTTCGGGCCAGTCAAATCAAGCGATTCTCTCCACACCAACCACTTTGCACACAATTATATTGACCAATCAAATCGAGGTCAAATCTGTTCGGATACAAGAAGAATGCCCGCAACATCCGGATAATACCAAATCCAGCTTGAACCGTCGCGAAAAATGACGCCCATCAATTGCAACTCACGGCCAGAATGGCCCAACAAGTGATTGCATCGATATGACGTGGCAAAGGAATTACCATTCCCGTTAATTAAATTGACGTTAATGTACCTACGCGCATGAGGGGAAGCGCTCGGGAGGTGAAGGACGCCCGTGAAATGGTTGGAACCTCCTTTCGATTATTGAGGCAAGACACCATGGTAGGTGACTTCGTGATGAATTATGTAGTAGAGCTGTGAAGTAGGCATAGTGAGAATTGGTAAACATGAAGTGCATGCGGTTCCCAAACGACACGGGACGCTATATCGCTTTCCATTCCTTTTTTAGCCACTCATCTGGAAATGAAATTGCCAGGACTAAGCGTTCCGTGGTGGATTTTGTTACTTTAATGACATCAATTCATGGCCCGCTCGGAGCATAAATCAAGTCAACGTGAAAACCCTTCTAGCTCCTGAAGGATGTGGTAGAATTAATGGCTCAGCACAAAGCATCGCATTCAACACGACATTCGTGATTCGGCCAACATATCATGCCCATAGGGTCTTGGTACAAGCCAAAGGTAATTTTGAATAAAATGTGGGTCTGTTAACCTTAATAACGTTAGGATATGAGTGGTAGCGAAGGTATAAGTACTTGCTTACAAGATCCATGTCAAAAGTCCCACAATGAGGACTGCAGCCGACACAGTCGCGGAGGCCGCATTTCCAGTGCCGTTTCCGTTGTCGTTGCCACTGGGCGACGCGGTGGAGGGGCTGACCTTGTCGCAAAACGTTCCGAGGTAGCCAACGTTGCATTTGCATTTGCCTTCACTGGTGCACACACCTTTCGAAGAGCAGGCTGTGGGAGAGCTATCGCACAACGAGCATTGGGGGCCGGTGGTTCCCTCGGAACAGACGCACAGGCCGGTCCCGGGGTCGCAGGAATTGCCTTGACCACAGCTGCCAAAACTGTCGCAAATATTCGACGTTGCTTTCAAGCAATTGTCGTCAGTGCTGTACCCTTGGTTGCACACGCACTGGTACGTGGAAGCAAGGGAGCCCACAGGGGCACATGTGCCGTGTCCGTTGCAAAGGGACGGGTTGGGGATAGAATCAGTGACAGTGCCATTGCAAGCTTGCATTTGCGTGTCTGTGAGGTTGCGCAGGCCACCAAGGTTCTGGCCCGTGTAGATAGTCGAATCAAGGCATTTGTAAATCCCCTGAACGGTCACCGATTCGTTGTTGGCAGTAAACGTCGCGGCGTAGCAGTTGACGGTGGCTGGATTGGGTGTGGCCACTGGGTTGATAGACTCTGCGTCCGACGCAGGAGCGGAGGTGGCAACGCAATTCTCCGCTGGGGCGAACGCACATACTGGTTGGATCTTTGGATAGTTGCCCGACCACGAACCAAAGGTGGGGCATTTGCCTGGAATATTGCCACCGCACGCACTGCCCAGCACGCATTGGGATGTCATAGTGAGGCCCAGAATGCTGGACTGTACCGAAACGCACGTGTACCCTTGGCCCCATACAGCGCAGTCCTTGGTGGCTTTGCATTGGCCAGGGGTCGCGGCAATCACCAACGAGACGGCGAGGGCCGCTGACGTAGCGCTGAGCAAAACTATCTTGACCATCGTTGTTGGCTGTGCTGTGAGTTTGAAGCAGTAAATGTGTCAATGAGTGGTGCTTCGACAAACGTGGGTGGGTGGCACACCTCGAATATGACAATCACTTTATTGAAAGATCGCGAGTTTCGGAGTTTGATTGGCCGTTGGTTTTTAATGGAGTCATTTGATTGGCCATTGCGAAATTCGAAACCACCAAATTTAGAAGCGGGGGTTTTCATTGGACGTTGAGTGGGAGGGTGGTTTCAGAATTCACTGGCAGGGGTCAAACTGCCAGAACATGCACGACAGAAGTCCTACAGGGTCGTATTGGGGGCGGCCTATGCAATGATGGAACCCTTGTTGGCTGAGTGCCTCAATCATTGGTGTTGTCACACTTGTCAATGAAATCAGAACCCCATTCATTCATATCAATGACGAACAACCTGCGTCAGCCGAATGGTCTCTATTCTGAGCTACTGTAGTACAGCACACAAGGGATCCCTTGTGTTTCCGTGCAGCCAGCAACATCAGTAGGATACCGTCACACTTATGTACCGGTATGTACAGGTACTGCGCCAAGCAACCACACCACAAGATGGGGACTCTTGTAAACATATCAACCCTCAGAATCTACGAGTACCCATCAATAGATACGTCCAGCGGGGTGTCACCGCAGTCACAATATGGGCTGGCGAAATACCTTGGTCATTACTAGTATACTACCAGACCATCGCTTCGTACTGTACAACGTGTTGTTGCAACATTGCAGCTGGAGCACGGTGATATTACACCACCCGCAGTGGAGTTTGCCCCATTACTCGTGGGACAATCCATCTTTGGATGCCCCGTCGGCCGTTCCAATTTGCCTACGCATGTGTGAACGTCGAGCCCAATGACGTGTGCCAGCGTTGCGAAACGCTTACAAATGGGGCGTTGGGGGTGCCTATCCACTGGGATTCCCTGGTGGCATTGTCTCCCAAACAATGAACAAGCCATCGACAAACACATGCGAGGGCAACGCTAGGAAAGGCAGCAAGAAAGGCAACGGTTCCCTGGAACAGACTTCTCTCTTTCGCACAAGAAAATCCATGCGTATGCATTGGAGGCAAGCTACAACGACCAAAAACTGCTACCTAGCAGCTCGCCCTGAGGCCTGAGGGGCGACGTGACAGATTCGTTCGAACGGCCCACTGAGTTTATACAGTGAACTCAACGAAGATCCAAGTTACATCGCCTTCCAGGCAACGTGAGCTTCCAGGACCATGGGGTAGCTTGCTATCTCGCGCTGATGCGACGGTCAAGGGGCTATGTATACTGGTATGCTTGGGTGTGCAAGAGACAGCAGATTTATACTTGAATTCAGTATGGTGCAGTGTCGCTCACGACTCTATAACGTACATCAAGTCGAAGGTTGGGACGACAGAAATAATATTCTTCGAATCGAAACAGACTCGCAGGTCTTGCAAATTGTATTTGGCGCCGAATATTATTTTCGAATGTTGGCTGAGTGCTGTGCTCAATCCAGAAACAGTCGAAGGATTTGGGTTGGCGATAGATATTACACATCCAATTCTATTCATGCACGAAAGAGCGTTCTTCCATCGTGCCTTTCACTCGCCCCACCATCTGGAGGGCACCAGCACCAGCAGCTCAGTTCTTAATTCCCCATCACGCCACCAACATGCTGCCTGAGACCACGACCAAGTCGAACAAGGGCGTCCACGTCAGCGTGAACGTTCAGTACAAGCCGCTGCCCACCGCCACGGTGGGCAGCGTCATGACCGTGTTTGAAAGCCCGTACTGGGCCAACTTTATGATTCAGTACATCATGCCCTACCTCAAATCGTACAAGCCCACAAGCCAAAGCATTCTCGAAAAGCTTGCGACATGGACAGTGTCGTCGGTGCCAAGAGTAGACGAGAGCTGCGCCATTTGCATGAGCAGCATGATGCCGGACGACAACAAAGCGAACGTGGTCGCACTGCCGTGCAGCCACACGTTCCACAGCGACTGCATCCGCCAATGGCTCACGCGATGCAACACGTGCCCCTACTGCCGCCACGAATTCCAAAAGGAACTCACAGGGCGGTTCGTCGTGTCCACGATCAAAACCGCGCTGGTCGTGGACGACGAGATCACCCAAGCGAACGTTCGCGACATCGCCGTCGGCGGCCACACCATGCAGGCCATCGTCAACATGACGTTGTTCCAAGTGCACGACGACGCCAACTACGGATGCGACCTGTTCGTCGAGTTGCAACAAGCACAGCAGGGCCACAACACCACGTCCCAGACGACCACAACGACCACCACCACCTCCTCCCACCAACCAACCACGACCGACGCCACCATCAGCGTCGCCACTCCCACCACCCCGTCGCCCCGACAGGCCCGAAAGCGCGGCTCTGTGTCGTCCACCACGGCCGACGCAGCTCGCCTGCTCAAGAGACTGCGAACTACCTCGTCGCATCCCCCGAACGGCACGGCTGCCCCTGGGGCTTGAACACCGACCGTTCGTAGTTAGTTGTAGTGTTAGAAAACCGTACCGCGTAGCAGTTAGTCGTTCGTGTACACCATCACGTATAGTTAGTTAGTACTAGTACTGTATCAGTCGAGCAATGGAAGCACTTCAGTACGCACTCAACATCGGTAACTAGTTTCTTGTCTTGCTTGCCATACAGCCAGCCTGGACCATGCCTGCCAATTACACGTACCAGGTATGCTCGTCCGCCGTCACTCGACAAGGCTGCATCAGGATGAGATTTTCTGTGGCCATCATGAGGTGAATAAGGGTAACTTGATTTATTTCGGAAATACTATGTGACAAATGGCCCTGGTAAATAATAAAATTCATTTATTTCATGTATTATGGGCCAAATGGGGCAATGAAGTGCCAAATGTCCCAACTAACAAAGAAGCCCGACGAAGCGGTGGTCGAGTCGTTGGTCGGGTTTGTCGAAGTGGCCACGCACGAGTTCTTGTACGTCGGTATCGGATCATCATATGCATGACCCTTCCTCCATATAGATATCGCTCCGACGTGTACCCGTCAGGTAGGATGTGGCCAACGAGGTCATCACCTCATGGACTTCTTTAAACTGCTGTCCTATAGGCCTTTACGACAAGTGGAAGAAGTTTGACGTGCCCGTGCACATATGCAGACATCCTCGACTACTAGAGTACATCCGATCTGTCGTCGCGAGCTGTCGGCCTTGGATTGTGCAAGGCCGAGTCGAATCGCTCTCGGTGGCGGTGCGGTCAACTAAAACGGGGGCGCTCCTGACCACTTGCGTCTTTGAACTGCGACTGTTGGCATGCTCCATCACGAACGAGGTCAAAGAACAGGTCGACGAAGTCTTCCGCCGCGCTCTCGTGCAGTTGTCGGCGGCGTTGTTGACAAATCCCCTGCCTAATGATCACGACGAACGGACGTTTCGAATGTTTCTGCGCACGATTGAAGACACGTCGATACCAGAAACCTTAGTGGGTGAACAAGACATCCAGCAGTCGTGGATACTGGCAACTCCAGCGGACGCGAACGATGACGCGTCTGCTGCGCTACTTCCCATTGCGTCCACGAGCCAGCCAGCCCTGCCGCTTCAGCTTAACTTGTATCTCCTCCAGCCGCCACACAACACTCCTGCCGCCACCCCGTCGCCCTAGTTCTCTCATAGATCGAATGCTATCTTTTGATCATGCAAGTGCACGAATGCGAACATGCATTCGCCTCTATGTCCATGCATGTCGTCGTTCTGTTCCCAGGGGTTCATCGCGCTCCTCTGCTGTCATGCAGCAACCGCATCCCGCCCGCCCCCATTCTCGTGTCCAGTTCCTGGATCTCTACTTACCAGAATGTTGGTATTGTTCCACTTGTACCCAATTAAAACCAAGATCGGACGACAATCCGGATATTAATCCGGATACACCCATTTTGTGAGTTTGCAACAACACGTCAGAACCGGTCGCAATATGGACAAGAAGCGGCAGCCCGTGCATGAAGGGTATCTGCAATGGCTGGCGGCATCAGCAGGGGGTCTGCAGACGCAGTACTGCCAGTTGTCCTGGTCGTGCCAGCTGCGCATGTATCCAACCGAGACAGCGGCTGCCAGTGGCGTCGGAGGCCGGCCGTTTTCGATCCGCGGGTTTTGCAAGTGGGAGGGTCGTGGGGTGTTGCCGTTGGACTCGTACGGCATCGAACTGCAGCTCAAAGACAAGGGTCAGTCGTCCATCTACTTGGCAGCAGAGAACCGGTTGGATTTGGAACGATGGTGTCGCGCGTTCGTGGCAGTGTTGGACCCGTCGTCCGACGCGGCCGACGAAATCAAGCGCGAACGGCGCAAGGTCAAACGCGACATTCGGAAACAAGCCGAGAAGGAGGCCGAGATCAAAGCCCAAGAAGACGAGTTCAAGCGCCGGTGGATCGCTCAGAAAAAGCAAGAGCTTCGGGACCGAGAGCTCGAGATCGAGCAGATGACGCCGCTGCAGCGCAAGGACGGATTGGGCACGCTGGACGAAGAGACCGAGGCCCTACTTCGGGACCGGAAGAAGCGACTAAACAAGAAGGCCGGCCAGCAAGTCGGACGAGTGGGAAAGCAGGTCCTTCGGCGGCGCATGGAGCTGCTCGGGGGCGGCAAGGTCGTCGTGCACCCCAACGACGCCACGTTTGGCGACATCGCCGCGTCCGCCGTGGTCGGGCAGCGAAAAGCCAAAGTCAAAGTCGAGTTGCCACCCCCCGGTCAATGTACGTTTGTCTGTCGGTCGAGCTATATATGGTGGATGAGATTTAGGCTACTCATAGCTTTATATTTTTATTATAATATACATACAGGGAATGAATACATATATTTATTTGTGGATGATGGATCGTGTAGATGTTGTTGTATATTATGTACTTGTGCGTTTTGGACTGATTTGAGAAAATTTATATATATATATTATTTGAAGCGTGTTTTCAGGAATATATATATATATATAGGATGGTATAATCCTTCAAATGAGTTTCACTTTTATATGTAGATTTCACTGGTGACGAGAGTCTCCGTGGTCACCACGGAAGTACAAGTGGCGGTCGACAAAGCACAACCAGCTCGCAAGACTCTGCGACATCTGCCGACGGCACGCCCTTCTACCCGCCGCCGCCGCCGCCAACCCTCCCGACCAGTCACGGATCGTCCATTCAAAGCCAAGAAGGAGCCCCCCTTCCTCCACCCCCACTAGCCCTATCGACGATGGGTCGAGGGCTTCCTATCAACCCCATGGCCGCAGCATTAGACGCGATCAAGCGGAACCGACGCTTCAGCGCCGCGTCGGACAGAGATGCCACGACGATGGGGAGTGGAGGATTGCAAGAAGATATCATGGAGGAGCCTTCCACAGGACGATCCAATCGAACGCGGGACTCGCAGTTGAGTGCCGAAGGCAAACGGATGCTGGCAACTGCCCTCAGTCACCACAACAGCGCGACGGCAGCAAACAAGAAGTCGGCAATTACCACCACCCACACCCCCTCTATCGATAGAAAAGGGCTGTTTGACAGCAGCAGCAGCAGTAGTAGCAGTAGTAGCGACGATGACACGGACCAAGGTACCTACTTATCATCATGTACCTACTGACGAGGAGGAGGAGGCAGGCGACGGAGTAGGTAGTACCGATCGTTCAGTCCGTACTACCGACTCTTTGAACCCTGCCTCCTACTCATCCACAACCAGCCAGCCTCTCCAATGATTGACCATATATTTTGGTTGTGTGTGTTTGTGCAGTTCCATCGTCACTGTTGACGACGCCAGTCCCCGCGGAGCTGGCCGTCGTGTACTTGTCGGCGGCGGTCGAACTCCGCCAAGCCAAGTCCGTGGCTATCTATCGCTTTGCGTTTCGCCTGCTCGCGTACACGTCGACGCAGTGCGAGTTTGGCCGGAGCTACCACGAATATGAAGCCATCCATGGCCAACTCAAGCGCAGTGTCGTGATGGAGGTGCCCTGGCCCAATTTTCCATCGAGACATGTGCTGCGCAACCCCACCAAGCCCGACAACATGCAGAAACGAGCGGCCGAGTTCCTCGCGTACTTTGAGGCGCTCGTGCAGATCAAGGCTGTGGTGGCCCATCCGGCGTTCCATGCGGCGTTTCAAGTGCCGGCGGCGATGGCGACGTGTCTGGTGCGGGGCACGGTGGTTGTAGAGCCACCTCCACCAGGTATCCAAATCAAGCAGGTGGCGGCTACAACTCGGAAGAGCCAGCACAAGCCGCGGCATCTAGCAAAGCCGGGGGTGCCGAAACGAAACCTCTTTGAAGACGACGACGAGGACGAGGAGAACGAGGAAGCGTCCGTAGCGTCGTCGGTGGAGACGCCCGAACCGGTGAAGCGACCTGTGGCAGACCGAGTTGGATCGGGCAGCCGGCGATCGCTGGACGAACGACCTCACCGCGGTATGGAAGACCGACCGCCGTCCTCGGCTAGGAAGGTAGCTCTAGGGACGACGGATAGACCACCCAGCACCAAAGAGATCCAAGCGGCGGGCATGCCGCGTCCCAACTTGTTTGGAGGTGGCGGACGCGGCGACCTCTTGGCTGCGATTCGAAAAGGCGCCCAATTGAACAAAGTAGCGTCACCAGAGGACAACGACACTCGTTCCAACGTGTCTACCACAACTGCTACAACTAATGCGCCTATTCGCGCCCCACCACCGGCAAACAGCTTGCTCGCGGCTCTGCAGCAAGCCCCACCGCTTAAGAAGGCTGGTCCTCCACCCGCCACGAAAGTAGTGGCCGCACCAACCCCGCCGCTGGCTGCGCCAAGTATCCACGACTCGATCGCCATCGCTATGGCGTCGAGGCTAGTGCACACACAGTATGGCCACAGTGACGACGACAGCGACGATGAATGGGACGACTAAGAAATAAGGCAGTTACAAAACCGTCTTATTTCCGGATAATCATGTATGTAGTATCCGGTGGATACGAGGCACGTTGTGTTGATCCAATAATCTCCATCATGTTGCGTCGGTGCTTTAGTGCTGCGGCGAGACCGCCTAAGGCCGTCCGCCGCGCCGCTCCAGACTCTAGGCGAGTGACGACAGAGAAAGCGGAGCAGGATGCCCTGCAGACCACCGCTGAAACACCCGCCCCGGCGGCCTACCAACCTCCTCCATTCGAGCACCAGCAGGAACCTACGTTTGGCCAAGTCATGAAATCGGTAACGTTCTTCTGCTGATGACTGGGCTGGTACGATGATGCTGGCATGTAGAACTTTCTATGGGGAGCTGGCATGTCCCTTGGCTTCATCTTGATCGGCGGCATCTTCCGCGTGTTCATGGAACCATCGGTGGCCTCGACGACTGGACCTTGCGACTGGGAAGGCGGCGCGTTCTCAGTCCATGCACCGGAAACCAACTGTGAAATTGATGCTCAACATGCGTCTTAATGCAAACAAGAGTGTACGGCACACTGCCATCGTGCCCTTGACTCCATGTTCAATAAGCCAAGCTTACAGCGAATGAACTGGTTCAACCCACTTGCATCTCAAATGTCCACGGTTCACCAACCGCGTCACAACAACAACGCTATGTTGGCAACTCTGGCCACATGAACGCGATACAATGTAGTTCAATCAAATACGCAGACTATAGTATGCTTCTAATGTTATGGGGTCGTTCATGAGTAAACTGGTCTGCATGTGAAGCCATCTTTCACGTAGTACATTGTTAGACGCGTTTGCGTTTACTAAAGGCTGGGGATTTCGTCTTCTTTGTGGACGCCATCTCCAAGTACGGCAAGGCCGCGGAACGACCGGCGGCGGCGCACAGCTTGCGCACGTTCCCCACGTACGCCGCCATGTCAAACTTGCGGTCGAGGCCGTCCGAGTTCATGTACCTGACTTTGCCAAACACTGGACGCTCTTTCCATCCTTGGTCGTGCTTTCTACAAGTCCGAGCCGTGTCAGAACAATTCGTCAACGGGGTTCATCGACTTCTAAACATGCCAGCCAAATGTACATACGTACGACTTACCCAAACACCCACGCGACCCCTGTGATCGAGTTAGGGTCATCTCCGTCGAGGTTGTACTTGTCGTTCAAGGCAATGGCAATTGAAAATGCATCTTGCGGTGTCGCCGTCCATTCAATGATCTTCTTGCCCCAGTACATGCGCATGTAGTTTTGCATCTACCCATGAACACCCCCCATGATCGTCCAGTTCAAAGCAACCGACAGAGAAAACTCCATCGTCTGGCTTCCTACCTTGCCCGTGACCATCATGTCCAATTGCGCCGCATTCCAGTACGGATCATGCGTTTGAGCTTGGTCCAGCTGGTCCTTGGTGTACGTGTACGGCCGCTTGTCTGCTGCGTGTTGTGTCAAAGTCTGCACCGCGTAATTTGGCAGCGCCGCCTCGAACAAGTCGTAGTTTGCATTGAACCAGACAAAGTTCATCGACAGTTCCCTTCGGACGATCAATTCTTCGAGGAACGATGCCTTGGACGCGGCCAGGGCCGGTCCAGTCCCCGCCACCGCCTTTGTTTGCAGTGCAATGTCCACCGGCGAGATGTTCCCATAGTGCAAGTACGGACTCAGGTTGCTGCTGCCGTCGCCGCTGGGCTCGTTGCGCGCCGTGCCGTACTTGGCCAATTTGGACTTCAAAAATGATCGGAGAGTCGCTTGGGCGTGGGTTTCGCCGCCAAGAAACGTCCGGACGCGGGGGACGGACGCGTTTGCCGACGTCGCCGCCAGCAGGTCGTCGACGGTCAGAGACGACATGTCGAGCCACGTGCAGGCGGACGGGGTCGTCGTCACGTGGTCTGCCAGGGAGGACGAAGGGACAAGGACACTATCGGCTCGAGGCAAGGGGACGAGGAATCGATCCAACAGTTTGGTGATCTTGGGACGGATGGTGCGGGCGGCGTGCTCTTGCTTGTCGCTGACGAGCTCCACGGGCACCACCACGTCACCTTCGACTTGCAGCACGGCGGTCGTTGTGGCTTTGGCTGCAAACGACTGGTACAGTTTAGTCGGGTTGCGAAGGTACGGGTGGTCCACAACCACAAGGGACGCCCCGCGCGAAGCAGCGACGGCAATGTCCACCGGCGACGGGCTGTGGGCGACGTCGAGACGAACATGCCGCGCTTGGAGCGACGTATGAACGTCCACGAGACTCTCCAAGAGGAACGCCATGTGTCGCTCGGACATGGTCGACGTAGCGTCAATGGTGTGTAGGACATGCAGCGGTTGTTTCAGCCGAGTCGCTGCCTCGACGGCCACTTCCAGAGCGTAATTGAACTTTGTTCGAAGAGATGACTGCATCCAGTATAGCACATGCGCTCCTTCGACGGATTCCACGCCCCGAAGCCACCGGAGACGGTCCTTGTGGATGCCTGGAAGCGCCAAATCGGCCGTGCGGAGGCGCATCCTTTCTTAATGTGAAGCTCTTGCGTGAATGAATGTTCACGAAGTCCAATCCGGATAATGCCAGCGTTGATAACGAAACCGCCACAAGGCACACCAATTGGACAATAATGATAACGTTATGCCGTGGACACTGGTTGTCCGATTTGAATGGAGCCACGAAACGGCTTGTGGGACGGCTAGAGTAAGGTTACCAGGTAATCCACCACACAATCACTTGCGGGTTGGATTATGGCGCAGGTCGGTGTGTTCCTGTAGTAAAAACCAATTGGTTGGGAGTTGGTTTGACAAGGCGATTGGGCGGGCGTGTTGAGGGGCGGCGACTCCTACGAGCGAGGTTCTCATTTGTAACCACAAACTACTTTGAGTATGCAATTTTGGTTGACGGGTGTCATGGGGGGATGAAAGAGGACGCCGAACAACGCTTTGGTCAAACCGGAATAGATCGGTTGCCCAAGGATGTGCACAGGCAGTCAACCCCATTAGCTGTGTGAACAATGCCTATAGCCAAGGTCGTACGTAGCTTTCGCTTGAGCGTGATAGCTGTAGCTCGAATGTCGACGCGAGTTCGGTTTGTTTAGCTTACACAATCGGATTTTGGAGGTGATTTCGATGCTAAGTCGTTAGTGTTGTTGAAATTCCCACGTGTTCGTCATTACCCTTATTAGATGTGACGCAACTTGATCATGCGTAAAGTGTCCGAGTGCACATTTGGCAGCCAATTCAACGGACGGACGACGTTTGATCTGTGACGATGCATTGATAAACTGCTGAGGACTTTCAAATGTAAATAGTGGTCGAGTCCCTTTTCACTTTACTCTGGCTCCATTGGTGGTTGGTCCCCACTTATGTTAGTCAATGATTAGCACCACATGTGGTGATGGAGTCACAATATCGCGTGGAAGGCGCTTGGGTTTTCGCATTGCGGCGCCTGCAATCGCGGTCTCGTTTCTCAACATGTACACTTCAAGAATGAAACGGACGGCAGTTACTGGGGCTCGTAGCATGACGATCTTGGCCTAAAAGGACAAGGTGGCCGCGTACCACAAGGAGTACGGGCAAAAGTACCGCAACTTGGCTCAAATGAAGCTCTAGTACAAGCGCAACAAGGCGTACTACTATGTTCGCCAAAAGCAACAGGGTCCCCACACCCTTTTAGTAGTGCAGGTCATAACTCTATATAACAATTGGCTATTACACGACATACAGTACTTCTACCACTATGTAAAAAGATGATGTCAACACCACCAAAGCAGCGATAACGTCGTGGCTTGTTCTGGCCGAGCTATCTACTAACGTTACCCGGTACTAGTACTTTTATACTTTACAGCAAGTAGTTAATGGTCGTCTTGAAATATGTTGATACTATTCAAACCGATAACTTGTCCATTTTAAATGCATGTCGTGATGACGCTTTCGCCGTCGGCGCTCCACACCATCATAGTGGGGGGAAGTCCATTCGTGAGGACTTCGACTGTCGCTGCAAACTCGTCCGGCTGTGACACTGTTGGGTCGGCCAAGGGCATCACGACCAGCGCCGCATCCCGCGAGTGATCGCGCACGAGCCGATTGATTTCCACGGCGGCGGCGGCGGCACCTCCTGGCATGGGCAGGAGCAGCGCGTGCGTCGGGTGCAGCGCAATGCGAAGCTCCGATGCGACGTGAATCAGGTGCTCGGCGCTCTCGTCGTTGCCGTCGTCGCACACGCGTACGAGGCGAATGGGAAGCCCTTTCCACTGGACATTTGACTGGAGGACATGGGCCAGCTGCAGCATGAGCGTTACATGCGACGACGTTCCCGACCACGGCTTTGGTTCGGTGATCCACACGTCCACCGTCCGGACGACGCCGTCCAGTCGCCACAGTCGGCGCGGCGGTCGAACCCACGAGTGGTTGGCATCCGGCACGAGCAGCGCTGCGTCAACCTTGTCGCAGTGCCGAAACACCACCACGTTCTTGTGCAGCAACACGGCATCGTTCAATACACCTACAAACACGTCGGGGGTCGCCGCCGCCGCCGCCTGCCAGTCGAACATTGTCACACATTTTCGTCGACTAAACCAAAGGTCGTCGTACCAGCATCATCCAATCAAATGCAATCGTATTCACGTCCATTCCACCGAGCCCACTGCACTGCATCAAACACTGGTACCCCTGGCGCACCGTCGGCGCCACCAACACCTACACACGACGTCCATCTCAACATGTATCCGCCATAATCAAACACAAAATCATATCAACATCTCCGCCAAACTCATTGTGTTGTGACGTGGTTTCTCGTTGGAATTTAAATCGATTTGATTGGCTACTTCAGATGAGCTCAACATTATTAGCCAATCAAAACCACCTTCTCAATGAAATTTAACCAATCAGATCGATTGTGGATCGGTTTGGTCGGCGCGATTCGATTGCACCCCCTCCCCAAATTTGTATCAAATCGACAATACATTGTTCTTGTCATTATAAAACATAAAGCAACTAGCCAATCAAATTATCCACTCTTCGACTAATTCAACATCGAATTAGTGTGTGTGATTGACATTCATGGGATACTGGATGATCTTACAAAAGTGTCAGTACGATCGATTTATTTGGCAAAGAATCCGCACAAAAGTCAACCATATATTGGATAAAAGGATTATTCAAGAACCACTTCAGCCAATCAAATCACAGTCCTGTCGAGTTTCTGCCAATCCAAACGATTGATTAATAGCATTGGTTTCAAATCCACACTATTATACACATACTAATCATTGTATCGACATACGTTGTACGACCAGCTTCAAATGGGATCATATCAAATGGATAGTAGAATGCAACGTTACTTGGCGACATATTTGTTTATGTATATGCATATTATTTTGTACTGTAATGAAAATAATATTAAACAGGTCCAACTGTGGGTGAAAGAATGCACAAAATACCTGCGGAATCGCCTTGAGGTTGGCGTCGTCAATTACATCCAGCCATCGCTGCAGCCTTCGACTGGCTTGGGTGGTTGTACTCGGTCCAAACTCGCCCAAGACAATATCACCGACAATGTACAATCCGCCCTTTTTCAGTCGATTGCACAGCGCGACGCTGGGTGCATGCGACGTCGGCGGCACAAACAGAATCGCCGGGCGCCAGAACTTCAAGTGCCCTTTGCGCGTGTCCAATCGCAGCAAGTACTTGCGCACTTGGTGATAAATTAGCGCTTGGCTGACGTTTCCCCACGACGTTTCAGGCCCCACAAGGTACAAATACACGAACAACGCGGTCACAATCACCAGCGTCACAGCCGCGTACATGGCGTTGAGGTAGATCATCACACTCAAATTCAGCACGACGCCAGCCAACGACAGCGGCCAGCAGCTGTACCGGAACGTCGGGCGGAAGTTGGGCACGCCCGTAACTTGGAGCACGAGCGACGTAAAGTTGACGGCAGCATACGCGACGCAAAAGAACGACGTGCAGATGGGCGCGAGGACGTCCAAGTCGCCGATGAAAATGAACACGAACGACAAGAGCGCAGTGAATGCCACGGCGTACTGCGGCTCGTCCCCGTGGGCACTCCCTTGGCCAAGACACCCAAACCCTACAACGTGCACATATATACATTGAATAAAAATACCCCAAACCGATCTATGCAAAGACACTAGATCGCCACAACCAACACAGCAGAAATAACCGTACTAGTAGCAGTACTAGTAGCAGTAGTAGTAGCATGGAGGTTGCATAGACTATCACCTCGCTAGGAGGTATAAATATATATATACCATGGCCAACACACAAGTGTCAGGAGGAGATTTGTAGTGTTTATTCTACATTATTGTTTGAGCGACGATATATCATTATCGTAGCCAATCCGATTGCACGAAACCATCCCAGAGCACAATATAATCGAATTAGTGTGACACCTTCTTAATTAGTGTGATACTATTCTTACGATCACCCGACGGACCCAACATCTCTCTTTTTCATACAAAATATTCAGTAAAGTCGAATCAGCCCAAAAAAATGGCCACACTATTTTAGGGAAATCCGCAAATAATATCATCTCCAAGCAGCTTGACAAATAAATACTTCTGAGGATATACCGTAAAAGAGGTTATCCCTGGCAATCGCTTGCAAGATCCGAGACGCCCCAAAGAGGGCCCCCAGCCCAGACGTGTAGCACGACACCAAGATGCCTGTGATGATAATATATGGCGTAGGGCCAACTTGCTGGAAAAATGAAAAGTTGGTGCGCAGCGCCACGCCATCGAAGGACGCTCCAAACAGGAAGATCAGCGAGATGTAGATCACACAGGCCGTCACCACGGCCGCCAAGCTGCCCACGGGGATGCTCTTGCCTATTAAAAAGCAATCAAACTTGATATATATACCTGCAAGATAAGATAAACAAAGCCCCAAACGGTAGTTAGTACGACGAAAATTGACAACCATACCTATTTTTAATATTTAAGAGATTTTATATTTATTCTAAAACCTAAAAATCATGAGCTTTGATTAGTCTCGCACCTGGATGCTTCAAGTCGCCACTCAAATTCAAGCCTTCCATGAACCCCGTCGCGAGCGGAAACACGATCGCTACAGCCATTTATATCGTACTCGTCACCGTGTCATTTTGAGTACTAGTAGTAGTACTAGTAGTAGTAGTACTAGTAGTTGTAGTGTTCAGTGTACCGTAAACTGCTCCTAGGTCGCACGCAGAGTCCCCACACACATGCAACTCGTCCGTGTAGTTAGCGTGCATGTTGGCAGCCAGCGTGCTGCTTTGAGGTCCCGTGACGTGGCCGCCGCTCTCCAATGCCCGTGTAGTGGACACACAAATGACAATCTGCGACACTGTAAATAGACGAAACACAACCAGAGTGCATGTATTTCCACGTACGGCGCCATACGCAATGCAAGCAAATTGCACCACAAAGAGGTACTGGTTGACTTTGGAGAATGCGTGCGCGCCAATCAGTGCAATGCACACGATCGTAACAAGAGTTGTGGAGGCCACCGTGACCACTACCCACTTTTTGCCCCACGCACTGTCGACAAACCACGTTTGCGCGACTTCTTCCGCGAATCCGACCAAGTACATGGCCACGCCGGACGCGTATAGCAAGTAAAACTGCACGCCGATCGCACCTCCGAATTCTGGCCCGAGAGACCGACTACAGAAGCAGCCCTGTGAGAGAGAGAGAAAACGACGGCGAGGTCGGACCTGATGAGGTAGTACGAGCCGCCACCCCGCATGGCGCCGTTGCTGGCAATCGCACTCGCGGAAAGCACAGTCAACACGGCCTGAAGCTCGGCAAAGAAGAAAATGGTGAGCATCCCCAACACCCCGGCTTGCCCGATGGCCCACCCGAGGCGGAGAAAGAGAATCACCCCGATGATGTTGAGCAGGCACGGGACGTACACGCCCTACAAGGGATTGCACATGATGAAAACGATGCATCGATGGGGCCGGACGAGGGACGTACGTTGAATGTGCCCAACTGGTTGAGCACAGACGACGGCTTGGTCGTCGTGGCCTCCGATTCTCTTTGCGTGAGGGACAAGAAGGGCGTGTACGCATGCTGCGAATCATCCAAGTCCAACACACGGTGATGATGACTGACACCCATGGAGTCTGCTCCGTTCGCACTCAAGAGCGGCTTGGCTTCGACCACCCTTTCCATCAAGTGGCTGCGAGTTCAAACCTACGCCGATTCTACATTCTCCGTGGTGCTGCGACGTTATTGGTCGATTTCTGCAGTCTTTACAGGTGTAGCCAATCAAATGAGACAAAATCGAAATGCGTCGATATGATTGGACGATGTCTCAAAGATCGCTTCATGCGGCCATGGACACTCTTTAATATTCCTGCCGTTTTTGAGCTGATGATTATGCAATTCCATCGCATTATGCATGATCCTCTTCGCCGTCGGCGTCTTCACTGCCGGGACCTTGGCTAGCACTCTGCGCCGACGCCAGAGCACGCTCCCTTGCAGCTTCGACTTCATGCATGTTGAGGTTGGTGCCATCGCTGGCAAGGATGGGCTCCGTGAGGGCTTTCCGAAACCACGTCGAGAGGCGCCCAAACGTGTCGTTGCGATCTCGCAGCTCCAGCTTGTCACCTGAGAGCGTCCACACCGACTTCCCACCTGGCTTGGCGGGCCGCAGTTGTCGGTTGGGCAGTCGAATGTCGTGGGGGAATCCTTGGGTGTTGGTGTCGTAGCCAAAGTTGCGCAAGTGCACGCGCGCGACGTCGAGGACATGCTGGAACTGGTCGGGCGAGTAATGTCGAAAGGAGCTGGCAATCTTGCCACTTCGAGGCTTGTACGGTCCAGTGGTCGAGTCGTCCTCGGTTAAAACGGATTCAATCCGAGAATTCCATTCCGTGTCCTATATATATATACAACAAGTTAGTCTCGTTCAAGAGATGTCGTAAGAACGCCTGACGCTCTTGACCGTACTTCAAGCGACCCTTTTGGATCTTTGTTCAATATAAACTTGACCACACGATGCATCGTTTCCTTTCTATGATTACAAGCATATACGACCGAATTATTGGGAATATTCTTTTTCATATATACTTTTCATAGTTAGGAAAAGATCAACACAAGTATTGTGCTTTCCAGTGAAATTTCATTGTGTTGTGGTTTCTCGTTGGAATTTAAATCGATTTGATTGGCTACTTCAGATGAGCTCAAAATTATTAACCAATCAAAACCTTCTCAATGAAATTCAACAACCAATCAGATCGGTTTGGTTGGCGCGATATATTCAATTGCACCCCCTTCCCAAATGTGTATCAAATCGACAAGTATACTCGATACATTTATATTGTTCATTTGATTCAAACATTGGAGTGTGGAATGAGCAGCACCAAATCCGCAGAGAATCGATCGACCAATCAAAACCCACAAAACCATCATCAACTAGCCAATCAAATCTACTCTTCGAATAATACAACATTGAATTAGTGTGTGGTTGAAATTAGTGTGAAACTGGACGATCTTGTTTACATGCAAAAACCAAAGAATCGATCCATGTAGATTTGGCAAAGAATCAGCACAAAATCCACTACATGGCGACAACTTGGACTTACCGATGCAGGAGCAGGTCTTCGTACCGTACGATTTGGATGGGAATGTCCACCTTGGCAATCCAGTACGCGTGAAACTTGATCCACACTTGAATCTCGTTCTGGATCATGGCATCCCATCGGTCTGCAAACCGACTATATGTGACATCGTGCACGCTCTTGTTGTGCGAGTTGGTCAAGGTCATGTTGAAGTACGAATTGATCGCGTCCCAAGGGTTGCGCACGACGAGAATGGCCTTTTGGACGGGCACGGGGACGTACCCCGACCGCTCGGGGTAATGCGACTTGACAAACCACACGCGGTCGTCTACGACACCCTACGGGAACGCCACGTCACGATGCATATCCAATTATCTTGTGACCAAAAATGTACATACCTCGCCTTTCATGCCAGCTTTTTGGAGCTCCAAACTCAGCGATCGGTCTGGTCTCGTGTCACAGCCAGTGTACACGCCCGTGACCGTCTCGAGAAGGCCACGCATCAGCGAGTTGCCACTGCGAGGATAGCTCACGATCGCAATGTGTTCGCCGTGGTGCTCGTCTGGCACGAGCCATCGTTTCTCGCTGCTGGTCTGCGAAGTAGTACGTGGCAGCGTCTGGGTCGACAGTGGAGATGGCTGAATCTCATTGCTAGGCGGTGGAGTATTGGTGGCCTCCATAATGGATGTGTATCTAGTACATCACGTGAAGCCTCGCTCAGCGTCATGCCATCCGCCTACCAATGTTGGCACCAAGGAAAGTCCCGAAAGGAATACTCACACTATTTGACGACCGTTTGTACGTTATAACTGTAAATGAATGTCATTGAAAATAGTGTGTCGCTCAGTTTGGGCCACCGATTTTAGATTTCGACTGATCGGGTGAAAAAACGTCATTTTCGAATTTACCACGACGACGTCATTGAGGGAGTAGCTGTCGGAAACTCGCTGGGTCATGATAGCATGACAGGAATGCACACGTAGTGCTTTATCAATTTAGACGGTGTGCCTCTTACCGTACACATTCGTCTTGATAATGAAGCTAAAGCGAAGGAATCGAGGATTAAGCCCCTTGGTTCATTAAGCCACCGGCCTCTCGCTATCTCTTGTTTGGAGCACTTCCAATTAAGGGACGAAGAGTTTCGGACATTCCAATCCATCATCGACTGCAACGTTAGGAATGTACTACCATAGCAGTGTCGTCAATGGTAACCACCTGCTCGAACGGGAGAAGGTTAACAACGTCAACAAATGTTCTGATGTTCTTGACGCCTCTACAGAGTACAGCTAGCCTCTACAAAGTACTTAAGTGTACCCTAAATATAGCGTCGCCACCACATTGGTGCCTTCAAAACGGCACCCACCTAAACAAACGTCGGCATGGTCTCGCTGTGGTCCTTCCGGCACGTCCTACTGGTCACCTGTCTGCTTGTCCATGCCAGCCTTCTCGCAGCTTTAGCAGGCGACATTACTCGTCGTCAAGACGAGAACGTCGATGCCAATGGGACTATCCAGGCATCGCCAAACAATGATGCGGCCACCGATGTCGTTCAAAGTGCAGTTCCTCCAACGGCTGTTGCCGTCCCCACTGCTGCACCACTGGTGCCTCCTGTGATGGACGACACTGCGCTTAAAGTCTGTTTGGCGACGGTGGACAAACTCTCGCTTGACGCCGCGGTCGTTGCTAAGCAACGTACGTCTCTCAAGCCTTCGTTCAGTTTCGACACTTGAGTAACTTGCCCGGCATTTGTTCACGTTGTTTCTTCGCTTCTCGTCCATGGTATTTCTCATCATGGATTGCTGTTGTACACAGTGACGGCGGCGACGGAACTGGCCAACGCGGCCCAACGGTCCATGGAAAAAGAAGCCAAAGAGAACATCCGAGCGCAAGCCGAGCTGGCCGCGTACAAGCGGAGCCACGTCGATGCGATGGCGTCCGAAGTCCAGCTGCGCGAGTCAGCCGAGCGCGAATTGGCGACGCAAAAGGACGCGTCGTTCGCAATCGCCAAGGAGTTGGAGGCTCACAAGCAGGCGGTGGACGGGCTCAAAGATGAACTGTCGAAGGAAATCGAGCGGTCGCTGGAGCTCAAGCGAGCTGAGGGGGTCGCCGCCACGGCACTGCTGGACAAAGTTGTGGCCTACGATCTGTTGGTAGGTTCATGCCCCCAGCAAATATGTCTATCATCCACCTCGTGAATCGATCAATCTTCTTGGCTCACAGATCGACAAGCACAAGGCCCTTGAAAGCGTATACAACGACGCATTGGAGCACTTGGCGCATCCGATGCTGTCAGAATACTTGAGGGCCCGAGGCAACGAACTCGGGGACATGCGCCCGGAACTTCGCGCGGCGCTCGAAAAGGCCAAGAGCGTCATGGCACTGCCGTCGAACGTCCTCGAGAAGCTTGACCGCGGCAAGCAAGCGCTGCTCCAAGGCCACGAGCACCTCCGCAGCGGCGTCGCGCCGTACGTGGGCGACAAGCACGCAGCGTCGGTGAGCGTGGGGCTCCTGGGGCTGCTGATGCTGCCGCCGCTGTACGTCGTCTACCGCTTCGTTCACGGCGTCCAGCGCGCGCTGCAAGCCCACCATTTTGTTCTGGTGCTGAATTTCGTGGCCTCGAGCTACTTTGCCGTCGTCGGCGCATCCTCGATTATGTACCACGAAGACGTGCTCCACAACCTACAAAAGCACAATCCCCCCGCGTCCGCCCTGCTTCAGTTTGCCACGCTAGGGGTGTTCATAGCGCAGTTGTGGTGGAGCGGCGTGTTCGTGCTGGTTCTGCTCGACTCGCGCCTGAAGTATGCCCAGCTGGTCCACGTTGCAGCGTCGGTGGGGGTCGTGGTACACTACTACGAGCACGTGTGGACGCTCGCCATGCTAGACCAGGAGCACCAGCTGCAGGACTCACTCTTCTTCATGTACGCGGTCGTGTACGCCGCGGGACTCGTGCCGGCGCTCGTCAGCGGCGCCAAGCTCGTCAACTGCATCCAATCGACATCCGTGGTGGCGAGACCCCTCGACAGCTTGAAGCGGTCGTGAGGATCAAATCGACACGAGGGATGTGTAGCGAGTAGTAGCATGAAAACAAGACTACAAGAAGATTCTGCCTTATACATCGAAGCGTTTATGCATTGTGTGTGTTATGGCACTACGTTGGGAAACTCCTACAAATGGGGGCCTGAAATGCGAAACTCCGTCGATTGGGGGTCTGAACTAGCGAAACTCCTACAACAGGGGGCCTAAACTAGGTAATAATGTACTACTTTTGAAGTACCCAGCAATATTGCGCCACGAAGTCACAAACCATCTAGCGCCCCATTTCGCATATCAGTAAGATGAAGTGGTTTATAGTACAAATTCACCGATCCCTAGTCTCAATTGTCCATTTACATTTCCTAACCCTCTTTAGTCGACACATTTACACATGTGTACCCACAAGAGGATGGGCAAATTGCACTCGGTCGTACATCGGGTGGCCTTTCCGCACCCTTTGTCATGTGGCACGTCCAGCACGAAAGTCCGCCACAGCTGGATGTCGAGGACGTAAAATACACCGCTCCACTTTACGCAGAGGAGCTCCGTGATCACGGCGGACGCCTGGTCCAAGTACACGCAGTTCTTGTACGGCCACTTGTCCAAGCCAAAATGGTACTTTAGCGCCCTCAGCCAACAAGAGCGAAACGTGCTGACTCTTGTCTTGCAAGTGGGGGCATCGTTACCTTTTGTAACTAAACACAATCGTCATCGACCCGAGCGCCATCGCCACGGCATGCCGAAACCGATCCGTGCTGCCAACGTACACGGCGCCTGCCCTACACATCAGCTCAAAGTCAACTCGCGGCATGGGGCACACTCGGTCCACAGTCACTCGGTGCATCACAGGGAAGGCACCGCCGCTGACGTGTACTGGTGCGTGAAAATGATCTGGACGTCGCCGGCGACACTCACGAGCCACCACACCTCCCCTGATGCAAAAATCACCTTGTACCACTCAAGCTCTTGCGCGTGATGAAACGCACTCATGGGCCCCAACGGTCCAAACTGCCCCAGCTCCAACGGGGCCGTGCTTAGACAGCGCCACGCTCCGCGCAAACAGAAGCGGCCGACCGGTCCAGACGATGCCCGCCACGCGGGGGAGCACCAGCACATTGCACACTTCGACGCAGCTGACGCTGGCGATCACGGCGAGTGATGCGAGAATGACCACAAACGACAGCATCGACGTGATGTAGATTCACACAGCGCGGGAGTACAGCGCCACGTTCTGCGGGACGTCCAGCTGATTGGGGAGGGTGTCTGTGACGGACGCGCTGACCGACTACAGCAGCACGAACGTGCCGACGTCACCTTCAATCGACATGACTTCGCGTTGGCCGAGCACCCACTCGATGGCCAGTCCCCATGCAAAGTAGTCGAATTCGGGGGACATTGTTTGATCCAAGAGGAGGCGCAGCACGTGTCGACTCGTGCCAAGGACGCCGTCGTGTCCTCCATCTCGTGCTGCGCGACGACGGCCAAGTCGGTTAAACATGCGACGTCGCTTCAAAAGAGGTAGGTTTCAATCATGCGCGTCGTTTCGCTTAGAGTGCCGAGGCAGTCCGAAGCGGCGGGAACCAGCCACAGGTGGCCGTGACGTTGAGCTTGTTCGAGTGGATGGCCATCGCGGCCACGAGACTGGTCATTTGTGTGAGGGCAATGTACTCAATAATAGGACTGGCGCACCCGTCGTCGGTTCACAGTGTCAACATCCGACTCGACTAGGAGACCAGGAATTGGTCGCACAGGATGTTGCCTGCAAAGCGAGGCACGCCAATCCACGCCAATCCACTCTGCCGGGCACGTCCAAGGCAGTTGGAGCCGCTCAAACGACACTTGCGCGTAGTCGTTGGTGGCCACGGCGGCGTCCACAGCTTGTTGGGCCTTGCTGAAGAAGACCTGCATCGCGTCCAGACACGGGATGTGGCGCGCATCGATCGTTCCAAACAGCCCCAGAATCGTCTGCAACGTGACAAACGTGAGGCCGAGCGTTTCTCGAGCACGGACGCCCACGTCATGACTTGTTGCATGGTAGAGTTAGCATAAACAAAGTTGGACGATTGCGGCACGAGGGATCCGTTGATTAGTCGCGTGTCTTGAGCGAGGAAAAGCTCAAACGCGAGCGCCCAATACAGCTTCTACGACGTGTGGGACGGGACCTGGTACACCGGTTTGGTACGTCATGGGTACACAGGGCTAATGCCAAACATTTCGACGATTCCGATTCGCTTGAAGTTTTGAAACTGCGTCGTGTAGTACTCAATCCCCTGGGCCCGCCACACCTTCGCTTCGGCGACTTGCGTGGTGGAGATACCAGTTAGCGAGTCGAGCCACGGCTGACCCCCTGCCAACTGGGCCAAGGGGGCCCCAAAGATCGCGTCGAAATTGAAGCACGAGTCGATCTGGTTGAAGTTCACGTTGCGCAACACCGACTTCTTCGAAGAGTAAGATGGAGTACTCCTGGGTCGTTTGCAGATATGTTTGAGGAAAGTCGTGCAATCCTCCAAGTCCACTTGGGTGGGTGACTAGGAGACTTGCCGCCAAGAACGCTTCAATTCCGGACGTGTTTGGGGGGGACATCGCATTCGAAACAAACAAAAGGTTGGTCGTGTAGTAATTTTTCGAGACTCGTTTGTACTAACGTTAGTAAGAGTTGTTGCCGACATGTGAATTCAATACCCGGCTGTTTGAGCGAATACTAGAACCACGGCAAGGTCAGATAGCACGACGACGAAGGCAAGAAAACATAGCGGCCGAAAGGTCGCCAGTTACTTGAGTTGCCTATGTAACGACTTGTAACGACTCATGGTCACTCAGAATTGAATCGCAGGTGTCCTAACGCATATGCCAAACATTGTTTGGTACATGACGACCAACAATTGGACGAACCACATCGCGTCGGACTATGGGGCTAAAACACCATTTCCGGCCAGTTGAATCGCTGGCTTTGAAGAACCCCTTGTAATGGCTCTGGCTCTGGTGAACGATATCTGTCGAGGCTGTTCCTTGGGCAGTCGTCCAGAACGAGTGGCTGTCGGCCAACCATGACCATACAACACACAACTACGTGTTGTTCGATTCGTACTGTTAGCTGGTCTACTGCCGTCATATGTATTGCTAGCTACTAGTACTACACTACTAACTACTACAGGACAAGCATCCAGCTTCCCACAGTGTGATTCGTCCCCGTTACACAGACATGTCCATCTTGATGGTTTTGTGGGGATGGTATCCGTCGAGCGTGAAATCGTCAAACGTAAAATCATCGATTTCGGTCTTGGCCGCATTCACCTTGAGCGTCGGGAACGGCCGCGGCGACCGCTTGAGCTGCTCCTGGAGGGGCGCCACATGGTTCAAGTAGACATGCGCGTCGCCAAACACGTGAATGAAGTCGCCAGCTTGGAGCCCACACACTTGGGCGAGGAGACGGGTCAGCAGCGCGTAGCTGGCAATATTGAAGGGCACGCCGAGCCCCATGTCGGCACTGCGCTGATACATCTACACACCAATATTTGTGTTAAGAGTATTAAAAAATCCTAGCAAAAAAATATATACTGTCGAACTGTCATTTCGAGTCGGGGAAAGCCGTGCACGATACCTGGCAAGAGAGCTCGCCGTCGGCCACGTAGAATTGACAAAACATGTGACACGGTGGAAGCGCCATGATGCCCAAGTCCGCAGGGTTCCACGCCGACAGAATGATGCGGCGGTCGTTGGGGGTGTGCTTGATTTTGTAAATGACATCTGCCAATTGATCGTGGCCTTGCCCCGTGTAATCTGTGTGCATGTCGATGTACTTGGCTCCAAAGTGGCGCCACTGGAAGCCATACACTGGACCCAAGTCGCCTTCTTCCCGATGCACGAGGCCGATGCTACATACACCATGGGTGGTCAGTTCTAAGCTACTAAGTAGCATTGTCGATTCGATTGTGCTCAATCGAATGAGCAGAATAACCACATCGGCAGACAATCGATGATATATCGACCAATGCAAACCCACAACACGAATCAAGTGGCCAATCAAATGATCCACACTTCGACGAATTCAACATCGAATTAGTGTGTGACTGAAATTAGTGTGATACTGGACGATCTTTACAGACTACGTAGTACAAAAGTCAGGACAAGCAATCGATCAATGATAGATTTGGCAAAGAATCAGCACAAAAGTCATCCAACTTTGGGGTAAAAGGACAATCGTTCGTATCAACAAATAACGAAACCAACCTATCGAGGTACTCGCGCGATCCATTGCCGTCCCAGATCTTGATGCCCTTGTCCTGCAGCGTCTTGGCGTTGGTGTTGCCACTGATAAACCACAGCAGCTCCTCCGCCACCCCTTTCCAAAACACGCGCTTTGTCGTGAGCAGGGGGAACACGTCATCCCGTAGGCTGAATCGCATCTAAAGAATACCATGTCCATGACTACAGTATGCTACATACACTCAACAAAAAGCGCGACGGCAGTGTGTCTACATACCTGGGCGCCAAACAGCGACAGAGTGCCCGTGCCGGTGCGGTCGCCCTTTTGAATGCCGTCGTCCAGAATGCGCTGAATCAACGCAAGGTACTGGAGCTCTTCGTGAGTGCGCTCGTACGTGGCAAAGTGAAAGTCAATGTCGTTTTCGCGCTGTGTGCCCAACGCCTCTGTCTCCACAAACCCCAACTGCTTCAACGTGGACGGGAAGAACGCGTCGCAGTCAAAGTCCCCGTCCACCAACGTTACGTACGCGCGGTGGCACGCGGGATGACGCAGGGCGTCGCTGTACACACTGGCCCCGCCAATGGCAAACACGTGTTCGATGGTCGCTGACGGAAGCTTGGACAGCGCGTCGTTGAGGCTAGATGCCGCCAGAACCTGCGGAGAAGACGCTTCCAACTCTGCTGCCAGCTGCGCGTTGCGAGTCAAGACGACGTTGAGTCGCCCTGGCAGCGGCCGAAACTTGGCCGGAATCGACTCCCACGTGTTGCGACCCATGATCACCGCATTCTGCTTGGTCGCGTCCGTGGTTCCAGTCGTGATCTCACGGAAGCGCTTCATGTCACTGGGCAGTTTCCAGGGCAATGCGTTGTTGATGCCGATGCCCCACGTCTTGCGGGCGACGGCCACGACCACAGAGATCTCGTGCATGGTAAACTTTGTTCCTGCGTTGGGATTTATTTCCTCGATCGAATGCTGCAAGGCCATTGGTTTATAATTAAAATTTTATACCAATCAAATGCATTAGCGCCACAATTTCTGGCGGGAGAACTTTTTGAGTTTTTACATCCGGCGAAGGGTTTGAATGGGACGACTGGGGTCGCTAAACTCTGTCCAGCCACGATGGCGGATCCACGAACGCACGCGAAAGGCATACCAGCTTAACGCAGACAAGTTGGACACCACGCAGCTCCTGGTCGGACACCGATCTTGCACCACGTCCCATGTGTCGAGGCGAATGTCGGGGATGGCATCGTGCGGGCAGTACGTCCACAGGCGGCACAGGTGCAGTTCAAAGTACTCCTTTAGGTCCACGTTGTTATTCACGTCGGCTTGTTGATCCCGCCATGCAATGTCGAGGGAATAGTGGGTCTTGGCCGTGGCGAGCGGTGGCGTTGGCGGGAGAAAGGCTGTGCGGATGCATAATTAGGCATGGCAGTCGCTACCAGTCATCACAAGAGGACACAAACACTGTATGTACCGTGGGTGAAAAAGGCAACGGAAGGGTCGCCATCGACGCTCCACCCTAAGGCATTCCTCGCTCGCAGTCGAAACCGATAGGGCGTGCCATGCATGAGCCCTTGGACTCGATACGTAGCACAATCCACTTCAATGGTATTGGAAACCGACTCCCATGGCGCGGCGGGGTCTGGCTTCGCGTCCGACAAGATGGACTGCGTCGACTTGACTTCATCCATGCGTTGTTTCTGCAGCTCGTAATGCAGCACCACGTGGCCATTGCATCGAGGCATCTTCCACCGCACCTCGAGCATCGATTGGGACCGGCTGACTAGCACCACGTCCGACGGCGGGTCGGGCGTCGCTCCTGTCCACACAAGATAAGCATGACAACAACGAACTTGCCTCTAAGGTTTCGGTACCGTGGGTGTGGTAGATGTGGCTCTCGACACAATTCGACTCGGTTTCCCAGCTACTACTACTACATTGACCTTGTCGCATGTTCGCGAAATGTGGCCGCACGCGAAACACATAACCCGTGGCTGGAGACAGCTGCGACACGGTGTGGCTTTGGCCGCGGATTCGCGACGACACAACCGACCAGTCGGTCGTGGCGGCCACTTTGCACTGCAGTTCGTACATGTCAATGTCGTGCGTGGAATACGGTTTGGGCCACACGAGCCCCAGCGACGTGCCCGTCTTGTGCACGAGTTTTGGGGCGTCTGCCAATCGATTCCATTGAAAAGACCAATGCAAAGCAAGGAACGTACCGTTGGTCGTGATGCCGTCGCTAACGTCCCCCAGATCTGACCACCCTATAGAATACCATGACATTTCGTAGCTCAAAAGCCCCGTTTTAGAGTATTACCTAATGCATTGCGCGCCTTGACGCGGTAAAAGTAGACTGTGCCGGGGGCGAGGGTACTGGCAACGAACTCGCGCACGCTCGGGTCGTGGTGCTCCAAGGGTCGCAACGTGCTTGGGTGGCCTTCCCACACCACAGTCCATGCTGTATCGTGCGGGTTTACTTGCATGAGCGCCACCTGATATTTCAATTATCAATAGTGAAGATATCGTCGTTTGAAAGATAGTACGAGATCGCTCGTGTCGCAGAGGTCAATGGAGCCCGTCTTTTGAACCAAGACACAGATGGCGTCGAGGGCGGCACCGTTAGACTCTGGCAGCAGAATCCCCATCTAACCACAAAGCAGATGGTGAAGTATTAGTGCAATGAGACTACGAATACTACACTGGAATACGCACTGTGATGGACTTTTCCGACACGAATGTGATCACGGGCGCTTTGGGGGCCGTGGGGGTCGTTTCTATGAGATAAACATACCTTTATCGTCATAACCTGCATGTTCAATAATAGGCATCTCTAGACCTGCAGTTTTGACGACGAGGGGCGCACTCGTGTCGCTCCACCCGGCATCGTTGGCGGCTTGCACTGTGATTTCATACAGCGTGGCAGGTACCAGCCCCTGCACAACAAACACTGGGGCTTTGCACGTCGCGTGGGTAAAGTCGTTTGCACACCACATCCGCCACAACACTTTGAATTCGGTTGGAGGGGGAGGAGGCGTCGTTCGATTAGCTGATAGTCTGGACCGAGGCTTGACCTCCCACGTTATATGCAAACGTTGTGGCTCCACGAGAGTGCATTTTGGCAGATGGGGCGGGGGAGGGGGGCCTACGTAGAACGAACGAACGGTCGTACCTCGGTGAGAGGCGATAAATTCTTATCCAAACGACACCTTTCAGTATGTTGTGGATTGTGCGACGTCCATATTCCATGGCAATGTCGGCAGGAACCACGTCGCCCTACAACAAGTCAACAGGGACATCCTTGCTTGGTGCTTTCACCTGCGCGCGAGCCAGGCGGTGCGCTTGGTGCTGGAGTAGCTTTTCCACGCCCGACTGGTTGTTGTACAGTACCGCTGCGTGTAAGGCGGTGCCTTGATGGTTCTGCACGGTTTTGGTCAAAACGACGACTACAAACAATCCAAGTTGTAGTACCATCGCTGTTGCGTTGACATTGGCCCCTGCACGAAGGAGGCGCGCCATGACTCGGCCGTCCGGCTGGTTGGCTGCAGCATGTAGAGCGGTATATCCGAGGACCTAGATTGGTTTTGTCAAATGAAAAACACATGTGAAAAGGGGGCGACTACGGTGTGGGTTCGATCGATGGGTAAGCCAGCGCGAACGTATTGGTCGACGCGATCGTCCAACCCTTCGCCCGCGGACTCGATAAAGTCGTCGATCTGCATCTGAAGTGACGTGGGTTCTTGCATGCGTTTGCGAATGGTTTTCAGGTGCAGTGGCATGCGTTGACCACGAGTATCCGCTTGTGTCCCTAATGGCTACATACAGTACGGTTGAAACGTATGAAGGGTAACATTACGAGATTGAGCTCACTTGTTTGCCGCCGGGGGTCCGGGCCTTGGTCTTTTGAGCCTCCAGCACTAATCGCCGAAGTTGATGGGTTGCCGAGGATTCCGTTGCCATGATGTATATATGTTGTTGAAAGTCGTGATAGTCGTGAATGTCAAACCTGGTCCTAAAATAGCGCACACTTGGGAATGGAATTCGCGTCGTGGAGTCGTGAGGAGCAAAAGTCGCGCTTGAAAGAATGGAATGCCAAGGCGAAGCAGCTCAAAGCGACCTGCCAACCGAGTGTTGTTGCCTCGACCCCTGAAGGAGATCGATCTGACAGCGCATCGACCTTTGTGGGCACCCCAGCGTACGTAAATAACGAGGCTCCCGCGTCCAAGCCAAAGGAGCGAGCACAACCCCTGACCTCTGTCGCAGCGATTCAAGCGTCATACAAATCCAGATGGAGATCGGACGAGGCCAAGCGATTTGCGCTCGTAAAGCGGACCCCACACTACCAATCTTGGGATGATCGTCGACGTCTAGAAGCGTCGCAAATGAGGGTGCCACCAGCTGCGGATGTCAATATTCTGCCCCAAGCAGGGGACAATGACGAATTCAACGGATCGGTTGGTACAGACAACTGCATCGAAGTTCACGAAGACGCGAAGTTTGGCCAGGATGACGTGTGGCTCCAGAACTTATCGTATGTGGCCATCGCCCGAGATTCAGCTCTCAAACAGCAAGTGCTTGGTCACATTCGAGCCGCGTTGCTGCAAGGCCAGGTCGTGCACTTGAAGCTAGACGCACAAGCAACCGGCGATTCCGTAGCCGACTCACGATTACTTGCGCAACAGCTGACCATCGCGAGTTTGCTCTTCTGCGATCGTACACAGGAGATCGTGCCCCGCACTCAGGGTAACTTGGTGTCTATATCACTTGTCCCCAAAGCTCGTACATATGGTCTTAAGATATGAAATTGTTGAAAAAATGTGGGTCTTATATAATGCATGCACAGCACGTGGCATATTGTCCTGCATCAGTGGAGGCACATTAAAATTTGATTCTGTAGTAGGGTTGTGGATAGTTCCCACTAACGTTATCGAGAAATTTAAACCAATCATCGATTGGTTTAGGTCAATTCCATATTTAAATTGGTATCCTGCCGGAAGTACATAACGTAAAGTGCGAATTTATGACGGTGAGCAACATATCACTCACATATAACATATACAGCTTGCTATTGGTTGAAAACACATTCGGAGTAACAATAACCAAGACTTTGGCACAAGCCAAGTTACCAGTGGTACTGTAGTACAGTTGCGGCCACGCTAAGCAAAGCCTCCCCCAAGGACAAGCAGAGGACAAAAGGCAAGGCAAGTGCCAAAGGTCGAAGATACAAGCGAAAAGTTCAATCTTTTGCCGCCCCGGTCATCCATGTTGACGAGAACGAAGAAGTCGAAGGACAAGATGCCAACTCGTTCTTTGATCATACGTCCTTCCTGGTGGAGCCGCCAACGAAACCCAAACAGAACAACACTCACCCAACGGACACTGTCGAGTCCACGGCAGTGTCATGGAGCCACAGCAGGTGCCGCTCCATCGCCGCGGGAGCGATGATTTCAGTGCATTTGGGGAAGATGTGGTGAAGATGGAAGCTACGGCACGGACGGGCGAGCCTTCGGCCGCCATGAAAGACTTTGGCGGGAGCATTGATGTTGATCTGGTGACGCGGCACATGGCCTTGTTGACGGCGACGACGCCGTCGCCGCCGCTCCATGTCGAGGACATTCCAATGTTGGACAGCATCATGGACGACGAGCAGCATGCCGCCGTGGAAACAGAGAAGTACGAGAGAACGTGGCCAGCGGGCAAGATGTTTGGCGACGATGACAAGGAGGTCGACCCCGACCAAACGACTTAGATCAGAGTAGACATGACTGCTGCTCAACAGCCTAGTAGTAGAACGGCGATTAGTTGCTGCTCAACAGCATAGTAGTAGAACGACGATTAGTAAGCGTCTCGGACAGGACTACCGGTACGTATGTTGCTACTAACGTTATTAAGTACTTCTTGTACAGTACCAGGTAGTAGTAGTAGACAATATTCATATCGTTATTCTACTAAAATCCTGGGGACCTTGCATTCACAAAAGCAACCCAGGCAGCCAACGGCAAAGCTTCTGTAGCCTTTTCTGTAAGAGCCAATCAAATCCACGCCGTGTCCTCACGGTTCATGTCCTCACCTCGTCAGAGACTTCTCTAAAAACCAACATACGACATTTGGTCTTTGTATTGAAAATGAAGAGTCATCTACCAATGAAAGGTACGGTACATTGAACTTTTAACCAATAAGACTAATGTCGGATAGAATTGTCGTATTCGCCAAGTTATCCATACATACAAAAATAAAGGTTAAAATATATTTTACGACTAAAATTGGCACTCAAAATTATAGAGATTCCGCGTCTAGAAGGGTTTCCAAACCCTCCAAGCCTTGTCCAAGGGCATAAGAACTTAATTATGGGTTGTTCACCAGGGAATTCTCTGCCTTTAGGACTATTTAGAATTCGAGGAGATAACGTTATGCCCATTTTTCGAAATGAAAGCTGTATGTCATATTAATAAATTAGATATTTTACTTTATACTAGTAATAATGAATGTGTTCGATGCCCCTGATGGTGTGTCAAATATGCTCATGCATCATGTTTTGTCTGCGTTAGCCCCAGCCTCCGAAACTGACATTTATAGCAGTGCAATGTAGTAATCTTTTTATAAATCAATCGATTAGGAGTTCCCGTATGCAAAGTCCTGGGTTTTTGCGTACTGGTAGCAAGCAGCAAACTCTGATAAACCCCGTCACGCCACTGATTCGACGGATGTGGTGGTGCCTTGTAATTGGGCGACGAGCTCAAGGTGCCGCACATACGCCACTTCGTTGAGCGAAAACGAGTCGTGGAGGTGGCCCAGGAGAAGCGTGCGGGACACTTCGAGCATGCCGAGAAACTTGTCGAGCAACATCTGACCCCGTCCATTCAAGTCACCTGGTGGTAGATGACCCCCCAGGCCTTCCTGCACAAGCCCTTGGACGACGTTGGCAAACTCCCCTCGAAGCGCTTGCCGACGCTGGACTTCTTTCCACATATGTGGCTCCACCCACGTGAAACCTTCATATATCCGACGACTTGTGACTTTGAAACGTGGAGACCGTGGGGGAGCTTTGGCGACCGTGGACATGGCAACCCTGGCGGCGTGGAGGGTCGTGAACGCCTCGCCCGCCCGATGAATCGACACACACGAGTCTTCCAACGCTGTCGCAACAAAGTAATGATCGTGCCAGTTCAACCACGCCGCCTGCAAGAGATGTGCAAAGTTGGTGGGAAGGATATCCGTAGGATTCAACGACGACTGTTGAATGTATTGGGCCTAGGAATATATATATATATTATTCATGTTGTTCTGCGTGTTAAAATCGAACCACACACCATACGCTACTCAGTTTGAACTTACCACGAGACGCACGAGGTGTGCAAGCACTTCGGCCGATGAGGATGACGATCGGCGGGGGGTAGCAGCTGCAGCATGGCAGCCATCCCCCTTTGGGCGGCCAAGAAACCCCAACATATGCGTCAAGTTCAAATCGTCTCTGGCGAGAGCGGGGGCCATGTCGGTCATGGGGTTGTACATGCGACAAACGCGCACGAAGGTCAGCGCTGCCGACGACGCCAACGCAGGGGAGATGTCGCCCGAGCCAGCCAAGGTACACAGAACGCACACAAACGTGGGCAATGGCAACGGCCCGACGCCCACCGCATACATTTGTTGGAGCGTTCGTGCTACGACGAACCGCGCATTGGCATGGGGGAGATGGATCAAGGCGACAGCGTAGTTGAAGACGGTTTGCAAGTGGTCTTGCACTTCCGTCGACGTTGGAAGTAGCAGCGTTCGTCCCGTGGCGGATTCAAAACAAGTTGCAGAATGTACCCACAAGTGCCAAGGTACGGATTCTGAGGCCGGCGACAGGTCATCGTCGTCGGGAGCTACGACCTCGAGACGGGCGACGGCGTAGACGTGATGCACAAGTTTCCACGTCGCAGCTAATGCATACGCCAGGGGCTGGCCGTCCAAGTCGGAAACACGAATAGTTTGGAAAAACGAGAGTTTTGTCACGAGCGAGATCAAATGCTCGGGTGAGCATGCTGCCAGGTCGAAGTCATCTAACGTCACACATAACGCGGCCACGGCTTGAACCCGCCTGCTCGACACGTCCAATGACTCCGGAACCGAACGCAATGCCACTTTGACGGCGATTTTAGCATTGATGAGGTACGCGGCCAAGACCAGACCTGGGTACGCAGTGCCTGCCACCGCCCACGGAATGTACGACACTTGAAACGAGTGAAAGGCCGGGCCATTGGACAAGATCAACACTAACGACAAGTACGTCGTCGAGGCAAAGTTCGCCGCGCAGAGATTGTTGATGGCGTATCCGTCGCCATGAAACTACAACAAGGTGTTATGTAAAGAAGTCGTTGATTACAGGGGGGAATTGTACGGGTTGGAGGCGGGCATGGTGCCGCCAAAGGCCTAGTAGGATTAAGACGTGCACTACTCCGGCTACCACGAACACAAGTCGAGTATGATCGTCACCGTTTACAAGGGGGAGTTGGTGGAGGATAGCCACGACAGTTTCGAGCAGAACACAGGCTGCCGTTCGAACTACAGAGTCCAGGACAGCTGTGACAGGGTTCACACCAAATGTGATGGCCAGCGTTTGGTCGCGACGGTGCCACTTGTACGTCAATGCCGAGTAATACAACACACCGAAACACACCATACTTACGGTGGTTGAGACCAACCCTACTCCGTCAGCACTGCAGACGTACGTGACTCCCCCGAACACGAAACATCCTGATGTGGCGTCTGAGTTACTTGGCCCAGAGATGCAGATTGCCGCATGAACGAACCCTGCAATCAGCACAGCGTACAGCGTTTCGCAAGTCAGAGGTAGCACCACGTGGTGCAGCGCGCGGTGGTATCTTGGTGGACACAACCTTGTCGCCAACACTTCGAAGCAGACACTCGGGACGCCAAGATACAACACGCCCATCTAGCCATCATCATTGAGGTACGACGTGCGGCTTGTTTGTTTCAACCTGAAGAAGGTCGGGCGGAGGCCAAAGCCACAAGCCGTGGGCGGTGACGACAAGACAGGTCAACGGCGTGGCACTGAAAACGATAAAGTCGAGATGGTGAGCCAGGCGAACTAACGTTCGCTCGATGGTATGAAAGAAGGAGGGGCGGAAGGTTTGGAGCTTGGCCATACATGCAGCTATAAGTATCGCACTAGAATGACGACAAGTAATGACGACTATGCGTTTTACCGAGGGTTTCAATCTTGTGATGGTCGTCCACGGATGATGAGCAGAGGTGTCGCCACAAGTGAACCTTTACAGCAAATCCCACTGTCACGAGCACAAATGTACTCCACACGATTGCGAGCAACGTTATCTGCACCATGATTGAGCCCATACGGCATCTATGTGGTGCAATGTGATGTGTGTCGGTTGCACATAACAGTTTCACCCACCTAAGTTTAGACCGAAAGGCATAGCCCAAACACGATGAATGAAGCGATCGCGGCGTGCGACGCAGAGAGCTCCAGTACCTTGCACACGTGCAGTCGCGCCAACTGGCACCGATGTCATCTATTTTACCTCGAATACACACTCCCAGTCATCCCGTGGGTGCTCTTTATAGCCTTCACACTCGGATTTGCATGGTACACCAATGTCTGGGCCGAATTCCACCAACACATTGACGACCTGCATGACATTCCAGCACAAGGTACGACTTGCTACTACTAGTACTACTCTTCGAGGTATGGCCAACTCACCATGATGTAGCGCTCGGTATCGTGGTCGCTAGGCAGAAGCGGCAACTCCTGGGCCGAAAAATTCCAGACCCACGAAGGATATTTATGCTCATAGCAATGTGGGCTGAGCTGCCTGGCTTTAGCTACCTTCCACTGGAGCTCATGTATTACCATCGATATGGCCGGTACATGTTTGTGTCAAGTGCGATCGGACAGGTAAGGCTCCACTTGTCGTTGCTCACCGAGTTGGTGACATTATTTGTCGTAGTTTATCAAGTTTATCTGCGCTGCCGTGCTGCTGCTCACGCTCCTTCTCACGGTACTCCACAAATCGCTCGTCCCGCTCCGTGTCAAGCTGCTGTACCCCCTTGTCTTTGACGCGCTATTTGTCGTGTTCCTCTACGCAATTGTCGATGTCTTGACTTGTGCGGTACCCATGGACCGCATGCCTCTCGGCGGCGGCGCCTCCACCTGCGCCTGCCGTGATCGCGTGTGGTTGATGGCCGCACTAGCCTCCGTGGTGTTTGCAGCCATCTACATCGGGGCACTGGCCTACCGAATACACCTCAGTGAAGACGTGTTTGGCGTGCGGTTTCGATACCCCATGTCATTTTCGTACCTCATGACTGTCGTTCGTACGGGTAAGTAGTACCTCGTCCATTAGGTACTTTGTTGGTATATCATATCCATATGGTGGTTATAGGTACTTGCCTGTTGTACATGACCATCACAAAGCTGCTCGAATCAACAGACTACGTGCACACAATCAACATCACGGCCATGTCAATTTACTTTGTCCTATTTGCCGCGCTCTTTCGCTACAACTATCGCCTTCAACCGGTACCTACCTCCAAAAATAACTACACTCAAGATCGTCATCCTTCTTCTCAACCGATGCATCTAGTGTCTTGGGTCGGGACTGTTTCCCAACAACCTCCGCGCGCTGTCGTTCGCCACGTCCTGCTGGTCCTCGCTCGCGACCATCGGCACGACGTTCGAGACCACAACCGTGGTGGTACCCCTCACGTTTATGGCGTTGTACCCCTTTGGGGTCGTGTTCCTGTGGCGCATGAATTCTGCGCGGGCTCGGCAATACCACATTCAAAACCAATCGCTTACGGACGCCCTCAATGACACCAACCTTCGCGTACGCACGGTCGCAATCGTGAGCATCACGTTGGAGGACCACTCACGGTGGAAAACCGACGAGATTGCGAACGTGCTGCAGTGCCTCGAAGCATGTCTGGCAATGCCCGGGGTCACCGAAGACGGCCTACTCGTCGCGTACGCGTGTCAGGCGGTGTGGCACCTCTGCTGCACGCACTGCAAACTGAACGAAGCGATGATCGAACGACCGGGCGCGACCGACTTTGCCCCGTTCAACCTGTGGGTATCCCACCGCCCGTCAGTGCAACAAGCGGTTAAGACCCGGCAGAGCAACCCGGGGGCCACAACGCGGTTGCAGGAACTTGTGGACCGCAAGGCGGAAACCAACACCCGATCAGGCATTTCCACTGTCGCCCCGTTGCTCGCCGAAGGCAGCATCAATACTGTCTCGAACGAGCAATTGCTCAAGCATTGTCTGGGCGTTGTTCTGCAACGCGCGACGTCGATGCTGTCGCTGCCGTTTCCCAAAGCGTGCAACGTCATGGCCAAGCTGCTGCAGGAAATGTACATCGCGCAGAACGTCCAGCTCACGCTCGGCACGTGGCTCAGTGTCGTGTGTACGCTGTGCGGCAACTACAACCACGAGGTGGCCGCTCAGGCTGCTACGTCACTGTGTGCCACGATGGTCCAATTCGACATGACCGTCGTGCTACCGTTATTGTGCGATCCTGCGAAGCTCACGGCCATCTCCCAGTTGCTTGTCGTGCCCAACGCGTTGTTACCGATGACCCTTCTCCGGGACAAAGTGGTCGGCGTCGTGCTCGCGCGGGCCGCGGCGCAGGTCACCCGGACGGCGCCCATGCGTGACCCGATTCACATGTACACACCGGCGTTTGTGACCAACATGTCGACGGCGTGGCGCAAATGGCAGGCCGAATATTCCATGACGTTGGCATTGGAATCGGTGCTAGCGCTCATGCAAAAAGCGCAGCTGACGTGGCGAGCCATGGTCAAGCACAAACTCAAACAGAAGCAAATGCAGTCGTCTGGGAGTCGCATGGTGACGGTTCGGTCCGGCAACAACAAAGCGCCCAGCTCGTCGTCAAGACGGGAAGCCGTTGTCGCCACCGTCGTTCCAGAGGGTGGGCCAACAGCAGCCATGTCATGCGCGCAAACGTCGCGGCGGTCGTCGATAGCCAGCGTGCACTCGGAGATCCAGCGCGCCATGCATGCCTCCCCTCGATCCGCCAAGAGCAGGTCCCCATCGCCGTCGCGCCATCCCAAGCACAACCGCCCCGACCGCCCTAGCATCATGCCCGCCCAGAACATCAACAACCAGCCGACCAAGGTAGTGTTGCTCCAAAATGAACCGTCGAGGCAGCGACCTGGCCGGCGGAAAAGCCACGACCACCAAGCGCCTCGGAAGACTAGTAGTACTAGTAATCCTAGTCGGGGGCCGTACTCGTCCTTGACCAAGCCGCCGCCGCCACCGCAGCACCCCCTGCTCTTCGGACTCTCAAAGCTGCTCCTCGCGTCAGAAAAAGCCCACGGCCACACGCGCAGCTTTGACCATTACCACCGCCGCCGCCACCGCCGCAGCAACAGCGTGCACGCCGTCGTCAACAAACTCCGCACGACGAGTTTAACCGGCGGCGACACGTTCATTCGGAACCTGAACCACCTCGCCAAAGGCAACGGCCACGACCTTGTGCCCCCCGCCATTTGGCGAGAGATCAAGCTGCGGCGCGCCGTCCGGCTGCGGGTGATGACCCAAGTCACGGCGGTCCTCGCGGAAGGGCTACAGGTGAAGCTGCTGCCCCAGTTATTCACCCCCGCCACCGTCCAGGCCCTCCAAGCGCTGGTGGCCCTTCTGCACACATACCCCGTCATGCGAGCCCACATCGCATACGTGCTGCACCCCGACGAACATCGGTACATTACGTTTGTCACGAGCTGGCAACAGGCCAGAGTGCGTGGCCCTGTGGCGGCGGCAGCTACGGCGGGGGAAGAGTCCCCGTTATGGGCCCGAGTGTTGAGTTGGTTTAGCCGCTTGGCTGAGCTCACGCCATGGGCTTCCACCGACGACGTCGTCGTCGTGCCTCTCCAGACCAAGTCGATGAAAAGATCGACGTCGATGACGATGCTTCTGTTTCCAGGGTTCAACTTTGTCACAGAGCGCCGCCGTTGGTCGCGGCATCCGGCTCGCAACTCGCTTGGACGGCAGTCTGGACCGCCGGTATAGTGGGCATACGATGGCTTGGCACCCGATGAGAACACTAGTACTACTAACTACTACTACCCGTCACGAGTGGAACCACAGTACGAGTACATACTCTAGCAATATAATAGTAGTCGACAAGGGTCGATCTCGTCGTTAAGAGAAGGATGATTAGATTGATGCCAACGGAGCTAGCTACATACAGTGTACTAGTAGTGTGGACAAGCCTACCCTGCGTATATATATATATTACTACAACTCCTGTTGCTTTCTACTGTCAGACCCGACAGATTCCCAATTACTATTCAACTATCAAATATATCCAACCCTTGTCGTCACTTAACGAAGAAATATATGATCGTATTCAATCAGTGCGACAGCCGCCGACTGTGCAGACCCGGGAGGAGCGTCGTGTCCGTGGCCGGCGATTGGTTCGCGGCGGCAACCGCGTCGGCGACCACCGCCTGATGGCGTTGCTTGATGGACTTGAGGTAGTTGGGCGATTCGAGGAACTGGTTGGGCGTGCGCTGGCCAGTAACCCACGGATGAAGGCACGCTTGTTCTGCCGTGTATCGCTTCTCCGAGTCGACTTCTACTCTCATGTCAACTGTATGCACTGATCCATATCAGCTACGATATATATATATACGTACCTAGCAAATGCCGCAGCAAGTCCTTGGCACTGTCAGACAACCCGCTGGCCCACCGTGGAAACCGCAGACCAAACTTGGCCTACCCGTGTGATATTTTATAATATATATATATATAAAAATATGATGAAAAATATAGATATTAGTCGTACCCGAGCAGCCTTGTCACTCGTGATTTTGCTGCCGTCGTCGTTGAAGGGAAGGCATCCACAGAGTAACACGTACACAATCACACCAAGCGCCCATACATCGATGGACTTGCTGTACGACTGCCGGCGAAGCATTTCCGGGGCGAGGTAGCCCTACCCATACATAGCACGTCCATGATATATAATATATCAGCAACAAATGGATATATATATATTTCGCCTAGACAGTGTTTTTTCCAACCAATAGAATATTGCCAATTGAATAGTACCCGTGTGCCTAGAAATGATCGCGTTTGGCTGTCGTGGAGAAGTTTCGCAAGGCCAAAGTCGATGATTTTGATCTCGGCATTCGGGGATGGCGACGTCAATAAGACATTTTCTACATGTCAGCTTAACCATGTGTCGTTAAAGCGAGGGAACGGACCTGGCTTGAGGTCGCGATGCACCACGCCACACGCATGCATGTACGCGATGGCGGACGTGATTTTGCGCACCAAGCAGCTCGCTTCAACCTCGGACAATGTCCTACAACCAAGGGAGAACGTCGTGAGATGATGTCGGGAGGCAAAGGATTGGGTACCCCTTTTGCACGACGTAGTCGAAGAGCTCGCCGCCTTCCATGAGTTCCGTGACCATGCAAATGCGGGTATCCGTCTGGTACACGTCCTCCATGTGGATGATGTTGGGGTGGTCGAGGGATTGCAGCACTTGGATTTCCACCTGCAAGAAGTAACTAGTCGTGGTCAACCCTTGATGAGGGGCTCAATGTACCTGGAATTGATCGAGCAAGTCGTCGCTCTTGCTCTGGATCGCGCGCTTGTCGATGACCTTGCATGCAAAATGCTTCTTGGTCGCCTTCTCCTCGCACAAGTGACAAATGGACGTGCTGCCGTTGCCTACATCGTCGTGTCACCATGGCGGTTGGTTTGCCCATGCCACCATCCTTCCAAGACATGTTCATATGTGCCTACCGATGACGGACTTGAGCGCGTATTTGTTTTCAAAAGTCCCCGCCGCATACATCGGACCTGACGACATGATCGCTTTGGGACGTGACCGGTAAATCGCAGTCTGCTCGTTCTGGTCAGACCCCGTTGCCTGTGATGCTCCGCTGGACGCAGCTGTCCTCGTGGACGCCCTGTCCTCCTTCAGGGATGTCAACACATGATCGTGTTCATCATCTCCAAGGCACCAACTCGTTACTTGCCCCATCGTCGTTGGGCCGCAATCACGTCAATGATACTTCACAGATATTGAACGTTAGCTGTCATTTTTACTAATTGGGCAATCCTATACTTGTTGTTTGTATGTCTTTAAAATCCAGGATTAAATAACGTTTAAACGTGTTCTATTTGTATCGTTGGTTGGAATCCGACATCTTGGCATATCTAGTCAGCTGTAATTTAATTCCAACGAGAAATGCCCACTTCAACACGTCAATAAAACGTCAATTGCAATCGGTTTTTACGTACACTGTACAAAAACCCTTGGCGCCGTGTGGCGATCTTTCTTTTGGACGCATTTTTTCAAAGTTCTCAACTCGACAAGCAACAAGATGGGACAAGTTGTGAGCTGCTGCTTTGGGATGCTCCATGGAGCAGAGTCCCCGCGGCACCCCAAGGGCAAGGATGGAGGCTGTATGGACGGAGACGGGTTGTACACGCTCATGTACACCCCCGTCGTATCGCGAAAATCACAACAACACGTCGTTGCTCCGTCTGCAATCACACACGATTCCTGTCCGACTACTACTTCGAACGACCCGGAGGTTGAAACCACTCTTGTGCCTACAGCTATCGTCTGCGAAGACAGTCAAGGAACCCCTTCAAATACCACCACCAACGAAATTCATCCTTGCGAGGACGATATCGTGCAACGGCCAGAGCCCGTCCCTGCCATTCTCGTGACTCAGAGATCCCGAAGCACATCCGATATGCTTACCGACACTCTTCCGTCAAGACCATCGTACGGACGATCCAATTGTACCCGGCGCTTACTCCCTACGGACAAAGACCCCACAACGACGTCGTTGGTTGTGGGAGAAGCAGCTCGGGTGAACTTGTACGTCGTCACGGTGCAACACTTCACCCCCCACCTCACCGGCAGCGTGTACGACTTCAGCGTGAACATTCACGGCCGCGCTGTTCCCGTTAATGTGATGCGTACTCGTCATGCGTGCAAGGTGTTCTACGCGAAACTGCAGAAGCTCCATCACCACCAACGGGCCACTTCCACCCAGCTGCCGCCTTTCCCGCCCAAGGCTGGCCTCGGCCTTGTCAAGACAGCCGCGAGTGACTCCAACTCGTGCTCGTTCATGCAAGACTTCCTCGACCATCTGCTTGCGATCCCCGCCGTTCGAAGCGCCCCCATTACCCTCGCCTTCTTCCACATTGCGGATGCCGTCGCCCCCCAAGCATGTTGACCTGTCATTTATATTATTTTTTAAAATTCACCATAATAACAGTACAAAAAATCTCAGAAAACACCTCTTTTTGCAACTTTTCAGAAATATTATGACAATTTTTCAAACCACATCTTTTGTGTGTTCTGACATATATAAAGTGACATAATCCGTCGAATTTTTACTGTTTTCTAATAGAATTTTTATTGAACTGCAACTGTCCAATTATTACCAACATGATATTCTATCAATAATACTAGTTCTCATTCCGTGATGGCATCCAGAGGTCACATCAAAACATTTTGAAAATATTTTCTCACCTCCCATTTGAAAAGGGAATTAATTCTCTGTCAGAATATTATTTGACGTCAAATATTCGGTGGCATTCAGACTTATTACGAGGAATATTTTCTAGTTCTTATTTATTTCATTTGAATCCATAAAATGATTCAAATGAAATATTTAAAACTAAATCGTTCAAGTTTACTGTTAATTACTACATGGTGCCTAAAGGTAAGTGTTTTAGTAGTGTATGCATAGTATATACTTCGAAGTATGTATATATATATATATATATATTCATAGTGTATATATCGTCATCTAAGTTTGAACATCATCATGTGTGCGGAAGGGTCGCGCCTTTTCTGGCGCCGCCAGACACGTGGCGGGCGGCGGCGGTCAGGGGTTTGTCGGCTGTGGGTTTCTTCATCTCCTTGGATGACAATGACGGCAATGATGACGGCGTGGTCGCTTTCAGGATGTGAAAGTACTTGAGGGTGATACGCGCATCGCGCAGTGCGGGGGTCTGCATGATGGCTTGGACGTACGCGTCCATGAGGGCGCGGCCGTGCTGTCGGTCCTGCTTCTTCGTGTACGGCAACGACGGGCAGCCGACGCCGACGGCGGCGGCATGGGATTCCAGCGCGTCGTTGAACTTGGCCACTTGGAGCCGATCGCGAATGATGTCGAAGTTGCGGCCGGCGTTCAGCAATTCGTCGTCAAACACGGTCACGGAGAACTCAAACTTGTCTTCGATGGGAAAGAACCGCTTGACTGTGACTGTGAATGGACCGGGAGGGGTATCGTCCTGGTTGTTGGACTCGATCGAGTGCTCCGAAGATGACGAGAACGAATGGACGGTGCGAGTCTTGATGGACAGCACATCTGGCAAAGTCGGGTCGGTGTTGTTGTTGCTGCTGTCGCCATCTTGGCTGGTGGCGGCGTCGGGCGGACTGTCGTCCACGGCAGGTTGTTCTTCTAATGTATCGTCAGTACTCACGGAGGACGCGACGTGATCTGGCCTTTCGTCGTCTGCATCGTCGTCATACGGCAGAGTCGGAATACCGCCAATGCTGGACCCACTTTGGACAGACGTGGCTGCGGCAGAGACACCAGGGACTCGCGGGGTCGCCACAAACGAATCAAAGAACCGAGACATATACGGCGTGCGAGGCGTCGATGAAGTCACCGAGTCCATCGTGGTAGCTCGTTTCTTGGAGAGGAGAGAATCGACAAGGTCGCCGTCGTGGGAGACCCGACTGCTCGCGTTGCCAAACATTTCGTGTTCGCCTAGCGACTGGTAGAAGTGCGAGTCGGACATACTAGGTGTCGAAGGCACTTGTTCCGGCGCTCTGGCGCTGCGCTTGAACACGTGGCTTGGCTCGGTGTCCGCAGTGCCAAGACAGCAACTCACAACTTGCCCCATCAATCTTCGACGGAATATATCCAAATGCTGTAGGTCGGATGATTTCAATATGTAAGAAACATTGACTTGGATAAAGTAGCGCCGAATAGTTCAACTTGATATTCATATTGGAGTATAGTTTACTGTTAATATGATTTTTCATTTGATTTACTTCGAAGTATATTCTGAATTTATAACACTACTACGAACTTCGAGGTAGCATGTGTAGAATCGATTGACGAATTGTACAATCGATTCTACTGTACTGTACAGTGCTTCCGAGTAGAATCCGCAAATGTAACTTGAGAATGTCCTAGCCAATCAATTTGCACTAATGAGCAATTTTCTACCAACCATCGATTAGTGTAGTTTGGCCCAACAATTGGCCCAGTCCTAATGTTCATCTTCAAAATTGTATCCCTTACATTGAATAAGCTTAAAATCTGACTCAAGTGGATTCTCGAACCAGCTGTCAAGTCCACATGTTATTGTCCTTTTACCCAAAATGTGGACTTTTGTGCTGAATCGCCAAATCGATCGATCGATTCTTTGTAACTTACTGAATTTTGTACCATAAAAAAAGTTGTCCTGAGCAGGGTATCACACTAATTGAAGTCACACTCTAATTTGACATTGATGATGGTTTCCTGCAATCTGATTGGCTAAATTCTTTAGCCGATTCTTCTGTACCGGTCAAACAGAAGAATCGGCTTGGCTAAATCCTTTAGCCGATTCTTCTGTGCAGGTAAAACAGTAGAATCGGCTAAAGGATTTAGCCAATCAGATTGCAGGAAACCATCATCAATGTCAAATTAGTGTGTGACTTTACGGTACATATTTGGCTGTGTCGATTCTTTATTCACTGTCAATAAACACAACAATAATAGCGAAAAGCGCAATATGTACTACCTCTGTCCGAAAGTGATTGCACGTTGGACATTTCAGGTGTGAAATTAGGGTATCTCCTCCAAATAAGTGAACCTTCCACACATTAGGAGTACTTTTGAATACTTCGAAGTACAAATTTTCAAATTAGAGCCCCCAAAGGTCCTAAATAGGAATGACAGCTGTTTTATCCACGAAAAACAATGGGAATGATGATCATTTTTGACTGTGCTCACGTATAAGTTCTGTACATTTATATTTGTAAAACTCGATTTATACAGGTATCGAATGTATTTGTGGTAAAGTGTACATGCAATAAACTGTATAATATAATAAATTGTACCGTAATGTTTCAAAGGACATCAAAATGAACCCAGCGATTTCACCGGCACAAAAACCATCATTTTCACGTTGAGTTCCGTTCGTCGATGTCTACTACAATGGCAAGGCCACGGATATGTCAAACTCAATGGGAGTGTTGTGTGGTTGATGCCGGAGGTTGCACGAAGAAGCATTGACAAAGGTCGTTCCGTCCATCTCGACGGTGCCATGGCCTTCGTGGATGTGTCCAAACACATGGAATCGAGGTCGGATCCGACTAAGCACCTCGTCCATCAACGCTTCGTCGCCACAGGTTTGCCCTCGAAAGTTCATGTCCAGGATACCATGCGGCGGAGTATGCGTCACGAGGATGTCCACGTTGTCCGGCACGGCCTGCCAATGTGCTGTGGATTCGTTTCCCGGTCGTAAGTTGAACGCCCTACCACAGATCCTCTTTCATCACCAACACTCCATGCTTTTTTTCCTTCTGAATGTAGGTCTTTTGCGTACATGGTGCAGCCAGGTATGATGGGCGAGTTTGGCGATCCGTATATGCGCACCCCCAGCACTTCCACGACACCATTCTCGACGTACGTGCACACGTCCGTGAGAATCTGACGGGATATCGCGGGGTCCTGGAACTGTTTGTGCCGTTTACGACCGCCCCCTTTGATGTACCAATATGCATCCAGCGAGTACTCGTGGTTGCCCGCCACGACAACCTTGTGAGGATGCGGGAGCGCCGCCAGCCACGACGCAAACCGGCGCAGTTGGTTGTGGGTCCCAATATTGGTAAAGTCTCCTGCATGGATGAGAATATCTCCGGGCGGGATCTCCATGAGGTCGTGCTTTCCGTGCGTGTCTGAGATGCACACGACGCGGACGACGCGGCGAGGAATTCCTTTCTCCAATGGCAGCATGCGATGTCTTCACATCAAGTTAGTTTCAATAGAGTCTGAACGAAATTGCATGTTATGTGCGCTTGTTTACCTACTTGTCCACGACGTAAATGGCCGCATTGGGCTTTTGCGCATCGTCTAAGAACGTTCGAGCAACGTTCCCGGTTCGTACAAACGACGTCACCAACGCACTGAACTCGTCCGGCTGTTCCAGATACAGCCAATGGCCACACGATTCAAAAACGACGTTAACGCAATGCGGAAGCAACCGACCCACGTGCAACGCGCCATCCATGGGAAACACCTTGTTCTGCGGTCCGCCGACGATGTTGAGACATGGGATGGTGATCGTCGGGAGGAGTGATCGCCAGTCGATCTGCGTGTGATCACGCATCAACGTAGCCAACGCCGTGGGGTTGCATCGAAGGACGTCGCCTGCGAGATGGTCCAGCACGGCGGGCGGCACGTCGTTAGGACGAACAAGACAGCTGGCCAAGTTGCCTTGCGCCACGGAGGCCAGGTTCGAGGTCAACGTCGTCTCCAACGCCTGCAAGCTCGCTTCGTCGTAGCACCCGTAGCTGTGCAAAGCCCAGTCGTCACGGCGGTTCTGAAGCGGCACCTGGTCGACAAAGATGGCTTGTCGAGCCAACGACGTGCCAAACAGTTCAAACAAGCTCCAGATCACGGCGCAGCCCATCGACGTCCCGAGAAGGGTCACCGGCGCCGATAGCTTCAATCCCACGGTGATGAACTCGTGCACGTCCACAGCGAGGCGGGCAATGTGCATGCCGTACGCCGTGCCTTGCGACTCGCCGTGGAAGCGAAGGTCCAGGCAAATCACCCGAAGGTGCGGCTGCATTAGTGGCACGTTGCGGGAAAAGTAGCGACGGCTGCCGCTCCATCCATGAAGGAGAAGAAGCACGGGCAGTTGCGTCCCATCCTCCGCATGCGCTCCGGTGTCCTCATACGCCAACACGCAAGAGTCCGAGGTCGTGAACGTCGGCATCCTTCTCGGCAAGGTTTTTGAAATCAAGCTATCACACTATATAAGGCCCATGTTCAACACCAAGTAGATTGTTTACACTATATCGTGTTGTAGATGAAATATAAATTAGTGTGCACTGTCGACACCAATACACATTCGCAGCGGCAACCATTGAATTTCGTTGGTGCCAAAAATATGAAGAATTTTATTTTCAATGTTGAAGTGGTAAGCTTGCGTGTTGTATCGAAATGAATGGTAATTGGAATTTCTTTTTTATTATGATGCTACTATTTTGTATCTTTGACCTCCACCATTGCCGCCACCACCAAGGACAATCATGTTGCGAGCAGGGACGCGTGTCGTACCTTCGTTCACGCGACCTAGGCAGCAGCACCTATGGAGGCCGATGCAATCAGTACTCCATCATAGTTTGTTTAGCACATGGGACCACAAGCGCGAGAAGCCACCCCAGCCACCGAGAACGTCATCGATCTACCGCAAGGATGCAGGCAACTCGAGCACCATCACACCGCTCGTGCACCTTCCTCATTCAAGCAGCACCTCCGTGCTCCACCACGACGCGTCAACTGCTAATGATGGCGAGTCCACAAATGCCGTGCCGCTGCTAGAAGAGGCACTGCATCCGTTCCACAGCGTCCACACGGACATGAACTACGACGTCGAGAGCAATGCGTTGCGCATGGGGTTTCCCCACTACAAGAACGAGTATGTCGAGGAGCCAGGCGACGAGATCCGCGAGGAACTGCGCGAAGAAGCCACCCTCATGGCGGAGCGCGTGCTGTGCCGCATCCGGCGCACCATGGGCGAGCGCGAGACCAACAAGGTGTTGCGCAAGTTGAGCTCGTACACGACCAACCCCCGCCCGACGCGGTACTCGGTGGCCAAGTTCTTTGGCAGTTTGGAGATCATGATGCAAGCCGACCACGCCGACGAATACACATACCTGCGGGCGTTTCTGTGTGGGAAAGACTCTGAGAAAGCCGCGATGGACACGGCGTCGCTCCTGCATCCAGACCACCCCCTCTACCACGACCTGTGCGCCGTAATCCTCGTGCATTGCAAGCGCGCATGCTCCACGACACTGGCCCGGGTCCCGAACTCGACGTTGCCGTTTGTAAAGCGCCAGATGCTGCGGCTACTCCAGGCCAAAGGCTGGGACGCCATGGTGTCGTACGCAGGCTTGCTGCATGTCCCCAGAGACCGCAATGACAGCTGCTTAAAGCCGGACGACAATGAATGGATCGCGCTCACGTTGGAGGACGACCTCGCCGAGTTTGACCGCGATCTGGACGATGCCAAGGCGTTGCTGGCAAACGTACGCCGCCACGGCGACCTAAGCCATCACGACGTGGAAAAGTTGCTTAGCGTTATGGTCGCGTACGTGAAAATGGCCAAAGCCCATCGAGACATATTGCACCTCCTCGTATGTGAGTTTCAAAACACGTGCCACGTCGTCGTTGCGCCGACGACGACTACTAGTAATACTAGTAGTACGAACCACCGCCGACACACAAACAACCACGAAACCCACGACACGTGGGTGGCGTCGGTGGTCGAGTACTTGTCGTCTGGCCGCGTCCATCTACCCAACATCCAAGCCGCCGAAGGCTTTGCCGCAGACCTTGTCCACCATCGGCACCGCAGCGACGCCGCCATCCGCCTCCTCCTAGATGCGCGCATGCGCACGAGCCACATTTACATCCGCGGCCTCGACGAAGAAGTGCTCGATCGCACGATGGCCAACAAGTCGGACGCGATGCGCCGAGCGCTGCTCACGACGGCGCTCAACTTGGCCACGGTGCTGGACGACCGGGAGTTTCATGCATTCTATGGCCGGTACGTGTTGGAAATAAAATAGCATCACCATCGAACTTGAATATATTTTATGGATGTGATACAGTTCTAGATGATGGGTATATAGTTCAGGATTAGCTTCGAATAATATTCAGTTTGGTTGAGTACATATCTATCTATTATTGCTTTTCCAATCGAATCACGCAGCCGATGGACATTGAAATTCGGTCACGAAAACCGCTCCCATTGGTCTGTCTATAAATTACTTGTCGCTGTTTATTGTCGATTTGGTACAAATTTGGGAATCGCATCGCGCCGACCAAACCGATCCACAATCGATCTGATTGGTTGAATTTTATTGAGAAGGTTTTGATTGGCTAATAATTTTGAGCTCTTCTTAAGTAGCCAATCAAATCGATTTAAATTCCAACGAGAAACCACGCCACAACACGAAATGTCACTCGAAAGCACAATATTGTTTCCTTTTTTATCTTTGTGATTTCTGCAAGCCCACGGCGACATTTGTGACCGAATGGGGACAATTGAGCAAATTCATACTATATATAATATATATATATAAATCCTTGAAATGTGGATGATACCAATGTGATACAAGTGAAATGGTTGGAGATTGAGTATAAAGACGATTACGACAACCTGCATGCACACCAAAACTGCGACAATGTGTACATTATATAACATATGAATATGCAATGTTGTAGGTATGTGCGACACAAACTCACGTGGAGGTCCAACTTTGATTCGTCGGTGGAGATATTCCTCGGGGACGTTGCCGACGGCCTCCCCAAGCAGATCCCCGAAGCCGCGCGGCGCCTCCTCGTCGACAGCCTCGGCCGCGTCCACAACGACCTGACGCTGGAGGCGCTCAACGTGTGTCGGTTGCGGGTCCTGAATCGCGGCCGGCTCATCCGCACCACGGCCACGCTGACCCGAACGTCCGTCAAACCAGACGACAATGAGAGCGTGGACGCCCCCCTACGCGACTTGCCCAGCTCGTGGGACCGGCGCCGCACTGTGTTTTACCACAACTTGCCACCGAAAATCACCGTCGATACGGTGCGCCATACGTTTCAAAACATAGGACCGATCGCGCGGCTGTGGATGTTTGACGAACCGCGCGCCGAGTTGGCACCGGTGGAACCGCCACCCGCCACCGACGCGACCACCGATGCAGCCGCCGCCGACGACGACACGCCAACCGACAAGAAACCCAAGAAGAAGCGCGTGTCCAGGAAAGCCAACAAGGAGCCTGATCAACCGACCCGCGATGTTGATGCGGGGAAGGAAGCGGAAAAGACAGCGGCCAAGATGCAGCATGTGGTCGCAAGCGAACGGCACTCGACGTCGCAGTGCGTGGTCGAGTTTGAATCGGAATCGGCGCAACAGCGAGCGCTGCATCCGGCGCTCAAGATCTTTGGGGTCATGGTCAACGGCGCCGAGGAAGTGCGCGCGACCTTCTCGACGGCGCCGGACGTGCGCAACGTCGTGACCATCCATTCGATTCCGTTTTGTACGCAAATCCACGACGTACACCGTCACATCCAGGCAGCTCTCGGCGACGACCTGATCATTACGTTGGGCGGCAGTGCCCTCCCCGACCTGTTTGTGACCAAGGGAACGCTTGAGCTCGCGTTCAACTCGTTCGAAGAGGCGGCGGTGGTCGTCGATAGGCTCACAACGTACTTGGACAGCCGCCCCGACCCCAAACACGAGCTGCCGTTCGTGGGCAAAGCCAAGCAAAAGTACCAGCCCACCACGACCAAGGTATTTGTGACCAACCCCCTCACCAAGACCCTTCGAGCCAATCGAGAAAAGGAAAAAGCCGACGACCTCCAGCGAAACACGACCCCCACCGTGTACCTCAAGTACGACGAAGGGGTCGACCCGGACGCGCACCGACCGTTTGAAGTCGCGTGGACGCCCGTGCCCCGACGTCGATCAAGACACATCTCGTAAACACGGAATACTAGAGCAGGATACATAGATAGAATTGGTGGACTAATACTGCTAGTAGTAAGTACTACAGTCCTGTACATTGCAGTCCCCCGATGGCGGCTCGAAAGGACTACGACCTGTTGTTAAAAGCAACGTTGCTTGATGCACGGAGATAGATCAACCAGTAGAACCTGTAGCGAACGTCTGGACTCGTTGTCTACAGTACAAGTATTAAAGCAGCAATGCCAACGAATTAACTATTAGAGCATCTCCAACGACGTTTTTATTTCTATTTCAATTCGAAGTTACGGATGTACTTCGAGTAGAATAGAAACTCTTGCTCTATCCGGAGGGTTTGTTGCTATTTCACGCGAAAATAGAAATTCTGCGAGACGAAATTTCTAAAAAGTCCGGATAGTGCCAAAATAGCAACTGTAAAAACGAAGTTTGACTTTAACCTATGCTTTAGCAATAGGTTAGAATTTACCGTTGGAGATGCTCTTAATAGTATTGTAATTTGGACTTGAGAGTCATTTCGCCAAATAGCTTTCGAATCTACAGTATTTGATCCTTTTTAACACTCTACTATTCAATACAACAACGATGAGTAGGAGTATATAATTTAGTTTTTGGGTTTAACTACATTAATTGTACGTTAAATAATAAAACCTCCACTCTTCGATTTGGCCAGTTGGAAGTTTTTTAGATGACGTGCATCATACAGAGGTATGTAACTTCAAATAGTGTGAAAACTGTTGTAGTAACTTTCATGTACCAGTATGGCTAGCACTGTACCAGTATTTCAGATCAAAAACCAGAACACTGTGAAGTACTACGTAGTTCACAGTGTTCTGGCTTTTGATTGGTCGGTTGATTGACTGTCGATTAGGAACTCCTCATACCCCAATCCAAATACGAATCGACTTGACAATATCTATGCAAACAACGTACTGTACAGTACATGTTGACAAGGGCCACACCCAAACGTGATGCGACGATAGCAAACTGCTGCCCATGGACCAAGATGTTTGTATGTGGTGGTTGGTGGAGGCCAGTCAATGGTGTGGTATATATACCGCGACGAAAGTACCGTTGGTCGACGTCATTGGCTGGCTGGCGCTCTTGACGTAGCCATGTAGGTACTGTAGCATCGATAGATAGCATGGCCGAGCCAGAGAACCGACCGGTGCCGTCGATGTTGGTTTCGATGATGATCATCATCCAGAAACACGTGTTCTGGCCACGCCACGTCAGAGTTTCGGTGACAGAGGGGTTTCAAACGTCTGAGAATACGTTTTATTCGACAATATCTTGACATTTGTATTCGAGTTGATGTTTGGAATGGATTTCAAACACGTCGGTTGAAGTTTACTTTTGGTGATGTCATGACCATCATTCCTCGTCCAACAGCAACCCAAAAATACATACCCTGTCGATTCTCACTCCGCAACAAACATGCTCAGAGCCGTGCGCCAGCAAGTGACCAAGCCGCAAGTCCCGACGCGGCGCCGCATCGGCTTTACTGTGCAGCACACGCATTCAGTGAACATGCGAGCGTCGTCGTCAAGCTCGTTGTTTCAAGCCGCCTCGGTGTCGGCGGCCACTTCGCAACACGCCACCCGTAAGGGAGTGGCAGGTCGGATCCTTGTGGGTCTGCTGTCGTTGGGGGCGGGTGATTTTGTTCGCCAAGTAATTGCAGAAGAACGACCTTTCGACACCCGCCGCCTCGCCGTTTCCGCGGCCGTTGGCGGCTTGTACATTCCCCTGCGCGAACGATTTGGAGTGCATGCGTCGTCCTTGGTTCAATCTCAAACCCTTCGTGGAACCATGACGCGTCTGGGGCTCCAGCTTGTCGTCGTTGGCCCGGTATCCCTCGCCTGCTTCTTGGCGGCGCACATCGCTGCCAAAGGTAACAAGAATGATCATGGCATGTGTATGTGTTGTAGACCCTGATCGATGGCTTGTAGATGACCACAGCGCCAAATTGAGCACTCGCATCCAAGCCAAGCTGATGCACGATCTATGGGCAGCTGTCAAAGGCAGCACAGCTCTGTCTGTACTCGTCCTCGGCTCGTTCTATTTGCCCATTCCGTTTATTCGAGGTATAGCCAACACTCCCAAGTACAATCATCTCATGCAATGTGTGCTTAGAACTTGCGGTCATGGGGTCCTGTCTGTCTTGGAGCTCGTACATGTCGTTTATAGCCCACAAGGACGACGACCAGCATTCGACTCCGTTGTTGATAGACTATGCCGTGACCCAAGGCACGGTTCTATCGGCCTCATAACCTTCAAATCATGTCTTCTTAACTTACGTACCGATGTTGACATATCGCTTAACGTAAACGATCAATTCCGTGCGCGATTTCTGAAATGTCCATGACTTGAACGACTCTACCGTACCTTTGGGCGAACCGTCTCCCAAATTTTCATAACTTCTTCAATTTTGCTCGAA